CGAATAGCCCTAACTCAGGCCACGAGTAGGGACAGAGGGATAATAGACTATACAGGGGACAGTAATACTGGAACTGTGTGCCATACAGTATTAATGACTGGTAATACGGTAATACCAGCTGTCAGCTCCGAGATCTTGGATCGTGATCTTCTTTTCATCGTGTGTGCGGGTGGAGCAGCCTTTAGTGAAGTTAGTCCATTTTTGCTGGACCCATCCCCCTGGGTAGATTGAGATATAATGGTTGTCTCTCTCTTACACACACATTCCTTTCCAACTTCAACCTCATTTCAACCTCGCTCCAACCTCACTCCATCACCACACCTAGCCCTAACTCTCTTCTCTCTCTATACATCTGGAAGCCTTAACTACAATAATTACACCCACCCACCCACCCACCCACCCACACACACACACACACACACCATACTATGCCTCCCTCTCATCGTCGTGGACCCTGGGTCCCCGAGGAAGACCAGTTGCTCCTCCAACTAGTCCGCGAGCAAGGCCCCAACAACTGGGTGCGCATCTCGCAACATATGCACTACCGCTCGCCCAAACAATGTCGCGAGCGCTTCCACCAGAATCTCAAGCCCTCGCTCAATCGCGAGCCCATCTCCGCCGACGAGGGGCTGATGATCGAGCGCATGGTCACCGAAATGGGGAAGCGCTGGGCTGAAATCGCCCGCCGCCTGGGCAATCGCAGCGACAACGCTGTCAAGAACTGGTGGAATGGCAGCATGAACCGCAAGCGCCGTGGCGTGGGTACTACTCCGTCGGCCTCGCGCACTTACAACGGCCGGGTTGAGGCCCCCTACACCCGGGCTTCTGCTCACAGCCCGTCTCGCTCGCGGTATCCCGTTCGACCCTGGACTGAGGATGCCCACACTGACCACCACCTTCACTCGCGGAGAGAGTCATTTTCCATGGTGCCCCGCCAACTCTCGCCCATCTACACGCTCCCCTCCATCAACCGCCCTATTGAAACCCCCTTGACTTCTCCCGCCTTCTCAGAGGTGTCTAATGCCACCTCGGTCGAGCCTCCATCCATGGTCTCCGACCACAACTCCGTCTGCTCTTCATCGCCCCGCACTCTGCCGTCTCCTCAACTTCTGCCTGTTCCAGAGCATCTCCGGTCTCAGTACGGCGATATTCGCCGTCCGAGCACCTCCGTCCAGGTCGTGGATGACTCCCCGCCCAGCTATCCCGGGCGAACGCTTGAGTCTCTGTCCGAAATCGCCTCCAAACGGAGATGGATGGAGTACCAACCCACTCTGGCCTCATGGCACCAGCCCGTGGACTCACAAAAAGAGTGGCAACAGCCCAAAGCCGAGCCGGCCCGTGATACTCGCATGGGTGTCAATAACCTTCTGAATTAGAACCCCCGGCTTTGACGACTGTACGACTCTTCTTCTGATTCTCTGTGCCATATTATTCCCCTCGGTTCTCTTGGACTTGTACATGTGTCGAAAACATCCACACACTCGCTCTTGTTTCATTTTGGGTTGCCTTTTTTTTTTTTTTTTTTTTTGTACTCCTAATGTGTATTACCACACGGTTTCTGTTCGGGTTCGGATTTACAAAACTTGGTTTCATTTTTCTTTCTTTTTGGGCAGGCTGGGAGTGAACGACTCTAATTGGGATTGGTCGTCCGGCTTGGGAGTTTAACAACCGGGGGGAGTTGGGCAAGGCCAAAAAGAAAGGCCTAGCCTTGCTCGACTCTGTTTTTTTCTTTGGGATTTGAAAATATTTTTTGGTTGCTGGCACATAATACCCCTGCGCATTTTGGAATAGGAAAATCCATCGCATATTTCTTTTCTTTTTGATAACCCAAGTGGTACAACATTCCTACTAGATTGGCTTCGTGGTACATTTCTCAAAAGACAGTGGCGACCTGAAGCGTCAGCTCCACAAGACACGGCTCTCCGCGAGGAATGCGCCAGGTGGCTCACGAGGAGGACGCAAGGGGCCTAGACAAACCATGGTAGTCTCGGCGGGAAGCAGGGCTCCACCGGGGTCGAACAATTACTTGTACATCCTGTTTGGGCAGACGATGTACGATCAATTAGTGAAGCCACCACGCTAGAAACCACTGGATCTGGACGGATGCAGCAGCAACGATGCACGGTGACGAAAAATGACCAAGTAGAGACAACAGAAGTTTAATCGACAGGTTCGTCCGCAGCTGCAGGCGATCAACGTTCTGGCACCGTCACCAGAGCGGCCGACAGGGTGGCGGCGTGATTAGTGCTGCTCAACAACCAGTCGTCACCAGGGCCCCAGCAACCCACGCCCACAGGCCAATGGCCACCGCCCGTCGGGCCCGGGTGCGATGCATCGATCGGACAGGTCATAGGTCGAAAGGAATGAACGGCGGGTCCCACTCAGAGGGGCACGGACGGCCTGCCATCGTGGAGGCGTTCGTGCTGAGTTTGCATGCATGCTTGCACTCGCTGCCGGGTCTGGCTTCCGTGGCCCCCGTCACCGAAGGAGGGAGAGGAGGGTCAGCCAGTGAACAATGTACATGCAGTGGTCAGTACTCCGGAGTGGGTGTGCGGATGAACGGAAACTTTTTTTTTCTCTGCTAATCCACATTAATAATGGCAAGGTCTAACACTGGCTGGACCTGTGATTAATGTGATTAGGGCTCGAGGAAGCGCCCAACCAGCGCTAGATCCGGGCTGCCCTTGAGAAGAACATCAAACAGGCGCTGTTTGTCCCACTCTTCAGCAGCAGTTGAACATTCAGCTGCCGTGGTAACAGCCAGGGGAAAGAACGGGACCACCAGGCAGGCCGGCCAACCATAGACGGCATGGGTCGTCTCCATCTATCACAGTCCCCGCACCGAAGATCCATTCTTTGTGCCGAATCAGCAGCCAGGCCAGAGCTATTGACTTCATGTTCTGTGGTTCGGCCGTTGTGTGGCTGGCGGAAGCATGTATAATAGTGACGTCTGTTCTACTAGTTAAATGACTGAAGCAGGGGGTTTTCTAACTGAGGCACGGTCTATGTGTGACATCGACAATCGTGCCTACCCAAGTATTTGGAATTCTCTCTTTTAGCTCATGCGCTAGCGACCTGTAATTGCCCGACCGTACAGTATTTTATTGTCTTTTACTCGGTACTATTACAGTATGTAAGCTGGGTGTTGACTCCGGAATACTGAATACATGCATCCTGAGGGAGGGAGCAGCACCAGATCAACCGTAAATATGCCTCGTGTATATAAGAGATGAAATCCTGAAAACTGTTCTCATTGCTGCATCTCGCTTTAGAGCTACAGTACATACTTTGTACTAGACCTAGGTGAAACAAAGTTGCAACGGCATGCCCAGACCACCCCCGGCTCCTGCGCAGGGGCGTGACAGAAAAAAGGGGGGCCCAACGGCGCCAAGACTCAGATCGATCATTGCCATCTGAAACAACCGTTGGGGAGGTAATGGAAAAGGAAAACGGCAGAAAGAAAGAAGGAAAAAAAAAAACACGCGGTGGGGCTCGGTGTGGATGACGGCTGAGGGAGGGGTGGACGGCACGGTTAGTTTCAGGGGTAAAAAAAAAAAAAAGCACTCGATGAGATGCTTTGCCGATGTGCGTCGACCAGTGCCGTAATATGGATGGGTGGATTATCCAGGCTTTCGTGATTCCTTCAGGATATACTTTATCCGAGATACTACCATATTCTATCCGTCGATTCCTTCAGACATTACTTGCCTAGTTCCCATAGTAGTAGTGTGAAACACAGCGAATATACACCGATCACTTTCAGGTGACTTAGTACTGACTGCTACCGACATAATGTTCTGTTCCTGAGATCTCACCGTTGGCCCAGAGCGCTGGATCCGGTCCGATCGGCGCGTTGCCTGACACGGTAGCCTTGAGGCCTACGTATGCCATGACGATCGATGCAATGATCGGGATCGATCGAACGGGGGGATCGGCGTGGGTATAGTACACGGTTATACAGTATCCTGTCGTAAGTACACGGTGGATAGTTATTCAATTCCTCAGGTACAATAATGAAAGTGTACAATTATGATCATGGTTCCGTTTTTTTTTCGTTGTAGATTAGTTGACGATTTACTACCTACTAATGAATTGCTACATCTGCCCTACATAGTGAATGTGTTAGTATTTCCTGTGTAAGTATTCGCCCGTATCGAATACTCAACACTATTGGCGCTCGGGCAACCTCGGTGTGACGCTAGCTCGCACTAGTTCCAGCCTGTTGGGTTGATGCCTGAGGTTTGAAATTGTATACAGGAGAAACGAGAACGAGAGCGGAAAAAGAACGGAAAAAACCCAGATGTCAAGAACGGGACCGGTAGAATAATCCCGATTAGGGAAATGCATAAAAAAAATGGAGTAGATCAAGCCGCTCGGCTCTCCCGATCTTGGGCATGGAGACGTATCACCGTGCCGTCTCCCCCACGGTCGACCCGTGGTTCAACGAGATCTGGTTGAATACAGACTTCGCCTTTGAATGTTTTGGTTTTCCTTCTGTGGCTACGTAGGTTCCTAGGGCTGAACGGAACACTCGGCAATGGATTGTGGATGCTCCTGGGGCTGTAATGGACGGGGCCGTTGGATCCTCGAAGAGAGGCCGAGGAAACGCAACGATTGCCTATACAGGAAGGTACCTAAAAAAATACTTGAGAAAGCCTTTGGATGGTGATGTGAATGACACTGCTCAATAATCCATGATGCTATAGATCCTCCCAGCCTTCGGTGATCAATGCTGTTTGGTCCAATGTAAATATGGCAGCAAATAATGCAAAAGCCAGCCACGCATCTACCAAATATAACCTCCTGCTGTGGCGGCATCTATTCAGAAGAACAACTCCTGCACATTCCCAATGTACGTAATACATGGTTGCAAATTCCCAGCTATCCTGGGATAGATGACATGAAAGGCAAAACCAAGAGGCCCAAATGCAAATAGATTCCAACCCAAATATCAAGAAAGGAAAAACAAAACGCTCAAGGGGTATAATTCGCTGTGCATATCATAACCAGATATCGCCTTCTTCGCCATTCACCCATTGCGCCCAAACACGCTCGTAGGCATCTTCCAAATCACGGACCCAGCGCGCCGTGTCGAAGAGCTTGTTGCGGTACCGTTCCTGGAACAGCATCTTGCGGATCTCGGTGAGACGGCCTGTTGCGCGGCCCTCACCGGCGGGTACGTACTGCAGGTCCAGACACAGCCGGATGGCTTTGCTCTCATAATCCTCGTCCGAGCTGGCGATCAGCTCCTCGCGAGCCTGATGGCCGGCCTCGGTGCCGGGGAGAGCACTGCTTAAGATACTGCTCGCCATGCGCGAGCACATCTTGTACTTGTACCGTGGCAGTGTGAGCAGCGGCGTTCCGCTCCAGAGGACGTCGGTTGCTGTCGTATGCGCATTGCATTCAGGAGTATCCAAAAATAAATCCAAGATCTTCGCTCGGGCGATATGCGTGTTCTTTGGGGCGACATCCGTAAAGATAATCCGGGAAGCCGTCTTTTCGCCGGCCCAAGCCACTGCGATATCTCGCAAGTTCTGCTCCCCCAGGTCTGGAAACCGTAGCAACCAAAGAACTGCGTTGGGAATACGCGCCAAAATGCGCAGCCACGAGCGGAACGTCGTGGGTTCAATCTGATATGCAAGTTAGTTCAGGCTAACAATGTACACGGAACACAAAAACTCACCTTGTACAACTGATTGAAGTTCCCAAGGATGATGGTGTCATCGCTAAGTTTGGGAAACAACTCTTTGCGCATCCGCCAACGCCGGATTTGCTCCTCATCCCACGAAACATGCTTCTCGGACGCGTCCGGCGCGCTCTGTCGGTGGTCGCAGCAGAAGAAAGTATCGCGTGTGAAGACAATCTTCTCACCGTAGACCCAGTTCTCAAGATCCTCGCCATGATCGTCCACAAGCATACGATCCTCGATCCGCGCCGTACGCCGGCCGGGACTCAAAGTATCTGTTGGAATGGAAATTTGGTCGGCGAGAATGTAATCGCACCACTCAGCACCGAGCGTCCCTGCAAAACCCATGAATGACATGTGAATCGGCGCAGGGCGAGCTGCAAAGACTTCATTGCGAGCTCCGCGGGTGTAGCCATTCAGATTGATCAGAATATGAATTCCATCGTCGACGATCTGTTGTACAAGACGGTCGACTGACCACCCGCTGGTGTCATGGAAGACCGGTGCTTCTTTCTCGATCTGCTGGCGATGAGCCGACTTGTCGCTCGCAGTAGTAGCATAGCAGTACGCCTTGACGCGAGACGGATTATGCAAACCAAAGACCGACTGCATCAGATGCGCCAGAGGATGATTATTGAAGTCAGACGACACATAACCCACCCGAAGATATGGATTCGGCGGAGACGGCGGGCGGTAAACCGTGCTTGGGAGCCAGGGCAGCCGAAGGGTTGAGCATGAGATACGCAGACCATTCCGCTGAGAGATTTGACGGATTTGCTTGGCAGACAGAGGACAGGTGAAGGTGTGGAAAGGCAGGACCGTTGGCGCGTTGGGTGCGCTCAGCCCAGCCGGGAGCTGCGGACGGCGGTATTTGGAAACAGGATAATCTTTGCCGTACACATAGCGATCCTGATACCACTGCCAGGTGATGAACCGGGTGGCACGCTCGACGAGGCGGACAATGCGGGAACCTTCCCATTTGCGCCCAGCCCACGACTGGAGGGCCTTGACCAGAGACGTCTTCTGACTAGACGCAAAATGGCTGGAGTCCAGAGCCGGCGATAACTGCGCAACGAGCTGCTCCGCAGTGCTGGCGGTCAAGATTCCACGACCCCAGTATTCGCCTTCTCTGAGCTGTCGATCGACAATGTCGACGACCCGTTTGATCCAGCCAGCACCCGTGTCATTGCTCTGGGCATCCCGGAGCATACCCTTTTCATCTACATGCCATCGATCGCGGAAGCCATGGCCATTGACAATTCCACCGCGGCCGACCCAGTTGCAGACGGAGTTCAAGGCATTCGCCAGTCCACACACAGCTTCAGCAAACTCTGGATTCACCTTGACGGCACGCTTGTAATAAGAGATGGAGTCATTCACCCGGCCAGCGTCCTTGACCGCATTCGCCAAATTGGCCAATGCGATATCGAATTTGCCGTCACACTGGACCGCTTGCTCATACATCTTGATGGCAGCTTGGAGCTGCCCGATATCTTTGAGCAGGCTTCCGAGATTGGTGTAGAGATGTGCGTGCCGAGAATCAAGATGCAACCCGTAGTTATAGTAGGCCAGCGCAAGGGAGATCCCGCTGCCGGGCACAACGCCCGGGATTTCGGGGTGTTGGCTCTCTCCATTGGGACGCACCAGCCCTCTCGCCGGCGGATTGTTTTGGATTCCAGCCAACAAGATCCCCACGTTGTTCGCCGTAGATGGACTTGGTTGGAGGGAGAGAGAAAGGTAGTAAAGAGCAAGGATATCACGCACACCGGGGGTTGATCGCGGGGAGCTTGATGACGAGATGTTGGACATGCCATCTTGGTAAATCTTTGCCAAGGACAGGAGAGAGTTGCTAGTGGTCGAAACCGCTGCGTTCCTTGCGAGACCCTCGGCGACGTACTTGAGACCTGGTGGCATCCCCCCGCTCTGGAAGACAAGCTTGGAGGTCTGTAAGGCCCGGTCGGGGTAAAGAAGAATACTTTCCTTCGAGTCAGGCATCGATGCAGAGTAGCTGTTGCTCGATCCCTGGGAGAAAGCGGCGAAAATCTGCTTAATGAGGCTTTGGATGCCATGCCGTCTTCTCCCAGCGGCAATGAGGACAGCATCCTCAAATGCAGATGCCGCCCCAGCATTGTCACCAAGAGCATAAAGCATGTTTCCTTTGGCATGAACCAAAGCCAACATCCTGCCATTGTCCGAACCCGGAATTTCATAGCCGCTGGACGCAAACCCCACGGGCTTGGCGGTATCCGGCGAGCCAAGATTCCAACTCTGGGCACGGCCCATGTCATCATCATAATCAAACGATGCCTTATCGAACATGCCCACATCGGACACGCTACTATCTGCATCACTTTCGGTTTCACTGGCATGCTCATCCGTCTTGAAGCAGTCACCGTCCTTAGGATAGCGGAGAGAGCTTTGGACAAAGTCAATGATGTTGACGGCCTCTTTGCCACGGTGACTGGTGCACAACAGGCCGATCAGGTGCTCGACAGCTTCAAAGAAACTGGGACGTAGTTTCACGGCACGCAGCCAGTGCTGGAGAGCCTCCTCTCGGCGATCAAGAGCCAAGAGAGTTGCGGCTAGGTTAGATATACCTTCCACGTGCCTAACGTTCCGTCAATATCAAGTAAATCCGTTAGAAAAAAAGTCTACTCACGATGAATCGCGCGCGAGAATCCTGGAGTACCACCTCATCGCCTTGTGGTAATCGCCTAGTCCATAAGCCAGACAACCCGCAAGAAGCATTCCATCGATCCATTCCCAGCGACTTTCGGAACACAGGTTGGAGAGCATCTCCAGTGCAGACATGGCATTAGTGACTGGGGATCCCTCATTGAACAACGAACCAGAGAAACGCGAGGTTGACGGAGTCCCCGAGAATCGCCCATTAGTTAGGTCAGACCCCCTGTGGTGGTGTTGGAATTGACTCAATGAGGGGCGTCGGCTGTTGCGGTCTCCTTGGGAAAGAGGAGTGGAGTGGGAGGAGTTGTTTTGCCTCAAAAGATTCAGCTTCTGTGTGTGCAAATCATACTGACTTGATGGGTAGCTATTATGACGATGGATCTCGGGCGCGGAGGTTTGTGAGGAGAAATCGAGACCCGGTTGGCGCGGAGGCTTGGGGTATATGCTGGGTTTCAAGAATCGATGGTTCTGGCCATCAGCGCCTCCATTAGAGATGCTGTTGCGGCGAGCCTGGTGGATGGTGGCAAGAAGATCAACATAGACTCCATGTGCCCAAGACAACACCTTCTCTTTGAATTCCACACTCGCTGCCACGGCTGGCCCGGGGTTTTGGAAATTGTTCCCCGATGGGCGGCCGGACCAGGTGATAGGGTCGGTATTTAGTGGTGGTAGCGTGGATATACTTCGGTTCGCGCGCGCATGGTAAGGAAGTTGTTCGGAGTGTCGGGGAGGGAAGGCAGGCATTCCGGGGGTAGATGGAGCCCATGGAAATGCCGAGTCAGGACGACTGGCCAGCGGGATTGGAACGGAATTGAACCCAGTCTGACTTGGGCCGTAGAAGGGCTGGCCGGCCGCATCGAATTGCTTCGCAAAAGGGGTTGGCGAGTCGAATCGTGAATCGCGAAAGGCAGCGGGACGGTAGGGTATATAGACACCGTCCGGCCAATACGGACCAAACGGCCCGGTGCCAGCGGACGCTGTCGGTCCAACGCAAGGTTGCAAAGTCGCGGGTAACACGGTCGGGATATAGGCGCCATTATGCAATAGAAAACGCTGGGATGGCTGGAGGGGAAGGGACTGGTGGAGAACCGAGTCGATGCCAGGGGCGTAGTTGACAGGGCGGACCCAGCTGGCTCCGTTCAGATCTTGAATCACTTCCCCGGCGGGAAGAGCACTGCCGCCGGCGGCATCGTTCTTGAAGATGGGTGGGAAATTCAAATGCTTGGGGGTCGCGGATTGATCCAATGTGGGTTGTAGCCAGCCGTCCGTCTGCATCGCCGCCTGGGGTGAGAGAAACTGGCCGGATTCCAATGGCGAGACCAAAATGTGCTTCGTTGCCGGTGGCTGAATGGTGCTGTCACCAGGGGTGCCATCGTAGCCAGCCGACAGCGTGCCGTTGGGGGTTTTCCTCCTCAGGGTATGCTCCCCGACCGCGTTGGGATTCGAGGTTGTGCCGGCCGCATCGCGGGGGTTGGGGCGTTGGACCGGGTGCGGGAGCTGCTGGTGTGTCCATGATATGGGATTATAAAAGGGTTTGGAGGGGTCACTGCGAGTCATGGATGCAAAATGATCGTGCGAGTCGTAGTTGAGGGCATCGGGGATGCGATGGTGCGGCTGAACCGGGGGAAAAGGTGTGACGGTCGGAAACATCTTCGCGTGTTGTCCTCCACCACCAACTAACAGCAACGGGATGCCTCGAGGCCGACCAGCGACAAGGGGGCACCGAGCGAATTCGAGAATCAACACAGGATCAGTGGAACTCGGTCGAGACAATCAACAAGCATCCTCCTTGTAGCGTTTCCGACACCTCATCATGAGTCTGCGGGCCAGCAAACCAGGTATGATTTACACTGGCATCGGCAAGAAGAAGAAGAAACAATAATGGTCGACAAAGGACAGACAGGCGATGTTGATAATCACGATCGGGACCAGGACAAGCAAGGGGAGGAAGAAAAGGGAAGGGCTTAGTTAAACAGGACGAAGATGCTGGGGCGGCCAATCGCAGAACGGGTCTTGGCAGGACTCGTGTGCGAGGGAGGAATAAATAGACGCCGATCAACCGTGAAAGGGAGACTTGGGGAGATGGGGAGAAGGGAACAGAGTAGTTCGTGGCCTCAGCTGACTCGACAGCAGTCACTCGCTCGTTCTTTCCCTTCCTTTCTTCTCTGCCATCTCCCTCTCGTCGTTTTCATTCTCTCTTTCTCTCTCTCCTACTCCACCGACCCACTCGATCCAACGGCTGAACTCTCCCCTCCAGCCAGTGGACTAATCATGGATCGCTGACGCCCCGCCGTGACGATCGAGTCGAGCCCGTTCGCGGTGGATCCCTACTATCACCTATCTGAGGCGCCACACCGCAATCCCTCAAGCGCAGAGACCCGAGACCATCCACCGGTCCATACGCGCCCTGCCATCCTGCAGCCACAGCCCTGATCACTGACAGGGAAAGGGCTCATCTGATCCCTGATCGTCCCTCTTCCCCCCCTGCGCTCACCGAAAAAATGTTGCCTGGCTTAGGGCAGCATGCGGTCGCACTGGGTTATACTAATCGAATCTTCCAACGGATCCCCCAGAGCGATCGGCACTCCCCACCATGGGTGTGCTTGCGTGATTTGCACAGCGTGCTTGGCCGGGTCGTACAGGCTATGTACTCAACGGAGGTGCTGAGACAAACAGTCCATAGTACAGAGCCCTCCGTATATGGTAGCCAAATTATTCGCCGACTGGGCCCCAGTTAGCTAGCCAAGCTGTCCCAGACTGTCCCCACCGGGGATCGTCGTGTGTGTGGAGTACTGCTCCTGCGACCAACGCATTTGCCGCACTAGTTAACGGACTGGCGGTAGTATACGGGGTAGGCTTGGTGAGATCCCTGAACGCTGACTCGTAGGGACACGTTTGGAACAGGCTGTTTGCATGGTGGGTGTCACCCTTGGGCCGTTGGGTGGTTTCAGTGCGGAGCTTGGGAAGAGTAAGTGAACCGGAAGACTGTGTAGAGGCACACGATACGATAGAAAGGGCAGAGAACTCCTGGGACTCTGCTTGCTATGGAAGGAGGAAGATGTTCACCCAGTTGTATCGCTACTAGGTACGACGGAGGAACTCAACTAAATAGAAAGATGCGCTACATATCAATAATGAGACAGTGGGTTGGTTGGACGCCAGAAATGGCCCCTTTTGATGCAGGTTTAAGCCTCTCACTCATTCTTAGCCCCTCACATGTACATGGCCAGAGACGTCTACTATTACCTCTATCTCCCGTTGGCCAGGCGTGGTGCCTGATCCCTAGTGCTTACTCGAGATTCAGCCGCTGCAAGCTTCGTCCTCGCTCACCCTCTTTTACCTCCCCTCCCACATAGATGGGAGCTATTTTGGGCTTCCTAATTGAACACCTTCCGTAGTGCAGCACTAAAAGATGCGGTGGCACGAGCTCTTTTCCATCCCATCGAATATGTCATGGCCGAATGGAACTCACGAGCTGTTGTATTTATAGTTCAGTTACGTGCCCTCCCTAAATCAGTCTACATATTCATTCCTTTAGCCCGCGACGTGCGAATTTAGGATCCCGCGCTATGTAGTATGGCGCCAAGGACTTTCCCAAGCTCTGAATTTATACTGGTTGAAAGGGGTCGAGGTGATAGTTGCCATTCAGCTTCGGGGTGTCTGCATTTACTGTTGTTGAACATATAGGCTATCAAAGCTTAATTATCAAGTCCTTTTCAACTCTTCACTCTCCTCAAAAATCAGGAACAAGAAGATCTTATGTACTATTGACTATTGACTATCAGGCATCTTCGAAACGGGTCGTTCCTGTTGGCCCTGGGTTGATGCCCGTTACGGTTATGCTTTCATTGAAGCTTTTATATTGTCGTACACATATACGCATCCTTGTATACAACTCCTCGAAATATATCTCCTTAACATTCTCCACCCCGTGGGTCATATCATGGATATCTGCTCGCCTACTGCACCATATGCATTGACATACCTTTGCATTGAGTTACGATTTCATGAACAGACTAAGCACTCGGTTCCAGAGCGACGACTCGGCAAAATAAAAAAAGACTTATTGTGCATTAAACAGCCACACGTAGATATTAGCATCTACTTCTTACAGTGTCACAGTGCATGCATGCACGCATTGCAGACGAATTCTACAAGAGTTTAGGAGATGTAGACCCGTATGATGGATCGCTGCAACCACGGAGACAGAAGCCTCCAAGGAATACCGCGATGAGTAATGGGACGAAAGTGTTGCTCTCCTTTGCTTAAAATAAGCCGATACCACGATGTAAAGATAGATCAAACCCCGCAGGGAGAGAACGGTATGGGCCAGAGTGTTGCAAAGGTTTTGTTTTGGGAAGTGCCATCTACCATCCTCGTCGCCATAGAATGGATGCGAGAGGATTGAGATCCAGGCATGAAAGGGAATTGATGAAATAATGGGGAAACGGAAGAGAGAAGATGCGAGTAGATCCATTGGTATGTATCCGTTCGAATACCCGCAGAGAGATCAAAGGTATCAGGGTCATGAGTCATGAACATATTTTTTTTCGAGGGTTCGTATTCTCTGCAACTAGCACCGCAAAGAAGCAGAAATGCACAAATGCACCGCCGTTACAAAGCAGACAGCCACCTCATCCTTCATTCAAGAGGATCATTTACTCCTCAGGGACTGCAGAGACAAGTTAGTACGATCCAGACAAGTCACCTCACCGAAAAACTTACTGTCAATCTCGCCGGCCTTGACATCGTCGCTGACATCCTTGGGGCTGCGGCCGTCGACCTGGCAGCCGACAGAGAAGGCAGTACCCAGGATCTCGAGGACAGTGCCGCGGAGCTCCTTGGCCATCGAGCGCTCGCGCATGGTGCGGGCGATCTCGATGACGTCGTCCAGAGGGATGGACTTGGAGTGCTTGATGTTCTTCTCCTTCTTGCGGTCACGGGGAGGCTCCTTAAGAGCCTTGATGACCAGGGAAGAGGCGGAGGGCACAACCGAGACGGCGGCCTGACGGTTCTGGATGGTGAGCTTGACCGTGACACGGAGGCCCTTCTATATCCCCCAACAAAGCGCTGTTAGATGTTGCTTCTATAGTGCAATTGGAGAGTTTTGTGGTCGACGCACCCAGTCGCCAGTGTTCTTGGCAATGTCTTCACCAATCTTCTTGGGAGACAGACCCAGGGGACCGATCTTGGGAGCCAGAGCGGACTGGGCTCCGACCTCACCACCAGTCACACGCAGGTGGCTAGACATAAAGAGTCAGCTTTGAAAATTTTGGAGGACCGAAGAAATTTGCACTTACATGATCTTCACCTCATTGGGGTCGAGCTTGGGAGCTGACGGAGAAATGAGATGTTAGTCGCCATATTGCAGGTAACCAAGGAGATGATACTCACGCATGGCGAGTGCGAAAGGTAGTCGATCTTCCTTAGGTTGTCGAAGGGAGTGTGGTTGGAGAGAAAGAAAAGGGAGCGGCAGAATAATGGGGCAAGTAGCCGCACCAACAGTAAGCGAGTGGTCCGTGCACTCCATCTAGGGCCAACCCTGTCACGTGACTTGTTCAGACCAGTGATACTGTATGCCATTTCAATCTACGACTATAGCCAAACGAAGAGTTTAGAAATCACCGCTAAAGATACACAAGACCTTGCTCTCTCTCAAATAACCCCTCCTAACTAGTTCCGGAAACGGCAAGCCTGAAAGGAGTTATAAGTCAGAACGGAATGATAGTAGAACAGCGGAGGATCACTTACTTCATCAGGTGATCCATGAACGTCTGCAGCGAGACGTCATCCGTGAAGATGGTCTGCGAGGACACACCGCCACCGTAGCCGCCAGTGGCGTGGGTGGTTGAAGGATTCAGCTTGGACAGCAGGAAACGGGCCTGGGAGCCGCCCGCGTCACAGACAATGAACCGGGGCAGCGGGAACCGATCGGCAATGAGTTCCTAGAAGAACGTCAGTTTAAAGGGAAATCATCAACAGGAAAGGTGGCACAAACCCTTGCATCCTCCTTGGGCTGCTCAAGAAGCGCCTTGAGATTCTCGTAACCCTCCTGGTCTTGGTAGCCGGCTTTTCGCCATTCGGCAATGGTCTCGCCGTGGAAGATGAGGATGTGGAAGAAAGTGTCAAGGAGAAGGATGTGCGTGGGCTGAATGGAGGCAGAATCCAAGAGCACTGGCTGGCTGCCCTCCTGCTCCAGCGAGTACGAGTCCAGAGTTGGCTGGATCATGACCAGCGAGTCGCCGGCATCCTCGTGGTTCAGGACGTGCCTGTAGAACGCGGTCTCATCGGGCGAGTTGTTGAACACCTGCAGGAACTGGCTGCGGCGGAGATGGAACATGAACTGGGGATAGAGGGTGAAATTCTTCTCCAGTCGGAACGAGGTAGGGTCGTCTTTCCGGTAGTCGGCAAACCGCGAACAGAGCCTGATCAACATCCGGTCCACCCATCGAAGCACATCGGGGCCATCGTCCACCTCGGCCTTGAAAACAGCAATACGTGCCATGAGTACGGCAGCCGCTTCTTGGTCGAACGACTGGGCCAAAGTCGGGTCGCCCGCAGGTCCGCTTAAGGGTCGAGCCGTGGTAGTCACACGCAGGTGGTAATGCCCAGATGAGTGCTGGTAGTATGTCAAGAACTGCATCATGCCCTTTTGCGGACCAGGCTGCACGGCGGCAGGGCCGCCTTGGTTGGCAATCTCAAAGTAAATACCGTAGCTGGACGACGGGTCGATACCACACATCTTCCATGCACAGGTGTTGCCAATACCGCACTCCGTCTCGCCAACAGAGCTCGACTTCTTGTTTAGCGAGATGGCATGACCGATGAGCCCAGTGACCTTGAGCTCCTTGGTGGTCAGGACTTCGAGAGAGGCATTGAAGCCCATCAGCAGATTATCATTGTCATCCTTGTCAAACACGCGGACAAAGGATTGCTTGAACTGCGATGATGTGAAGCTATCCGTCAAAAGCATGTGGCCGCCAGTGTAGTTGGACAGATTCTTCATTTCCAGCATGCCGACTTGATCCAGACATCCAGCGAAGATGTCGACGACATGGCCATTATTCGCAGCCCGCTTGGCGAGATTGTCGTAGAACTGAACCTATTAGCAGAGGATTTACCAAGAGCAGATTTACAACCAACCTTGACAGCCTTCTTGTAGTACTTGATATTATCACGATCGATGTCGTGGTGCGAACGGATCGGTTCCTTGAGCTCCGGCGAAACAACGTTGCCGGGCCCTTCGGTGGCTGCTCCACTGGTGAAGGCCATGATGCGACCACCGGCATTCTGGAAAGACGTCTCCAGCAAACCAATAGCAACGCTCAGCGCAACACCCGTGCAGCGCAGGGGACGCTTGTCGTTGGCTACAGGCCAGGGATCACGCTGCAGCTGTTCGAGGACGTTGGTGATCTGGAACTCGGCCTGCTGAACCGGCAGAAGGAAGCGTGCAGCCGGACCAAGAGGAGGGCGAGCGGGTTGTTGCTGGGGGACACCGGGGCGCAGGGCCTGAGCAAGGCCGAGCATCTCCTGCACCTGCTTGGCGGCATAGTCCTTGTTGCCTCGGAACACGTACGACTTGGCACACTCGGTATAGCCGAGCTCGTGAACTTGGGTCTTGAAATTGATGTCAGCTGCATGCTACTTTCCGGGATGTGGTCATTCCTACTGTTGTGCCGAAGGTGATCAGGCCCACCAGCGCATTCGGCGGCAGAAGGGACAGGCTCATCACCAAGGAATCCTTGACGGCCTGGAGGCTGTCCTCCTCCTGACAGGTATCGACAACATAGACAAAGATAGGTGGAGCCGGGGCCGGGCGTGCCAATTGGTATTCGATTGTCGTGCTCGAGGGGTGAAGCTCCGGGGGTATTGTGTTCTCCGTGATGTCCTTGTAGTGCGGGGGAAGAGGGTTGCGCATCAGACAGAAGGGACAGATCCAGATCCGCGCGCGAACATCCACCGTGCTGGCCTTGTGTCAGTTTTCCTTTATGCCAAAACCGAGGCTAGTACAACATACGCATATGGGTTGAGGACAGCTCGGCAGGGCTGTTTACAGGTCACAGGCTCGTATTGTAGCAATGGGGTATCGGGCTTCTCCTTCAGTGGCGTATAGATGGCAGCAATGGGGACGACAAGGCGGGATGCTTCCTATCGTGAGGCTGTTAGTAGCTGACGCGATGGGGGGCTAAGGGAGGAAGCCAACGGATCCTACGAACCATGCGAGAGCTCGGGAAGGTGTTCCAGCTAAGCCTGATGCCATCGCGATCCTCGACATCGCTCCATTGATCTTTCATCGCCTCGTAATCCATCTTGTCGGTGGGTGTGCACGGTCTCGGGGGGCGGTGGTGACCAAGGGGAGGGGGAGAGGGGAGAGGGAGCTGGGGTGGGTTGGTTGGGAAGACCGGAGAGGGAGGGGATTGGGTGTAAGGGGAAGTGAACTAGACAACAGGACAACCCAGACCCAAACAAAAAGCAAAGAGAGCGGGACCCCCGACGACGACGTTAGGGACGTTGGAGCAGTAGTAGTGAGGGACTGACCGACTGTTGTGTGCCCAGCCGGGGGTGATTAAGGCCAGGTTGCAGCACACCTGGTCGCTCCCGTCCGCCCTACCCAAACAATGAAATCTCGGCACCTTTCGCTTTCCCTTTCGATTTTCTTCCAACACCGCCGACTCCAACAATAATCACATTACTGTCGACAACTTTTAGTCCTGCTATGACCAAAGTTGTTTTCGCGTCGAGCGCAGATTGACTTGACCCGTTGCTGGGCACCTGGCTTTGAAAGGTCGTTCCGATCCTTTCGGATTTGCTGGGAATCAGCTGTGGTCACACGTCTCTCGCTAAGACAGAATCTTTATGTATATATTTGCATCCCATTCGTTCATTGAGTTGAAATCTACCAATCCCTGCGCCTCCAACGCCCGAAAAGTCCCTTCCACACAAAAGATACAAGACACATAACATCATGATTGTCCAGAGAGACCCTCACGCGTCCCGCGGGGCCTTGGCCAGCTGCTTGAGAAGATAGCTGCGCTTGAAATAGGTGTTGGGGTGGACAATGGTATCCAGATCCGCCGCGCTCCAGGTCCCGTCTTCCTTGACCTTCTTGATCTCGTTCTTGTGTGCCCACTCGAACACTCGGTTACAAGCAATGTGATAGCGTGTCTTGCCCACATCTTCGCGCACACCCCGCAGCACCTCTTTGTCGTGAACGCCGGTGGACTGGAGCAGTCCCACGAGGTTATCCACAGAGTAATGACGATACGGACACCCGTGGCTCTGCCCAACACCCGGGTTGGAATCGCCGAGGATCTTCTGGCATGAGTAGGGCGGGTAGCCCCGGCCGCGCCGGTTGACGTCTCCCCCGACGTCTCCGTAGGCGTGGCGGATATTGTACTTGTAACGAGAATTGAATTCGTCATCGGTAAACCCCTTGAACGACTGGCGCCAGAAGAGGATACATTCCTCTAAGGAGAGGCCGATGCCCTTCAAAAACAGTGTGTATTGCAGTCGCCCAAAGTGCTTCAGATGGTTGTTCTTCCGCAAATTGGTGTGTAAGCTGCGCATGCACAGCGGGAAGTGCTGCGAGAGCTGGTCAATGGAGGCGGCCGTAATGGGTGCGCCGTCCACGTAACCTTCGCCTTCCGAGTACACGGACTCGGCGCTGCCAAAGTTCTTGGAGAGGTGATTTAAGATGGGAGTCAGGCGGTCGTCCTCATCCAGACGCGGCAGGGCTCGGCTCGTAAGCTGTTTTATCGTCAGTCAACACCCGTGAAATATCAGAGTAATATGGTGAGCAGCCATACCTCTAGTGCTCGTTCCAAGCGCGCCGTGAACTCGGCAATGATCATGCTCAATTGTTCCCGGCCAGGAACATACGCCTTGCCCTTCTTCAGAAAGACAGTCCGCCGCTCAACCAGCTCAGGCACCTTCTCCCAGTCGACTTTATACCAAGTTTCCTCATCCACCCGACGAAGCCCAGGCGTAGCGCCCACCAGACTCTCCGCGACTTCATTCTTCTCTTCCTCACTAACAGGTTCCCATTCGAGACTGAGACTATCAATGAACGCGCGTCTCTCTTTGGAATCATCCTGCTGGAAGCGAAACCGGAACAGCATCGTCTCCGCGCGTGCAAACCGCCGGCGCAGGTCCTCCGTGGCCGAAAAAGCCAAGCGGAGAATGAAGTGGGAGTAGTGATCCTTTTGGCGTTCATTCTTCAAACGTTGGTCCGCAGCACCGTTGGGGGAGGACGTGTTGGAGGAGAGAGGGAGGAATTTCTGCAGCAGCGGCGTGATGTGCGCGGCCGTCTCGGCGGGGGTCTTGTTTCGATAGGAGCATGCTTCGATCTCGGCCAGGACTGTCTCCACGTTAGTCGAGAGTGATAGCAGTTTGCATGGTGCATACTTTTCAGTCTGTCAATGGCCCATTGCTCAAACTGCTCGAGGGTGATCTCCGCTGTTGGCGGCGTCTCGTAGAGGTTCAGCCGGAATGGGTAGTCTTGCTGCTTGTAGGCCGGTGCGGCAAACTGGCGTTTTTTATGGTCGATGACCGCCCTGCGCTTGGGGTCAATTCGATGTGCGTCTTGCCGGATCATGGTGTTCGGCTGGCGGTTCCACAGTATGTATGCGTTGGAGTTCGTCTGGGCGAGGTTCTTTCTGGTCGAGACACGCGACGCGCCAACCAAGGACGCGCAAGATCACGTGATTCGGTGCCTCGGGACAAGGAAGAGGAGTTAAGTACAGGGAGTAAATGATAATGATTCGTGATTGCATGTGCAACTATCAACTTCGGCAGTCCATATAATACTTATTGCTTGTGGCCGTCTCTCTATTACTGTTGTTCATTCCATCGGACGATCCCACCCCGTTCTCCGCTCACCGGCCGCCCGAGACAGTTGGAACGCCAAACCCCACAAAATCGCAAGAAGGAATTGCTGATCCCCAACGCTCTCAGCATTTAAGAATGGCCTGATAGCTCTCGCCTTCTTCCCATCCACTGTATATCTTCGCTCAGGATGTCACTCCCAACAACACAAAAGCTCAAGAAAGCTGCGCGCATCATCCTCGTCGGGGCTCCTGGGGTCGGAAAAGGCACCCAGAGCGAACGCTTGCTCGCCCGCTTCCCCCAACTCGCTTCAATTAGCTCGGGAGATTTGTTGCGCGAGAATGTGCGACGAAAGACACCACTCGGTAGGTTGTGAGACGACTCCGGTGTACGGTTCTCTCTGACGCCGTCAACAGGCCTTCAAGCCGAGGCCGCAATGCAGTCCGGCAACCTCGTCCCAGACGCCATGATCCTCAACCTGATCGCCTCCGAATTGAAGACCAAGGGCTGGCTCCCAGAAGTTTCATCCTCATCTCCCAAACTATCCCCCTCCGCCTCATTCATCCTCGACGGCTTCCCGCGCACCGCAGCGCAAGCATCCAGCCTCGACACCATCGTCCCTGTCAACTTCGTCGTGCACCTCCTCACACCACCATCCGTGATCCTCTCGCGCATCGCATCGCGCTGGGTGCATGAGCCATCAGGCCGAGTGTATAATACGGATTTCCATGCGCCCCAAGTCCCCGGGAAAGACGATGTCACGGGCGAGCCCTTGACGCAGCGCGAGGACGACTCCATCGATACGTGGAAGCAGCGGTTGCGCAAGTTTGAGGAGACGAGCAAGGCGCTGTTGGAACATTATGATCGGCGCGGCTGTCTCTGGCGCGTTGAGGGTAACTCCAGCGACGAGATCTCGCCCCAGTTGTTTGCCGAGGTTGAGCGAAGGTTCTGCTAGACCCTGCCCTCCATCCTTGTACTCATATATATTCACTTTGGTGAGACGTCTTTTGTCTGATACCCTGTTGTTCATGACGGTTGCTTAGAATGCAGTCGCCCGCGCGGCGCTCAATCACTCCAGCCTAGCATAGCAATGTACATATTCTCTTGTCTATCATATCATCTCGTTCATATGCATTATTTGTTATGACTTTGGTTTCCCGTTATAGTCAGACGAGGGATCCCCCATGCCCATGCGGATCTTGTAATCCCGCGGACTCTCCCAGTCGGACCCGATCTTGCGATAATCCTTCCACAGCCCCTTGGCCCGGACCTTGGCCCACCATTCCGCACGCCGATACTGCTGCTCCATGTCGTCGCCGCCAAATTCCGATCCGACTTTCGCTTCGTAGACGGTCGCCAGCCCTCGCTTCAGCATCTCGTACGAGACATCCCGTCGACGGAACGGTGGGAAGTCGAACGCGCGCCGCACAAATACACTCGCGACGACACGGTGGTATTGATCTTGCCGGTAGACGAGGGCGCGCACGCGCCGGTTAGAGAGGTATTGGGTGAGCCAAGCATGGGCGTCACGCGCGAAGGGTTGTTCAGGGCGGCCAAAATGAGCGAGCTCGGGGGCGTCGACACCTGCTAGACGGATGTGAATCTTTGGATAGAGTTAGTAGAGCGTCAGAATGAGTTTGCAGGTGGTGTCAGAGAAGACGTACGGTCTTATCCTTTAGTTCTTTCTTCGTACTCGGCACTTTCTTCCACGGCAACCAGCCCCATCCAGCGAGTCGACCACCAGGCGTATGGAATATCCGGAAATTATCCCCATCACCGACGCTGGTCACCGGCCCAAAGACCGAGCGGCGACGGAGGAAGGCCGGCGAGATGCTGGGCGCATCGGGGAAACGACGCAGATAGCGGCGGTGGAAACGAACAGCAAGTAAGATTCCGCTCGTGAGAATGAGGGTTGGGAGGAGAGTCCGAGGTTCGGTAAAGGCGGCCCAGTCGAGCTGTGTGTTCGTTGTTGCGGGGATGGACGCGGACGAGCTCGACACGTTGGAGGACTTCGGGTCGCGCTCGTCATCGCTTGACGGAGTGCTCCATGGCGGCCATCGCATGACGACACCTGTGTCTTTTCGATTGGTGTGGCAGGCCGGACGAGGCGAGCTGCGGGTGGCGAGTTGTGTCGGGGTGAAGTTGGTGATCTCGGCGGAGGCTGTCTTGCCGATCACCGACCATAACAGAGGCTGGACGATATTAGCAGTATAGGGCTCAGTACGTGGGAAATTATGTAGCATCGAATATTGTTACGGAAATAATTGATTCAACATTCAAACGGTGCGTGCAAGATAAAGCGTGTATATACAAGTCTATAATGATATTCAACGAAACAAGTTTCTATCATCAAGCCTTTGGAGGAAGGTCTAGACTGTCCAAACGTCCAAACGTCCAAACGGAAACGCCATACAGAGAAAAGAAATCGGAGTGAAAAAGAATTATTTCAAGGTCGCCGGCATGCTCGTCTTGGCCTTCTGGGCGGCACTGTCAACGGCCTTCTGCAGCTTGTCCTTCTTGATCCGCTGGAGATAGGCGAAGAGCAGGACGAACATGAGCTCCATTCTCTCTTTGGTCATCATCAGCAGGCCCTGCACCAACAGACCCTTGGTGATTTGGGGCCCAATGCCCTTGAACAGGGACAGAAGACCTTCGTTCTTCACGATATACCGCATGACTTCCCCGAAAGTCTTGAACGGCTTACCCTGCCGACCGGGCGGCGGGCGGGACTGCAGACCGACTTTGGCGACGATCAGAGGCTGGGTTGCAATGGTAGCGAGAGCCTTGGACATGGCACCAAGCACTAGACACAATTCGTTAGTGCCCAAGTTTATATGAAGCCTCATCAACACGACTTACTAAATGCTTCCCACGGCTTGAGATTGGTCCTGCCCGCGAAAAAGACATCCTTCAGGCGCTGATATGCGCCATAAGTGATGGCTGGGTTCACAACCAGGATCAAGCTAGCCTTCAAACCGCGCCACAGGCCGGACCAGCCGTCCTCGCTCTCCACAACCTCGCGGCCCGTCTCGAACAAGCCCTTCCTCTCGCCCTTCGGCTGCGTTTGTTGCCGGGTCGTGATGACTGCCACGGGGATGGTGAAGATCTGCGCCACGGCACCAGCCACGGCACCCAGACTGAGCTCGATCATCGTCCCCGGCGGCTTCGGGACCTTGTTGGAGGCCATATAGAGAGTCCGCACGACGCTGTACCAGTAGAAGTAGGCGAAGTTGGTGGACGCAACCCCGATGAGCGCGCCGGCAATGCCAGAGTAGAGCCCGGCGGTGCCCTCCTTCTCCACGATCTTGACGATGGCGTCCATGGTCGACTTATAGTGTTCGACATCTTCCGACTTTTCGGCTCCGGCGGCCTCCTTCACCTGTACTTGCAGCTTCGTCTTGACGCTGGGATCGAGTTAGCCGACTTCATTCTTTCTCTCCACGAGCTTCTCTTACAGATCAAGTGGGTAGACCATGGCATTGGCGAGGACGGCACCGGTCGCGCCTGCCACGGCACTGCCCCATGGCGAGAGCGCAGGCTTTGATTGACCAGCCATCGTTAGTTATAAAGCAGCTCGCTGTCTCAGCGGCCAAGGGAAAAGGGCGAACGAGCGGGGCTGTAACTCGCAATGGGAGCTCCGGAACAACAGAATCACCAGAGAGAGATGCTTGGGAGAGAGGGGCAGAGCAGGTCAGTTCAGGTCAAGTCGTCACAACCAACACGGGAAAGAACGAGAAAAGGCCCGAGATGCACCGCCGGGGGCATCACTGATTGAACAGACCCAACACCTCGGCGAGTCCACCACGAGCACGAGCCGAGGTCGTTCGGCTGCTTATGTCAGACCCGGTATCGCCGTACTTGAGTTACCCTGAATGAACATCAACACCATGGAAGTCAATGTCCTCCGACTTTGTCCGGTCCCTCTGCCGGCTCTGCTGAGCCTGCTAGAGTCCAGCTTGATTGGTGGTTCTCAGTCATCGGAATTTATCCTCCTAGCTCGGAATTGTCTAGGGTCGTTCGGCTCGGCTGGCCCATTTTCGGCAATTATTACGATTTGGCTAGACCTCAAACATGGTTAGCCCCAATGGATCTACGCAGTCGCACATCTCCCAGGCTAGAGTACATCATTTCCCCAGATTATTTCCTGCTCTTGATGTCCATGACTGACCGCCCGCCCAGAAAGCCGAGGGCGCTGTCGACACGGCCACCTCGCGGAATGCGGCGTTGGAGGCGGCGATCGATGCCGCCGAGCATTACATGAAAGCGTTGCGTCTAGCGCCTGCCGCTGAAAAGACGACCCTCGATGCAAAATGCAAAGACCTGCTCACCAGGGCGGAGAAAATTAAGGGCGCTGCTGACTGGCAGTCGGCGGCGTGGGGGGAGTCTCGCAAGGGATTGCGACCTCCTACTTCCAAGCGCAAGCTCACGACTCGCGAAGAGATCATTATCCTCGAGGGAGCGAAGCTGAATGGATTTAAATTTCCGCCATGGCAGCATACACCAGCTCCGGAGGAATTGCTATTGCCGGACAGTCAGGTTTTCACGTAGGTCGGAGCAAATGCCGTCACAGATGGTAGGACTGACTGGATGCAGAGATTCACCGGACCTTCATATTTCAGAATGTCAACGGGCTATCTTCGCGGGCTGGAAACGTCCGCGCGAGCTGCTGCTCTCAAGAGAGGCTGATGCTGATAACCCCGTCATGTCCGTGTCAACTGCCACGGACCTGGTGCAGGATGTATTGACCGATTGCTCGGTGGTTGCAAGTCTCTGCGCCGCCACCTCGCGCTCAGAGCGCGGTCTGGGAAAAGTACGATGATATAACCTCTTTGGCAGATAAAGCTGACCAAGTCTAGCATGCGATGCCAGCAATGTTCCCCTGTGAAGGAGAGCAAGAAGAACCCCAAACATCATCTTCCGGGAAATACATCTTCCGTTTCTATTTCAACGGATCGTTTCGAAAAGTGGTCATTGACGACCGACTACCGTCTTCGAAAACCACACGGTCACTCCATGTGATCGATCGAAAGCACTACAACTTTCTATGGCCGGCACTAGTCGAGAAAGCATATCTCAAAGTCCGTGGGGGCTACGACTTTCCGGGAAGCAACTCAGGAACCGATCTCTGGGTTCTGACCGGGTGGATCCCGGAGCAGGTCTTCCTCCATCACGAGGATACTACCTCCGATGAGATCTGGGGCCGCTTGTACAAACCTTTCCACGTCGGTGACGTGGTCCTGACCATTGGAACGGGCAAGCTGACCGAACAGGAGCAAAACGGGCTGGGATTGGTGAGTGAGCACGACTATGCCATACTAGACATGAAGGAAGTCCACGGACGTCGCCGGCTCCTTCTCAAGAACCCATGGGCCGGCGAAGAAACTGAGCAGACCCAATCTGTATTCAGACAAGATGAACTTTCGCCTCTGTCACCAGGGATCTTTTGGATGGATTGCGAGCAGGTTCTGCAGAATTTTGAAAATCTTTACCTGAATTGGAACCCTGGCCTGTTCAAATACCGCGAGGACATCCACTTCACCTGGGATCTGTCCCAGGGGCGAGGAATTGCTGGCTGCTTCATTAAGAACCCTCAATTCTCGATTCACAGCGAGTCGGGAGGTACAGTCTGGCTTCTGCTCGGGAAACACTTCAAGACCGTGGACCACCGCATCAGAGACCAAGAATTCATCAGCATCTACATATTTACGGCGGACGGGAGAAGGGTTTCCTTGAGCGATGGGGGACTTCATCGGGGGCCCTACGTGGATTCGCCCAACACACTCATGAGGCTGGAGATGCCTTCGAAGACGACCTATACAGTTGTGGTTTCCGAGCAGTCGCTCCCTTCGTTGAGCCAAAATTTCACACTCTCCGCACTCTCTCCATCTCCGGTGACGCTGGCCTTTTCCAGGGACAAATATCTCTGCTTGAACAAGGCATATGGATACTGGACTCCACAGACTGCCGGCGGTAACGCCGAGTCTGCGCGGTATCATTCTAACCCGCAATTCAGCGTTCAGATTTCCGAGCGGACCGATCTTTCGGTCTTACTCGAGTCCCACGAGGCCGAGCTGGCCACGCACGTTAAGCTCTTTTGGTCCAACGGCACGCGCATTGCCAGGGTACGCAGTCGAGACATCATTGCCGACAGCGGCGACTATCGCCGAGGCTGCGCACTGGCCGAGACCAAGGCCTTGGATCCGGGCAGCTACACCCTCGTCTGCTCTACGTACGCACCCGACCAACTCGGCCGCTTCACGCTCTGGATTTCCTCGACGATCCCGTGCGTGGTGCAACCACTGGCATCCGAGTCTGCCGGCCGCCGCATTGTGGTATCGCAAGTAGGATTCTTGTCGGCCGGCCGGGACCGCATGCTGGCGCCATTGCGGGTGTCACGCCTCACGCGGCTCAAGCTTGTGGCCAGGAACAAACGATCCATGATCGGCGCGCGGGCGGTTGCCCCGTCTCCGGTGCTGATGACGGTGGAACTGGGCCAGGGGCCATACAAGGAGATCTTAGCGACATCGGAGGATGGAAGCCATAGCGATGCTGCCTCGGGGGTTCGGATCGAGGACTTTGATCTTCAACCTCATTTTCAGGTGTGGATTGTGATTGAGCGGAGTCCTGGCGGACAGGTGGAGGATCAATTCGAAGTTGAGGCATTGGCCGAAGAGAAAGTTGAGATCGGGGAGTGGGTGGTGGAGGAACAATAGTAGTTGTAGCTCTATACTTCTGCCTTAACTTAGTGTGGTAAATGTCCCCACGTTCTCTCCGCACGGGATCAAAACGTCATCCATCTTTTCCCTTCCCTTCTTTCTTTCCTCTTCCTTCCTTCCAACCCCACAGCCATGGCCAGCAACATTCCCGCCGCGCTGAAATCCGCCGACATCGGGCGCTTTGCCCTGCGTGCGGCCCAGATCGAGCGCGTCAAGCCAGTCGTGGCCTACTGGTGTGAGTTCCCCCCACCTGTGCGCAAACACTGAGCTCGATCGCCAATACTCTTCAACAGGCAACTTCCACATCGTCAACCAGATCATCCAACGAGCCCTCCACAAGGCAGACGATGAGGTCAACCTCTACACGACAAATCTGGTGGAGAAGCTGGAGCAGGTTCGCGCCGCTTTCTTCCGTTTCCCCCTCCCCTTCCGTTTCGTTGAAACCGATCGCTAACGCCCTCCCACAGTTCAGGAACGAGAACCCGGACAACGACACGCTGACGGACAAAGACGCCGCGCACGCATTTGTTGAGCAGTTTGGCCTGGAAGTATTCAATCGCGCCGAAGCTGCCATGACTGCCAACAAGGTCACCAAGTGAGCTTATCTTCAACAAACCCCACAACATTCGCTAATTGCGGTTCAGACAAACAGCAGACACTTTCCAGGCTGCGGCTACTTTCCTCGAGCTGTTACAGATCTGGGGAGAGCCCGATCCCGAGATTGCGGGACGGATAAAGTTCGCCAAATACCACGCCGTCCGAATCGTCAAAGCCATCAAAGCCGGGCAAGACCCTAATGAGTCCAATCCCGCTCCGAAGGAGGAAACAGATGAAGCCGTTACGGCCCCGGAAGTACAGGAATTTGATGAACTGGTGGCGGAACAAGCCTCCAAACCACGACAGCCCTCCGTGGAAGAGATTCCCGATGAATCGGACCACCTTGGACCACATCTGGCTCGGCAATCAGCGCTTGATGAGTCTCTCCATCCATCTCGTGCCTCGTCGCTCCCACGACAGCCTGCCGCCTCCACCACCGCCTCGGAGCCGGATATCCCTTCAGTCCCACTCAATCCCCCGGGGTCGCCCCCGCAAACCACGGATGAACCATCAGCAGGAGACTTGGAGCTTCCCTCAACTCCAGGGAATATCGGAAGCTCCTCCGCACTGCCACAGCTCCCAGATACACCGGGAAGTGGCGCTCGCGACACCACAATCCCTCCCAGTAACGCCTTCCAGTCCTTCCCTCCCCCATCTGCAGGCCCTCGTTCTACCGCACCAGACCCAGCTTCATTCTACGACCCTTCCAATGCCAGTGCGCACATCCCACCGCCAGCAGCACCACGGCCGCCGGTTGCACCATTGCCAACGCGCGCACCGCCCGCTGCCGCGCCATCGAGTCAACCGTCTCACGGGGTGGACGACCAGTCCATCTCCCTGGCGCAGAAACATGCCCGCTGGGCAGTATCCGCGCTCACGTTTGACGATGTGAACACGGCCATTAAAGAGCTGAGGAATTCACTGAAGTATCTGGGGGCATCTTGATTGCTGAGCGGAGTGAAGCTCTAATATCAAGTACTGTTGAGGGTTGATATGAGTTTATATGACGGTCTCTTTTTCTCAGCTGGAGTTAGTTGTCGCTACATATGAATACATACGTTTGCTTAATTTACTCGTATTTACTTCATTCGTAGGCCGGCGTTTGCGTTATCATTATCTGTTTGTTGTGGTGCCTGCGAGATATCTTTCCTTACCTGCCTCGACTTCTCTTCTCTTCTCTTCCTCTCCGTTCCTCCCCCAGCCCACTTCTTTCCCCCCTTTCCTGTCTTCAGTCCTACCTGTGTTTCAATATCGTTATCATCCATTCCGCTATGGCCAAGTTGCGCAGTGGCAAGGGCGACGCCCCTCCTGCTCCAACTCCATGTGCTCCAACTCCACCTGTTCAAACTTCATGCCGTCTGATGGAGTTCCTCGACCGGGAGGAGCTGGTCGCCACGAGTCGTCTGGACGAGTTCCGGCGCTTCTTTGACCTGCAGGTTCAATTCTGGGATGCGTTTCGCCTCTCGCTAAAGGCCTGGGTCTCCTCATTCTCTAGCTGGGCCAGCATCCTCAACATGGAGAGTGAACGTCGAAAGATTGCCGAAACCTTCCTCGAGGAAAACGGACCCAAGCTCTGGGGCAGTGACGAAACCCGCAAAAAGTACCTGATGGAAGAAAGTATCGAGTCCCGCGATGTGTGCCTGTGGCCGGAGCACAGAGAGGCGTGAGTTTCTCTCATCTATCATCTACCCTCTCTGTTCTGAGAGTTTGCTGACAGTCCACAGCATGACTCGAGGATTGATGCTGCTCCTGGAAAAAACCGCCAAGCTTACAAAGGAGAGAAGGTCTGATTCCTCTCTGTCGACAATGCCCAACCTGTCGAGTCTGACGGTCTAGTGTCCTGGATACTTGTCTTGGAGAATCCCTTGAGCTGACCACACCCGCAGACCCAGTCTCCGCTCACTCCTACGCCTTCCAGACTGACTGAGCACGACAACGTGCTCCTCCAGCCCCAGACACCGGACAATCGCTCTCCTGCTGGGGCGTTGTCTCTCCGTCCGGCTCTTCCCACCCCTACTCCAGTGAATAGTAAGAACCTGACCCCGGTCGGGCAAGTGCGTATCGTTCATCACTGACTAACGTCCTTCCAACAGCCACTCTGAGTCAGATCAACGTTGCCAGCATTGAGAATGAAGGGGTTTTCATGGCCGGAACCTCGTGTCTGGTCCGCGAGGATGGGGTGGCCGACCGACCGAGTGTCTGCGTCGCCTTCCAGCACTTTGTGACGTCGGGGCACTTTTTGGGTGTCATGGCCGAGAGCTGCGGACTGCCTCCCACTAGTGATCCTAGCGCCCTCCAGCTTCAGCGGGAATCTCCCGGGGTGTATCGTCGTGTGGTGTCGGCTATGGCCTGGCCCAGGTGGACGACTACCTCGTTCCCCATCCGATTGGGATACGATGGAGATATCCGGGCGCTGGCGAAAAAAGTGCACTATGCCTGGCAGGCTAAGTCGCGGGGGGAGTTTCACTGCTTCGAGTTTGAGATTGAGGTTGTGCTGGTGGTGGAGGAGGGTTGAGATACATCTGTACAATGTTTGGGTCGATCTCGGATCGCAGAGAGAACCATGGTCCTGTTCCTTCATGGTACCTAACCCTAACCTCACTAACTAACCCACTTGGCCCACGCACTACGCTTGGCAGACCACGAACCATTCGCGAATTTTCTAGCTTAGTGGACCATCGTCATTCCTCACGCCTGCCCCTGACCACGAACTAATAACACTAGTTAGTAGTCTCCCTCCCGCCCGTTCTCCGGATCCATCCATTCATTCATCCTGTTGTATTATTCCTGATTCCGTTCTTCTCAAACCCCCCCTCTTCTCTTTTCAACTACTCTCTAACTACTTCCCCCCTTTTTCCCTCCACCTCTCCCCGCACTTGCACCAAAAAATGGCCGGGGACGACAAGAAGCCTGCCGTCCTGATCATCGGAGGGCTTGGTATGTTCATCGTTCACTCGGCTGTCCCGCGGCCCAATCACCGGCTAACGTTGTGCAGGCTTCTTGGGCCGCCACCTCGCCCTGTACCTCCATGAGAACAAGCTCGCAGCCGAGGTGCGGCTAGTCGACAAGGTCCTCCCGCAGCTAGCCTGGTTGGCGCCCGAATTCGAGGAGGCGTGCTCCAAGGAGAAATTCGTGCAGGCGGACGCCAGTCGTGAACGTAGGTGGTGCAAGCCCCGAAACCGGTGATCGGCAGTCCTTAATTTCACTATGTAGAGCACTTCCCGCGCATCTTCGACCGCGCCAATGGCGAGCAATTCGACTACGTGATCAACTGCGCCGGCGAAACACGCCACTCCCAACCCGACGACGTCTACGAGGTGCGAAGCTGCGCCCTCACCGTCGCATTGGGCCGCGAGGTCGCGCGGCGGGGCATCCCGGCGTTTGTCGAGTGCTCCACCGCGCATGTCTACAAGAGCGGGTCGTCGCCGCGCAAGGAGTCCGACAAGCTCCAGCCGTGGCACAACCTGGCCAAATGGAAGCTCAAGGCCGCGGACGAGCTGCGCAAGATCCCCGAGGCGAACTGCGTCGCGCTGCGCCTGCCGCACCTCTACGGCGCCTACGACCCGGGCTACTTCGCCATGGGCATCTGTCTGGCCCGCGTGCACGTCGACCTGGGCAAAGAATTGGAGCTGCTGTACAGCAAGGATTTGAAGATCAACACTCTGCACGTCCAGGACGCCGCCGCGGCGCTGTTCCGCGCGGCAGAGTGGCGCGCCAGCAAGGGTCCGCGGGGCCCGAACGACTCGTTCCCCGAGGTGTTCAACGTGGTTGACCATAACGACACCCGCCAGGAGGACGTGGCCAAGGCCCTCTCGGAGGTGTTTGGGCTTAAGGTCTCGTTCATCGGCTCGCTCGTCTCGCAGCTGGCCAAGCTGAGCCTGGACGATGTCGTCGACGACATGAACGAGGTCAGTCTGCAGACGTGGGCGGAGCTGCTGGCCAAGAGCAACATCAGCCGCGCGGGCCCCATCAGTCCGTTCCTGGAGCGCGACGTACTCAAAGACCAGGACATGTCCATCGACGGGTCGCTTTTCGAGTCCGTGACCGGGTGGAAACCGACTCACGAACGCTTTAACGCTGACGGGATTCGCGAGATGGTCGAGAGCTACAAACGCATGGGCTGGTGGCCATAAATCATCCCCCTCCCCCTTCCTTTTCTTTCTTCTTTTTATTTACTTTTCTCATCCGTCCCAAGATTATCAGCATTGCATTTGTGTGAAAGAAGCATCGACTACCCCTTTTCGTTCAGGCACGACCTTTTCATGATTTCTTTTTGAACCTGCCGTCCCCTGGATCTACCTAGCCAGGTTGGATCAATCTGTGGTTTGCGTGCGAGATACGTGCTCGCTTCTCTGATTCTGGATATGGATAAGAGACGGACGCGGATTCATTTCTTGTTAGACTAGGTAGTTTAGTTATTTTTTTTTTTTTGTAAATAATACAATGATTATAAAGTCTTTATTTATCTAACCGAGATTGAACCTGTCAATCCGCTTATCCTAAACCCCAGTGCATTGAGGCCCAGTTGGACTGATTCGTATCGCCAAGTGACATGTGAGGGTAAACCTTCGGGTCCATCCCCGAGTAGCCATCTTGCTCACCCATGCCAAACCCTAGGCTGGGGCTACCAAACGCTATGGGGCAGGGCATGGACAGAAACAGATCACCAATGCTTGCACCTATCGCACTGTCAGACGATGCTGTGTCATGGTCATTCTGTATATCGGCAGCCACGTCCGCCCTTTTCTGTCTGATACTCGAGATAATCCTCGGCGGAGCCAACATATCCTTTTGACCAGGCTTCTCGAGAACTTCCCAGGTTTGAAGAATGATCTTGGTGAACTGTCCGAAAAGCGTGTCGCTGACGAGTGAATTGGGTGGAGCGTTTGTGTTCGACGCTCCGAACCACGCTTCGTAGTTCTCACTCATTATCTCCCACGCTTGTCGGGACGGCTCGCTCCATGATCGTCTCTGCATAAGGTCTCGCAAGATGTGGATATATGCTGGTAGTGGGATATGCAGGTGGCAGAACCAGACGTATCCCTTTGTCAGAGGCGAGGACATGACTTTTGTGTTGGACTCGAGCATGCGGAGAGCGTAGGAGAGGGTAGCGTCACCTTGGGCTTGCGTTGGTGGTTGGCGTACAGACGGAGAGTGCGGACGTTTTGAGAAGTGCTCCAAGAGACGGAGTTTCGAGAGCTGCGCTCTCGTCGTCCAGAGCGCCGTGAAATGAAGCGGGTTCGAGGGTCACAGAATTGGAGGTATTTCTCCTCGACCATCTTCTCTAGGGCGGCTATGTCATCGACACCCCCCGGAGTTTGGAGATAGGCTTCAGGGCTGGATTGGTAAACTCGAGGTGGAAAGGTGCACGCCGGATGAAATCGCCCAGCTCGCTGCGCACAACTGCGAAGATCGACTCGGTGGCTTTCCCGGGAACAGGGGCACTTTGGTCTCCACTCGAAGCTCATAGTCATTAGTGTTGATGGGGACCTTGCAGTCCCAGGTAGGAGCTAGCATTGTGGCTTTGTAGTCGGACAGGTCGCTGATACGTGAGTCGAAGAGCATAAGAGACCACCATAGCCTTCGGCGCATTTCTGCTTCGAAGATTGTGCATTGAGAATTGGCTGCTTCGCTGTGGATGCCTATGCGCTGCACAATACGGATTGCGATGCTGAGCAGTGACGAGATGGATCGAGGGTCTGTGTTAAAATGTGAACTGGTTCCGGGTGGAGAGTTGAAAGATCGACTGCTGTGTTGCGGGAACTAAATAGAATGTGATCGGCCGTCTCGAATTGATCCCAGGCTTTGCCGACTGAAATGCCCCCGGGAAGGGTGCCATCGTTCAAGATGTCGTTGTCGTTGTCATCTGTAGCTGTTTTGTTAATACTTGTCAGCACAAAACTTCAATTGCAGATGGCATTGCCATACCCCGTGCTTCATGGCGTGGTATATATTCCTTGAAAAGGGTCAGACGATGAAGAGAGCGACAAAGCCAATGAGAGGGCATACTTAGCCTCGTAAGCATCCTCCAACTTCTCGCAAGACGACCATCCAGACTCGGGCTGCTCATCCTCCGAACCATCACGGGCTAGAGGGGACTCGTCAGACTTCGTCTTATGAAGCGAATCAAACTTGATATTATTTAGCCGGAGCAGATCCTCATACTTCCGAAGACGATCCAGAAGCTCTCGCTCCGGAAACCTCCTTTTCCGCCGTCTCTGCATCGCCGGTAGACAGCGTGTCCGGTGCTTGATGCAGTTCGAGCACGGGAACCGGCGGTCACATTTTACTTTGCGTTGCTGGCAGAAAACGCAGGCAAGGACCCGTGGTGACTCGAGGTGTGTTTTATCGGGGATACTTCTTGGTTTAGATGGCGACGACATGATTGTACAATAACTAAAGACAGAAAAATGATACAGAGAGGAGTCTATCGTTTCTTCAAGCCGGCTCGAATAATATGGATGAAGGTGATGTTCGGGCTCTTCTAGCGCCCGAGATCTCCACTTTTTACTGACGCCGGGTGGAACTACGGCCCGAACAATGCCTGCCTTATATAGATACACAAAAAGCATTCCACTGGCGCCTACCTACTAATCCGGTATATCAATTGGATCCTCATGCTCGGTTCAGAATCAAGAAGGCAAAAGAAGAACGTGGCTAACCCAGGTCCATGAATGAGTACAGTCATGCATCTACGTGACATTTTTTTGGGTTTCCCTTTTGGTTTTCTATATTTCTTGACACACAAAGATAGAGCTGGATGCGCATATTCTATATGCATCTCAGGCAGTGTCTTCCGCCTGAGACTATGCTGGCGCTTCCATGCCCCTGCTCCTGCTGCAAATGCAAATAAATAAAAACTTAAAGGCGATGATAACGGACTGCCGAGAACACAAGAGGGTGAAGCTAGAAAGAAACGAGAAATATTGTACCAGAAAAGACGTGTGCAAAGTGATTCTGCGGGCAGGGAAGCATACTAGAACTCCCAGTCCTCCTCAACAGACTTGATGGCCCACTCGAACTTCTCGCGCAAAGACTTGGAGAAGAATTTTTCGATGGGCACGTTGAACTTCTTGCTGAAGACAACGGTGAGACGCGGGTCGATGTAGTTGATCTTCGAGGTGCCCAGTGCGACTTCCTTGTTGTCTTCCTTGTCCTGGGCCTGAAGAGACATGGTCTCAACGCGTTGGTCGAGCTTGGCGATGTTGTTCTCCAGCCGCTCCACAGTCGGACCCTTACCCTCGGCCTCCACCTTGCCGGTCTTGTTCTCCTTGTTGAATTTCTTCTCCATCTCCTTGACGACTTTCAGACGCTCCTCGAGCTCTGTCGCCTTCATCTCTTTCTGTCCTTCAGCGGCCAGCTTCTCATTGTCCTTCTCGAACTTCTTCGTGATCTTCTGGGTCTGCTCCTCGATCAGGAAGGCCTGGTGTTCTTTGACCCATTCTTTGTCGAGGTCCTCGTCGAGCTCGAAGAAAGATGCGCCCTTCTTCTTTTTCAAGCTGGGATCCAGATCAAGCATCATTTGCTTGAGTCGCCATTTCTGATAGCGAAGTCCCTTGATCTGTGGCACAAATGTGAGGATACGAAACCGACTGACCAAAATGAAGGCTAAACTTACCCGTTCACCCAGCTTCTCCATCTGATTGGCATGACCAGCAGTGACAGTGCGCTTATGGTTGCACAGAATGGCAACCCGACGGTTTGCATCGTTGTATGCCTTGACCTTCTCTGGAATAGAACCAGTGGCGTTCATCTCCTTGAGCAGGTTGCCCATGGTCCAGGATGCGTTGTAGGTACGGAATACCTTGGCAGTCAGACCAGACATATAACCCTGAAGGTGTTTGTTGAGCGCAGAAGTCTATTTTTCGTTAGACATGACCAGCAATGGAAACGAGTAATCACATACCGTCAGCCGGTCGAAGACCTCATCGCCCTCCTTCTTGGGCGCCTTCTTGAAGATCTTCAAGTTCTTGAAGACCTGCGGATCGACCTCCACCTCATCGTAGAAACGGATACTATCCTTACCGAGGAAATCAAAGACGACGGTGGCTGGCGGCTTGAGAGTGATGTTTTCGTACTTCAGCGAGCAGCAGCCAACAGTTTCCGCTTCATCCTCGCCCTTTTCATTTCCAGCACGAAGAGCAAACTGGTCGATGAGGTAAACTGCGGTAGCCTTCTGGCGCTCCACCATCATGTCGTCCTTCAACTTCTTCTGATAGTCCTTGCGGATCTTGGCGATATGCTTCTTCAACTCGCGGGCCTTCTCGAATTTCTTAAAGTCGCTTTGTCCCTTGACGTCGGAATTGGCGGCCAACATGACATATTTGTAGTTGCCATTGATGTTTTCCTGCCACATGGCGAGCCAGGTTCCTTCCCTGTCATGCTTCACCTCTTTCCAGCGGTGGCCAGCGGGAGGCGGGGGAACGGGCGCCTCCTTGCCAATGTTGATGGTGATCTGCTCGGGTTGCACCCGAGTCTTGACGCGGCCAGTCTTGGGATGCTCGCCTCGTCCACGGAACAGCGACGGAGGCTCAACACGGAAGTTGCCCACCTTCTGCTTGCGGCCATCCCAGATGCAATATTGATACGGGGCTTCAGCCTCATCCTTCTCGGCCTTCAAGCGTTTCTTCTCAGCCGGAGGCAGATTCTTCTTCTCCTGTCGCTGCGTGTCGTAGTATTCAAAGATGGGCTTGAAGTCGCACTTGGAAAATTCCTTGATCTCGATCTTGTTGCCCTTGGAGTCCTTGGCACCTCCGGTTTTCTTGAGAATGTCCTTGAAATCCCCGAAGAAGTTCCTTTGGAAAACAGGATTCTCCACGTTGTGGGTCGAGTTGAGCATGCTGCCGAAGAAACCAGCCACCTCTTCGGCGTCCGGGTGAAGAGTGACCGGGACCCCGTCATACTTCATCTTGACATTTTTTGGCAGTGGCTCGTAAGGTGGTGGGAAAACAACGCCGTTGTGTTCCAGAGTGGTCCATTTGTTGGTCCCATCGCCCTTGGTCGGGTCCAGCCACCATCGATACTCCTCGTCGTCATCTTCATCTTCCTTCTCATCCGCATCCTCGCTCTCCCGCTTCACGGCCTTGCCCTTGGGCTTTTGCGGAGAGACCGACTCAGCCTTCACCTTCTTCACAGCTGTTTCCTTCTTAACGCCGTTGGCTTGTTTCTTGGTGGCTGGCGTTGGCTTGGTTTCCTTCTTCGGGGCTGGTTTGTGGGCAGCCTTCTCCTCAATCTTCTTTTTCTGCGCCGCGAGCTTCCGCTCGATCGGCACATCGGAGTCGGAGGACTCTCCAATGGCTGTTTCGGAAGCCTTCGGAAGCTTTCGTCCGTTCCGTGCCAGAGGCACGTCTTCATCCGTTTCAGGATCCTCATGCTTCATGGAGGTGCGTCGACGCTTGCTCTATCGAAAATGGTCAGTCGCTTGAAGCAACCAGCCGTGGATGTGTCCCAAGGGGAGACGAGGGCTATTCTGTGAGAAGGTGTGGCGTACCAAGGGCTGATCGTCTTCATCACTACTTTCCGATTCCGCATATGACTTCCGGTGGCTGACGCTTGTGCGGCCCTTGCGCTTGCTGGCGCCGCCCTCCGCGTCCTTCATCTCCACATCTTTGTCTTGCACAGGGCCAAACCGGATCGAAACGCCAGGGTCCAGTTGACTGCTCTCCCTTTTGACCTCGGGGTGCTTCGCATTGGCCATTGAGGAAGTGCCTAGAAAAGCAGGTGATCGTATATCAGATAAGCACGAGGTAGAAAATGTAACGGGCAAATGAAGCTAGGACAACCAAAACAGGCAATTGAGGTGAAAGGAAACAAGGGTTTGGGTGGGTGACGGCCACGCAAAAGACAGCCGAGGAAGCGCATGATAGACAACCGAACTTACCGTTGACCCGGCCATTGATGGCCATGAGGGGAGTGTCGTCCTCCGAAGAGCTCATAATGGTGACTCGAAGGCGGGAAGGCAAGGAGAAACGAGAGTATGAATGAAAGAAGCTTCGAGAGTAGGCCCAGGGGAGGTGTTGTGTACGTCTGCCGAGTCGGGCAAACAGCGCCGGGGCCTGATAGAAGGATGAAGTCAAGGAAACGCTGACCAATGAACAACAAGGTGGTCCTAAGAAAGGTGATGATACATGAATGATGCGAATGATGGGGGTTGGGGTTGGTCGTGGTGGGGGGTGGTAAGCCTCGGGGGTGGTGCGGAAGAGTTGGGGAGAAGAGAATGCAGCAAGGAAAGGAAAAGCGGTTTTAACTCGGGGGGGATGAGGAATGGAATGGAAAGGCGCCAGCGACTGATTTGAGCCGGGCCTGGGAATACAGGCGCCAAGGCATCAAGGCCACAAACTGCGTCAGGGGCCAGAATGGCGCACCGTAGCTGCCTGCCTGTTTCAGTTTAGCGTTGGACGGCAGAACCAGGAGAGTTGACTTCGCACTTCAACCACCACCACCAGCGAGGCCTCTGCTTGTTCTCTCCCCCTTCCCCCTCCCTCATCCACCGCTCTTTTCGGCTCAATCCCTTCCTCGTTTCTCTCAATCCTCTCGCAATGTTCTCCCGTGCTGTCCGCCCGGCCGTGCGGGCTGGCAGTGCTGCGGTGACCCGGTAAGTCCCGACTCGTGTCAACCTCCTCCCAGCCGACACTGCCGACCGCCACCACCAACCACCACAATGCCATCCATTAATCTTCCGGTGGTGGGAGAAGATGATTCAATTGCATTTGGCTGACTAGGAGATCAGCACTGCGCCGCCCAATGCCGCCAACTTCGCGACTCTGCGTGAGATTGAGGGCCGCCTGAAGTCCATCAAGAACATCCAGAAGATCACCAACACCATGAAGATCGTTGCGTCCACCCGTCTCACCCGTGCCCAGAAGGCCATGGACGAATCCCGTGCCTACGGTGAGACCTCCAACGCCGTCTTCGAGAACGCCGAGACCAAGCCGCTGGACGAGAAGAAGACTCTGTTCGTGGTCGCCAGTTCCGACAAGGGTCTTTGTGGTGGTATCCACTCTAGTCTGAGCAAGGCTACTCGCCGCATGATCGAGACTACCCCGAACTCCGACATTGTCATCCTCGGCGAGAAGGCCAAGGCGAAGCTCTCCTCGATCGCCGCCGACAAGATCCTCTTGAGCTTCTCCAATGTCTGCAAGGATATCCCCACCTTTGCCGATGCTCAGGCCATCGCCGACCAGATCTCTCTGCTGCCCGCCGACTACGCCAGCATCAAGATTGTCTACAACAAGTTCATCAACGCCCAGAGCTACGAGGCCACCACCGTTGAGGCGTACTCCGAGGAGGCTATCACCGAGTCCCGTAGGTTTTCATTGCCACGTATTTCAACCGCACCAGGACTAATACCTGTTTCTAGCCAACATCTCTGCTTTCGAGATTGATGACGAGGCTCTGGCCAGCCTGCGCGAATACGCTCTTGCCAACAACCTGTTCTGGGCCATGGCCGAGGGCCACGCCTGCGAGATCTCTGTATGAACCAGTCCATTCATATACTTGGGGCCGCTGCTAATTTTGCTAATAGGCCCGTCGCAATGCCATGGAGAACGCTTCCAACAACGCTGGTGACATGATCAACCGGTATGTTTTTCTCTTTGTGTGTTTTGGAACTCGATCTAACAAGCCCCTAGTTTCCAGATCCTGTACAACCGTCAGCGCCAGGCCGCGATTACTAATGAGCTGGTCGAGATTATCACTGGTGCCACAGCCAGTGAGGATATGTAGAGGCCGGGCGTCTACGGGAAGAAGTCACCCTTGGTGTAGACTTGTCCATATATGTTTAGATCGACCTTCAGCTTGTGTAAAATCAGTGTCAATCCATTCAAATTTCTTTTGTGCTTATAACGTGGGTTTTGTGTCAGGTGTATAGCCGGCACCTTCCTAACTTGATCTTTGTCACTTTCTTCTCTCTTCCCTCTCTCTTCCTTCTTCCCCCCAACTCTCCCCCAACTCTCAGAACTGTGCTGACCTCTGACTACCCTTGATTTGCGGCCAGCATTACTCGTTTTGTTTGAGAAGGCCTGCTCCCACACCCTTCTTACACTGACTGTCCTGTAAACAATCCTCAAAAACGTCAAACAATACAAACCCGGAGTCCGCGTCTGCGAAGAAGAAGCAAAATCGACTCGTCAACAGCCTTTCAGCAATGGACTACTACACCGTTCTGGGTGTATCCCAAACAGCATCCACCAAAGAAATCAACCTTGCCTACAAGAAGCTCGCACTGAAACATCACCCCGACAAAACAGGAGGCGACGACGACTCCAACGAGCAGTTCCAGCAAGTATGGTATCGCCAATCATCCTCTTAACCATTCCCATATCAAGCACTCTTTGTTTCAAGTACACATGATCTGATAACTAAAACCACAACAGATCCAAGAAGCCATCGAGACTCTCCGTGACCCAGAGAGACGGAGCAACCATGACCAGTCACTGGGCGTGAATGGGAAGAAAAGGCGATACCATCACCCGGAGGATGACTGGCGTACCTGGTTTGAGGACGGCACCGACTGGGGTCGCAAGAAACGCTGGGACTTCAACAACGACTGGGACCGGTACATGTACAGCTTTGGGAATAGCGTGCACATGGATCCGGACTCGGAGCAGTCCAAGGCTGAACAAGCTCGGCACAGCGCTGCGGCCGAGGAGTGGGAGCAGACGTGGGCCGGGATTGATCCCGAAGTTGAGAAGGCGAAGGAAGAAGAGCGAGAGGAGAAGCGCAAGGAGGCAATGAGGGCCCGGGTGATGCGCGATGAGGAAGAGATAGAGCGAGAGGAGGAAAGTGAGGATGTTTCGGTTGACCAGACGACTGAATTCCAGAGTACTACTTTCTGCCTTCTTCATGGCAACGACTGCCACTGTCACGAAGATGGAGAGCACCCTGTCAACACGACCCAGGCCGATGTTAATATGGAGACAGATGATGAAGACGCCGTCTTCTTCGACTGCACTTCCCTCGTTGATTCACTAGGTAGCGACGACGAGACTAGCCCACTTGACCAGACTTCCGAAGAAGAACAGGAACCGTTTGCCGCCCTCGCATCGTTCTTCAATGCCAAGCTCAACGATTCCTGCGGACGCTACACCGAAGATGTCTGCTACGCGGAACTCAAGGGAATTGTGCTAGAGACCTTTTGCGGATGGATGGAAGACCTTCGAATTTCGTACCCCGACGCTGAGCCACTAGCCATGCGCAACGATCACCATGACTGCCCTCATCTCGGCGCCTGGGAGAAGACGATTGGGTGTACTGAGTGTGACGCCTGCCACCTTTGGATGCCGATTTACATCTTGACCTGCCCGAGCTGTGGTACGAAGGCGTGTGCTCGGTGCAAGTTCGTGGATGGGGTTGCTTGAGTGTCTAATGTACATGGTACTGGCAGGGAGTGCATTGCTTAACATTTTATCTGGGCACTTATAGTGTTTGACAGAGGAGTTGCAGTGTTTACTGGAGTTCATTCTGGGCGATATGTTGTAGGAGATATTGGTCTATGGTCAATTTAAAGTATTCTATCCACGTCAACGATGACTAGAAGGGTGTGTACTTCCACCCTAAGCCTTCTAGATCCTAGGTACATGGAATCTATGCGGCAGATCATGTATCTCGCTTGTATGGAGACGCTAGGAAAACCGGCCATCAAGTCGCACCGAAATACCCAATCACTATATACCGCACTCGGATGGTAGATAGTCATGTAGATGGGTTGGTCAGCCGCCAAGGCGCACTCTACCAGGGGGGCATCACTTTCCTCCAGAGCAGCAAAAGTCACCCGTTCGCCTCCAATCAGTCTAATTTCTTTATTCCGCAGTAGCGAGCGCTTGTACCTTGCATTTTATTGGCATACACATTAGTCTGTTAGTGCATCCAAATTTGCGCTCGGATGTCAAACCGTATCAATCAGATCCACTGCATGCAGAAGGGAGATCTATCCTCAATGCTACGGTATTATGCTCACAAACTGTAGTCTGCCAATTTTATTGTTACGGTAGAATTGAAAAACACTTTACACACCAGACACAATACACTCTCCGATCTTAGTACCCATCACCTATCTACATCTCACATCCGTCCTGCTCAGAACCACACCTGGAGAAGAGCGATAACCCGCGTCAAAGCCGAAATCTATATCACCCCTTCCGTCTCGCCAATACGCACCACGTACTTAATAGCAGACGCCCTGCCCGCCTTAAGATCCTGCAGCGCGCCTTCAAGCCCAGCTAGCCCACCTGGGCGCACTTCATACGGGTGTCCCGAGAACCAGCCCTGCGCCAAGCCACGGCCAATAAATTGGAAGAAAGCAGCGCCAAACTCGTTATCCTCGACTGTCTTACCTGCCGCCGGAGGCATGTGAACTGATCCAGCCATAGTTGAGCCCAGGATAATACCCTCGGGGGGCTGGTAGTCATCGCTAGATAGCACGGTAGTGATCTCCCCAGGCGCGGTCATTACCGCGCCGACGTTCTGATGACTTCCATGTTCGCCCACCGCATCGTACGCGTAGTGTATCGATCGCCCACCAGCTGCTTCCTTGATCCTTGCCTGAACGACCTCGTCACCTTCACGATAGTCGATTATCGTGTCACCCTTCTCGCGATCGATGAGAGTTTCGACGAAGGCGCTGCCTTTACCAGCTACGGTGATAAGCGGGTGGATATTAGAAAGCTGGGCAAATTTGATCGCAAAGGCTCCAACCGCGGTCGCGCCACCATATACAATTAAAGGCAGAGGCTCAGTGGTCGGATTCCAGGGCAGAGGCAGCTTCAAGCGCTGATAAAGGCCGAGTGCGGCCGTCATAGCAGCTAGCGGAATAGTGGCCGCCTCTGGCCGCGTCTCTATATTAGCTGCAGTGAAACCCTTTTGACCGGAAACAGGCTCACCTTCAAATCTAGTTTTAGCAGGAATATGGAAGGTCGTGTAATCGGGCGCGATCGCATACTCGGCGTAGCTGCCATGAGGTTTCATCACTTGATGAAACGCAGCGACCCTGTCGCCCTTATGGAATCCCATCACGCCCTCCCCCACTGCCTCGATGTATCCGGCGATATCATCTCCTTGATTGGTGGGGGTCCCGTCTGTTGGCCACCAGAGAGGGATCTTCCAGTCCTTAGGATTGGTGCCAGAAACAACCACCCGAATAAGGACCTGGCCAGCTTCAGGGACGGGTATATCGGTGTCTCGAACCGTCAGTAAGATATTCTTGTCCACAAATGCCTCCTTCATGATTGCTGGTGACTCTCTTCAATTGTTATAAGGCCAATTATATCTGTAGTGGTTGTTGATGAGTTTATATAGGATGAAGTTCCCAACCCCCGTAAGGCCCCCAATTTATTTTCGTAAGCATGCATTAGTTATTTAACATCTCTCCCAGGAGCTAAATCGGGTGCAATAAAGTATTTTAAGGGCAGTAGGCAGATCATTGCCACCTAGCTACCAGCGACCTTACCACGCAGTATTATTTTTTGGATGTGGAGATATACGATTTCGTACATTTCTTGGGCTACACCTGCAACGATCAGTATATGAAAGAAGGCCAGATGGGTTTAGGTAGGCACTTTAAAATAGGCACCATATTTAGGAATTGACAGAGATGTCGAAGTGTGAGGCATGTCCCGGGCAGCAATTACCGTTATATCCGTTATCTCCGTCCCCTACTATTGTCCACTAAGTCCGAAGACCTTCCGAGGGTCTATGATTTAAAGACGAGCATCAAAATACGCAGACCCATAGAAGGCCTTTCAACCAGACGTAACGAACGGATGAACCACTGCTCGTCGCTGTGACCGTCTTGACCTTCATTCTGTATACTGTGGCGAGGGTATCAGTTAGCTAGCCTTATGAGAATAGAGATTACTAGCATCTGATCGAAGCTAGTTAACTAACTATTCTGGGAGTAACCTTATATATCCTAGCGTGGTACTGGGTACAGGCCGAGAAACAAATCGTAAGTTTCTGGGGATAATCTGTTTTCTAATTTCTACTGTAAGAGCGAATTGTTCGGAGGCGATCTCCTCGAGCCGGTCAAACTCCCATACTCATACCGTGCCTGCAGCCCTTCGCTTATTTACTCTATGTTGGTCAACAGAATTTCTGACTGGATTCGAATACTGCGGCTTACCTCAATTCCTATTCGAACACAGCTATTTCCTGTCCTTTCATTAAACAGCCTTAAGTCATCCTCCTGAAAACCATTCAGCAATTCTTACACTGCTTTACAATCTGGTAATTGTTATTGGGATTCCTATCTCTGGTAATTGATAAATGGTCTTATAGCATTACTTGTATCCAATATGCAAAAGCCGTTTTGAAAACGGACGATGTCGCTGCTGTCAACAACCAGGGCTCCAACAGCTTTACCCTTCAAACCCCAGGTACGATAATTCAATTTCGCCTCAAGCCACTAAAAACCGACGTTCTTGCGCTGGCCACTGAGATCTATGGCGACCTGGTGCCTAAAGCCAACTTCCATGATGGATTTCTATTGCCAGTTTACAGCTCCAAGCAGTTACCTGGACAGGTGCACTTGTTTCAGCCGTTTCCGGAGGAATTTCCCTTGGAACGGGAGAAAACGACCGTCACTGAGCTGGGCTTGTTCATTGCAAAAGCAGCCTTTTTCGAACAGCCTAATGCCTGTGCGAAAAATGACAGTTGGACGAATGTTGCTCCAGAGATGATACACCGTCTGATTCAAAACAAATCAATACGCATCTATGCTCCGGAACTCTTTGGAGTTATTTGCGGCCTGCAACATCAGGTCCATCTGTTAGAGAGCCTGCCCAGAGTTCTGACACACCATGACTTTTCACAAGTGAATATACTTGTGAACGATGCTGGGAATCTAACTGGTGTTATAGACTTCGACGAGGCAGGGGTTGAAGCGTTTGGAATGTGCATTTGGGGATTGTATGAATGTTTCTTTGGGAGTATGGAGGCCGGCAAATGGTCATTCTACCACGAAATGCCGGTGCTTGCGAACGCCTTTTGGAAATCCCTCTGGGCCAACACACCCCCAAGTCTGAACCGAGAAGAAGCCGAGACGGCGGTCAAAGTCTCTTTAAGTATTGGGATTCTCAACCGTTATTTCATTCAAGGTATGGTGGACGAGATAGACCTGTCGAAGAAAGTCCATTGCCTGTCACTTGAGTATGCAAGGGAGATTTTGCCTCGGATCTGGGAATAAGAAGATCCTCAATGTACCTAGGTAACTAATTAGATGATGTTGATGCTTTGATGCTATGAGCTAGTGGTACAATATCAAAGTCTAGGAACTGTGAGTAACTGTAAATCAGAAGCTGTTTATTTTATTACTATACAAACTTTGATTCATGGATCCACCATGCTGACATGTCAAGAACCGTTAGTCCCCCTCAACCCTCCAACCCAGGAGCAGACCGCGAGACAACAACAAGCGTGCCCAAGTCGTGAACCATATAAGAGCCGCCTATGAGCATCGCCCTTTTGCCCCACAATCTTCCACTTTGATCTGTGATGATAATTTACCTTCCTTGAAATCGATTTCTAAACCTTCAGCCCTGGGCTCAGTATCATCCATGGCATCTATCAGCGAGAACAGGCCTTCTTTCCAGAACCTCGATCCTGACAGTGACCATGCCAAAAAAATAAAATCCGTCCTCCAGACTGCAAACTGGGATTATCTCTGCGCTAAAGCGGTAGTACTCCGCCAGCAGGGGCAACCACATGTCTATGGCACCCGTACCTGTTCGGTGGATGCAAGGAAATTTGCCAGCGGCTTTTACAATATGGTGGTTGCACTCACCTTCTCGGATTCGGTTCAGTGGGTAGCAAGAATTGCGCTGCCCCGAGAGGGAGAAAGTGCCGACATGTACCGATCTCTCATGAGCGAGGTAGCTACAATGAATTTGATCCGCACCAGAACGACAATTCCTGTCGCCGAAGTCTTTGCATACGGCTTTCCTACAGAAGACTTTGGCTTTGCCTATATATTAATGGAGGCTCTTCCAGGCAAAATTCTAGACAACCGAATAGCACTCTCAGTCCCGGATCAGCATATGAGGGATTTCGCTACTCAACTGGCCAATTATGTCTATGAGCTAAGCACCATACAATTCAGCAAAATCGGTCGCATCATGCCCTCCGACTCGTCTGAGGGGGTGGAATTGTCTTCCTCTTCTATTGCAGGCTCTGGGAACCGTATTCTGTCCACCTCGCTAGAATTTTTTTACCACTTGCGCAAAGAGCAGACAAAGGCGATTCTTGAAGGCCACAAAAACGAACAGCAGTGGGAGGCGGCGGCATGGTTCCTTGAAAAGACATTGACATCGATGATCACCGAAGAGCATATCTACGGCCCGTTTCCATTGTCTCACCTAGACCTTCACTACGGCAACATCCTCGTCGATGAAAACTACAGAATCACGGGTATCTTGGATTGGAGCTGTGCTCAGACGGTTCCTATTGAGCGGTTTGCCATTTGTCCAGAATTGATCGCCCCTCCGGCTGCGCCAGTGGAGTTCAAACAAGCCGTATTTGACTTCCGGGACATGTTCCTTGAAGAGCTAGAAAAGATTGAGACAGAAAGGGACAGAGCTTCGCCTGCGATACGGATGTAATTGTCTCGTATTTTTGCATCGCCTATATCCGAGGTTGTCTTCCGTTGCACCTACAGCAGTCCTTGGAGAGCAATCTACGATGCGCAGCTGATCCTTCCCCTGCTGTATGGGAAGAACGCCCGGTGGGAGGACTTTCAAAAATTCTACGCTGAACATTCCGCATGAAATTTTTACGTGAAAGGCGACATTTGCTTCATTCCATTCTTGAACTTCTCTTGGGAGGAAACGATCGCGCTCATTCCTATGAGGCGCCAAGTCTTCATAAAAAAAAGTGCATTTCAATTAGAATACTGAAGCTGGAGAAGGACGAAGACACCAAAGAAGGTCCTGGAGAAACCCCGGGCCTTGCTATACCTAGCTTCCTAGATTGAAGCACCAGAATTCCAAAGCGAACTCCAGACCTCTCAGGACAACAGCTGTTGACGGACCTCAATTTTCGAACTGTCTTTCTGACCCTGCCGATAAGCATCTCTATATTGGGCGATTCAATACACTTTTCGTCCACTGCATAGTTTAATATAGTTTTGGCTTCAAATGATCATCCGCAACCTGCTTTGCCGTTGACGGGGACTAAATGAGCAGCATTCCTGATTCCCAGAGAGATGGTGTTGACCATGAGTGGGGCTCCGACTCTTCGTTGATTCTGATAATCTGGCTCCTTAAGTTCAGGAATATTGTTGAGATTTTGTGACTTGGTTGGCTCCCGTTTAACGATACTCTCACGAATTATTTGCCAACCCCCCACTTGAAACAAGATCGTCTCTAGATTGGTTAGCTATAGATCCTATACCTCTAGGGATGGATACTGTATTTTATGTGACCATTGGCGAGGCCTTAAAGGATGCATTTTACATGAAACCGCCATACATGTGCTACCTGCGTGCTATCTCCTCATATGCATAGCGCTCATCCAACAGCATTTGTTGCAATATAATTGACGATATGAATATGAGGTAACCTGCTGAACAGGAGTTTTGCGATAAATCCAATTGGATTTGCGCATACCACCCTGAGTTCAAGGCATAGAAATCAGGGGCGCTGTCTGTCTAAACCTCATCTTCCGAACTCACTGGTTCACGCAAAATCCAGCCTCCCATGAAAAACAATATTGGGATGGCTGATACTCCAGTTATCAATCCCAACGCCCAGCCCATAGTTCCCCAACCAGCCCGCTGACGAATGAAGCCAGCGAAAAACGGCCCAATAAGGCTGCCAGCGGCAAAACCCATGTTTGTTAGGCCATAGGCCAGCGCTGTAACTCCACCCCCACCAAAAGCATCGGGGTCTTGGTCCTCTTTTTCTTTGACGGCATGGAATACCTCCACATCGAGAGGCGGCAAGGTGACGGCAAAACAGAGACCGAGAAGTGCGAGAATTGCGCAAAGCAGAATCTTGTGATGTGTAGAATTATCCACCACAAGTCGGAGAAGGACTAGTAGGGGAACTGAGGTTAGGAATGCCCCCGCGGTAATGTAGCGAGAAGACCTCGGAAACCTGTCGATAACGAACCCAGTTACAGGTTCAGACACGTGCGGTACTATAAGCGGGAGAAATATCAATCCCTGGGCACTTTGCCGCCATCCAAATGTCCCTTGCACAAATAGTGGAAGAACACTATCGAATGAGGACAGTAATAGTGCAATGAGGAAGTTTCCCCATAGGGCCGCCTTAAGACGGGACGAGGTTAAGAGAAAGCTGACACGTCCAAGTCCACTTCGTGAAGCGGAGGTTTTTAGGGATCCTTGGCTGTCACAGGTAGGAGTAAGATTCGGCGGATTTGTTGGATCTCCTGCTTCATTTTCCGTAGCTGCGAGTGGCCTCATCTCCGGTGCAAGCCATTTGATCGCATGTCTTCTCTCGATCAACATCAATCGCAGCAAGATATCAAGCCCGATCAATACAAAGGCAAGAACAAAGACTGCATAATATCCACACTCTTGGTAGAGAACGCCCCCGAGAAGAGGGCCCGCGAGCGTTCCAACACTGCCAGCCATCGCCATATATCCGATAGCTTGACCAAGTCCGTCTTTTCCAAGGGTATCAGCCATCAGCGCAATCCCAACCACCCAGACAACAGCAGCCGCAGCACCCTGAAACAACCGACCAGCAACCCAAAGCCCGACGCTAGTCCCAATGCATAGCACGGCAGTCGCTACACCCAGCCCGACTAGGCCAAAAAGGAACGGCCATCGCCGGGACTCGGATCGATCTGCAATGTACCCGACAATAGGTGAAAATACCAACATAGCGGCCGAGAACAAAGCCAAAAGAATTGATGTCCAGGCCTGTACCCTTTCCTCAGGAATGCCTACTCTAATTTGCAGCGCAGTAGGTGTGACAGGTACGAATAGGCCATACATGAAGATATCCGTTCCGGAAGCGAACGAAACAACAAAAGTAATGAACCATCTTGATGACCTGAGTTCCACGAACCTGGGCCGTGTAGCCTCCTGGTTCTCCTGTCGGAAACCAAGCCATTTCCTCAATTCCATCGCAGTGAGGAGTATCATATACTAGAATCAGGAATAGGGTGCGGGTCAGATCGACGCAAACAACACTTGATGGTGGAGGCCATATAGAGAACAGGAAGCAACCGTCTTTGTCGGAATAGAATATTGCAGAAAATATAAGAATAAAACGCGCCGTGCTCGACTCAAAATCGATATAAATCTGAGTAAGCTCGGGGCGCGGATATGGCGCTAGACCACTTTTGGATCCCGACTCCTCAATCGCAAATCCAAATCATCCAGCGCTGAACCAGTGAGACCAAGCTGATGGCGCACTAACGAGGCAGTCGGCCAAGTGAATGCGGAAATAACCTGCAATTATTGACACAAGTACAAGCGCACCCACAGCTAAAGGCTGGACTTTCGTCTCGCAATTCATTGCGGTCGATTGCGGGGCCCCGCACGAAACCCCGAAAACCCGCTACTAGTGTGTTTATAGATACGAAATCAGTTTGAAGGAGCTCAGTCTCTACCCCACAGAAAGGAAGCCCGTATTAGTCTAGTCAACATACAAGTATATAGGACCGGAATTCCATGAATGGACCTAGCATAAGTACTCGCTAATCCCTCTACAATGGAGTAGGGATGTGTCGAAAATTTGGCGTACTAAGTGTTCCCTATCCGAACTCTGGAACACTAAATCTCAGAAGCTCCCCTTTCGATTGTAAAGATTCGCCGGTGTGCCAAACTCAGACCGTCAAGCACGAAGACTTTATCAATGTCCACGATGGTGGCCAAACGGTGCACCACAATAATGACCGTTGTGTCCAATAAGCCGGCCCGTAGAGCTTCTTGTATGGTGGTATCCGTTTCTACGTCTATTGCGCTTGTAACCTCGTCCATGACGACGATTTTGGGCGAAGAAGAAGGGCTCCAGACGTAGGTAGAAGGGCAAGTGCTTCTTATTAAATCAATGGGAACCCTATGGCCTTAGCAAATTCAACATAGAGTCCAAGAAGGAATTTTAGGCTATCCTGATGACAGCTTTGCCCTGCGCAGTTCCATCCTCAATCTCCTTCAAGATGTCCACAATATCTGACAACCTCTTTTCAATTAGCTGCGGCCTTACTTGGCCACTGGCTACAAAAGCAAGGGCCTCGAGTGTGTCCTGCCGATCTCCAGTAGATGTACCCATTACCTTGATACCTCTGCCGACGAAGTCCTCGGGGCCCAAGGGGAGCGATGTCGACTTCGGGGGCAAGCCGATACAAACGAGGCTACCAGCCCGCCTGAGAAATTTAATGGCATCCGCATAAGCCTGTGCCGACGAGGCGCAGATGAGTGCGCCGTGAGCGCCGCCACCCGTGGCCTCAATGACATCGGATACGCAGTCCTTTGTCTCTAATACGTCGATATAGACCTCCGTACCGAGGCTCAGGCAGAGACCTCTTTTCCTAGCGTCCAGGGCCACTACCTTGAGCCCCATGGCGCGAGCGTATTGGATGGCCAGATGACCCAAGCCGCCACCAGCGCCCGACACAGCAACCCACGAGCCCTTGCGGAGGTTGGCGATCTTCAGCGCCTTGTAAACTGTGACACCGGCGCATAGGATCGGTGCAGCATCAGCGTCGCTCACTCCAGTCGGGAGGCGGACCATATATGAGCTGTCCGCAATGGCATACTCGGCAAAGGTGCCCTCGATGTCCTTGCCCGCCAGTTTGCGACTTGCACACAGGTTCTCATAGCCGGTCGTGCAGACTTCGCACTTCCCGCAGACAATATGCACCCATCGGACCGCTACCGGGTCGCCAATGCGCCATTCCCCAGTGTCTACCTCAGGACCAAGGCTGGCGATTACTCCTGTGCCCTCATGACCCCCTACTGAGACCTTGGGCTGTAGGTAGGGTATTGTACCCCGGGCCAGGTGAAGGTCTGTTGCGCAGACCCCTGAGTAGTGTAGTTTGACGAGCACCTGGGTGCCGATGGGGACTGGAGTTGGGCGTTGGGAAACAGAGATGGTCTTTGTGTTTTGGTCTTGGATCGCCGCGAGGGACGACTCTGGCACGGAGAGCGAGCTCATTGCAGTATTGGAAGAGACAGAATGGAATGAATGCGGCAAGAAGTTGCGGGAACAGGTGCAAGAGCCAAACACCGGTATTTCCTTCGTCAAACGGAATAATGATAGTATCCTATGAACAATGCCTTTATATCTCTCGCCTCTTTATCTTGGTCTCTGATCAAGGTCGGCGAAGAAAACGGTAAACACGGCCTGTACACCGATCTCCGCATGTTCACTCAATTAGCGCGGTCTATTTCTGGTCGGAGGCACTGATCCGTCATGCCGGTGGTACGCCGGCAGGAAATTAAGCATTTATTACCACCGAACCTGCCTTCCACTTTTAGTGGAGATAGTACCTAGCGCATCGATCTCGTAGTAATTAATGACTATGGGGGTTTCCCGTCTGCTCCCCAGGATCTGGCCCTTGGGACCCTCTTCCCCGCAAGCAATCCGGGGTCTAGTGCGGGCATCGGAGGGCTATCCGACAGTGAGACGGGCCGCTTCTGGATGCATACATCCGCCTCGGGCCGGCGCGAGATGATAGGTTGAAGTTGGAAGTCTACCACGCGCGTCGGACGCTCATTGGGGAGAGGTCCATTTGTCAATTAGACACCCCCAACATAAAGTTACCGAGCGAGGGCGGCAATGGTCTTTTCTTATAACTGGGCTGCTTTCCTAACCACTAAGGGACTATCAAGCTGATTCTTGGTACCAGCAGGTTTTTGTCCGGCAAATCCACAACACAAAAATGGGCAAGAAAGAAGAAGTGATACCGTGTGAGTCGACAAAGCACGTCTAAACGGTAGACCTCCCAAGTTCCTGTCCAATCTGCCGTGTGATGCGGACTGAAGCGTACTGATCTCCTCCTATTTAGATACCGACATGATTGAAGACAAGGAGAAGAACGTCTCGGAGCACGAGGATGATGCCTCCGCTGCGCCCAACCTCAAGATGCGCGATGGCATCGTCTTGATGCCGCAGCCGTCCGACGACCCTAACGACCCGCTCAACTGGTCCTGGTCCCGCAAGAATGCCGCATTGTTTACCATCTCGTACCTGGCCCTCGTCTGCTACGTCGCTGTGACCACCTTAGTTACAGGGACTGTGTCCCTGGCCGAGTCGCTGCACGTATCGAAGTCGACAGCTGTTTATCTGGGCAACACGCCTGTTGCCCTTTATGCCGTAGCTCCCTGGCTCTGGAGCCCGCTCAGTCATTTTATAGGACGCCGATCTGTGCTGCTCATGTGCAATATTATCGCCATGATTGGGGCTGTTGTCGTTACGACGTCCAAGACGTACGCGGCTTGCATTGTCGGCCGGGTCATACTCGGCGCTGGTGGTTCTGCATTCTGGACACTGGGGCCGGCGAGTATCGGAGATATGGTAAGTGCCTCTTGGTCACAGAGCTTTCTGCTCCTTGAAAAGAGCCTTTGAAAAGCTGACGGCCCAATGTCTCAGTTCTTCCGCCATGAGAAAGGAAAGAATATAGGTATATCGACATTGGCTATTGTAGTCTCCCCGTTCCTTGGGACAATGTAAGTGTCATTCGGCGCACTCTATGCTCCTATACAGCAGGAAAAACAATAGCTGACTTGAGTCCCTTGACAGTATTGGCGGACCTATCATAGAGAACAACAACCTAGGCTGGCCGGCATCACAGTGGATACCCCTGGTTTTTATGGGAGCAGGCCTCATAATGCAGATCTTCTTTCTTCCGGAGACCATCTATATTCGAGAGGCACGTCCAAATTCTGCTTCCATGACCGCTCAGCACCCGTCATTTGTGCCCAAACCTGGTGAATCGACACCTTGGGGCCGGTATGGCATCCATATCCCCAAGCGCCGGGAGGACAAGCAGCATAGTTTTCTTTTCATTGCCACACGACCCTTTGTGCTCTTCAAGTACCCAGCGGTAATACTATCGGCGTTCTGGTTCGGTATTGCCTACATGATGCATGTAGGTATCACGGCCGAGATCCCACTCGTATTTGAGGAGCGGTATAACTTCTCCGTACTCGATGTCGGTCTGACTGGATTCTCTGGCTTGATTGGAGCGCTAATCGGTGAGGCGTATGCTGGACCCTCACTCGATTTCATTGCGAAGCGTACGATGAAGCATGGTCGGGAATGGCAGCCTGAGTACCGCCTCCAAGCCGTCTGGCCAGCACTGGTCGCCGTACCAGCCGGCCTGATCATGTTTGGGACATCGATCCAATTTGGATATACTTGGGTCACGCCTCTGGTCGGCCAAGGTATTTACATATTTGGCATTGAGGTTGGCACAACGGTGATGTATGATAATAACCCTATTGACTACTTATCATGGCACAAACTCAGCTGACAAGGACAAACTATCTAGTCAAACGTATATCCTGGAATGCTACCCTCGCCAGGGCGCAGAGGTGAACTTGGTCTTCAATTTGATTCGCAACATCTTCTCCTATACGGCTCCGTTCTTTGTGCAGCCGATGATCGCCAGAGTCGGAATGACCTCCCCATTCGGTCTCTTTGCTGCTTTGACCGTCTTCTTCTTCCCTTTTACTGTGGGTGTTCTGATGTTGCGAGGCAAACAGATCCGGGACAAGGGCGGTGACCCCGGATGGAGTAGAGATTAAAACCGAGCCTATTGAAGAAACTCTTACAGGAAGTCCTTGTCTTCAAGCATTCCCGTCTTAAAATATTAGCTAAAACTCCTTGATTTAATAATCTACGCACTGAAAGGCTGCTGGCGATTAATTGCCTCTTATCCGATCGTGTATCTGAGCGAAGCGCCATATCGAGCTGTTCTTTTCCTTGAGGAACTTTGCAACAAGACAAGACTGCTCAAAATGCTTTATGTGACCTGGTATATATCTTGGATTTGTAGCGAAGGGAGTCACGAATAATAGAGACGTATGTCGAAGATCCTTTGTAGGTAAGTCTAGGCAAGAATACTCGTCTTTTAGACGTCGATCCTAGCATAAAGGCAGAGTAAATACTAGGCATGTTGCATCACCGGCCTGGCTAAGCTCACTATCTGACTCGAATCGGCCGCAACGCCTCGTGCTGCCAACGCCACTATTCAGCAGCGGCGCCTCCACGTACACAGTTGATCTGTTAATACAACAGCTGCGCGGCTGGATCCTCTTGGCCTGGTCCATTGCACGCAGGATATCGCGGCAGAAGACAGTGGCATCCAGAGAGAACTGGAATCGTTGTACTGTGAAGTGACCTCTTCATCTTTGCCGAACTCGGGTATGAATAACACCGGGCCAAACGACGCCCTGTGAAAGAGCTCCATATCACACGCAACGCTTTCGAGGAAGTGCAAGACCAGAATCATCAGGCTTTATCTGCATTATCTGCATAGAGCCAAATCGCCGGTCAGAAGCTTGGCACCAGCGGGGACGGTTTCGCCTTTGGTATGTGCCCCCAGAGCTGTGTTCTCGCGAAAGCTCCGACGGTGGAGAGGATGTTGGTCTTGACCCATCCCTCGATAGCTGAAATCTCGGCCGAAAGCATTTCGGGAGCGCCCCTACCGAGTAACTACGGGTCGAGTTACTATTTCAACCAGACATTCTTGCAGAGCCATCATTGCCCCGAATTTCTTGCCAAGAGGGATTCGATATCACCCCAGTCCACTACGAGAGTCCCGTCCGGGGCGAGCAATGAGTCCATCCAACCGCTAGTATCCGGTTCTCCATCAAAGGACGTCAGAAAGTTTGGCCGCCAGGAGGCCTCTGGGATGCCGAGCCTTGGCATAACCCCGGTACTTTGCTCATGCTGGAGGCTGATGGGGTCCTGCTGCGAGGCAGACAGTGAGAAAGTATCATGCGATATACCTGCTCCCGGAGCAGCTGCCAGGTTGCTGGCTCGCCGGCCGTCCGACGTAGAATGTACAGGGTCAGTTAGCCGAGTCCGAATCCCAGGGGCCACCTGCGCATTCTTTCCCGCTGTAGCCATCCGACCGTCTCTCGAATGGTCGGCGACCGGTACAGCAGGGTCGGTGTTATCATGTTTTGATCCGTCCTCAAATGTTGCTACGACGCGTGCGAACCGCTTCATCGTGCTGCACTTGTTTACGCGCATGAGCACCTCTCTCGTCTGAGCGATCAGCTGGCGCAACTCCATCTGCAGGTGCGCCTCGTGCTGGTCGTGGCAGTGGCTCGCAGAGATTGAAATCCGAAGCGATCGCAGGATGAGCACCATAACGCCACAGTAGGCGTAGAAGATGTCCATAGCCGAGATGCCGTTCACCAGGTCGAAGGAGTCGGCAAGCAAGATGAGACGGCAGAGCTGCACGGCGTGCGTAACACAGACATCCGACAGGCGCTCCCGTACAGGCCCGGAGTACTGATCATTGGCACGCTTACTCCGGCTAAGAGCGGCGGGGAGCTCTTCCTCACTGCGCTGCGCGGATGCAACATATAGCAGCAAAGAAGAGCGTGTGACTAGAACGGCAATGTATCTGTACTGGAGGTGCAGCACCAGACCGGTTCGAAGCCGATGTCGACTCTGCCAGCCCATCATTGCTTTCAGCTCTTGCAACGACATCAGCGGCGCCTCCTGGACGCCTTGGCAAAGGAGATCTTCGGCCTCGCCAATGAAGGGAATGTTCAGCACGTGGCGTGAGGCCAAGACGTTCCTCCACTGATTCAAAGCCTCTAGGGTCTCCCTCGAAGACTGCTCTTGCCGAGCCAAGCTGTCCATGCTTCTTTCGTCGCAACCCACAGGCAGCGTCTTCACTGCAATTGATACCCTCGCCTTAGCCAGGATAATCTGCAGCTCCAGCGAAAGCTTCATAGTCTCGTCCTCCTCATCGTGACCGCCGTCCAGCACTCCCTCACAGGGAGGGACTATCTCCACGCCTTCGAAGTCGTAGAACCCACTCGGCCTCCCCAGGCTGGACGCGAGGAACTGTTCGAAACTGTAGATTGTGCAAAAGACACGCTTGCGCACCTCCCTCTCCATGGGCCGAAAGTGAAACCTGTTGTCGCTAGCTCGATGCAAGCCGACAGCGAAGGACAAACGCATAGCGGTTCCGACCAGGTTCCAGGCCGCATTGCGTTCGTTGTGGTTGTGGAGGAAAAGGGAGAGAAGAAGAAGGGCTCGGATGTTGGAAAGAGTGCATCTGGAGATCAAATGCGGCAGCAGCTGTCGGGTTAGGCGGACACAATGTTGAGAAAGGGAAGTAAGGTCGATATTGGGAGGAACGTCAGAGGGGCTGGACAGGGAACCAAAGGCAATCATCATGTGCAAACAGCCTAGCCAGCCAGGCTCGGGTACGGTAGACGATGACGGATGCATACTCGCTCGTGTCTGCTGCTGAGAACACCGCCCCGTAGACATGTATGTCTCGTATTCTTCCGCGAAGGTCCCGCGATGGAATAATGGAAAGTCTGGGTGTACGTCTTTAAAGTACAGTCTTACCAGCGAGTCGACAACATGTCGAGGCGGAAGCTGTTTTCTGGTCTTCTCGATGTCATCAACGGGGATGCTGGCGAAATCCCAGACCAGAGCAGACCCCAGTGAAGCAGGGGAGCGCTCGTCGATCTGTCGGTCTTCGTTGGTACTACCGGTGACTCTAGAAGACCGTTCGGGGAGCTCATTTTGTTTTCCATCTGCCTCAAGAGCCTGAGCTGCATCTTCCTCCACGAACGTAGCCGTTAGCTGAGTAGACGCTGGGGAGCCAACGAAATGCTCGCTGCGAGAGATAAGAATCAACCTCCGGAGCTGGCCCAGAAACTGCAGGCTTCCAGATGGGCCGATGAAATGCTCACGCCCGGCTGTATCTCTGATGAGGCCTACAGTTTCCTCTACACGAGGATTGGTTTCAGGTCCTTGGTCGGAAGAGATTCTTCTCTCCCTCTCGTTTTGGATATTTGTAGCACCTGCTCTCGGTGATGACAAAGCCGCACACTCCATTGACCCAGCAGCAACACCTTGATCATCATCTGTACTGGAGAGATCCTTTAACAGCTCCTCCATCCTTGGCGTCTCACCATGAGACAAGACCGGCATGGCATATCCCATGCGTTCTGCCAGCCGGACGAGATCCGGGACAGTGGAAATGGCGTCATTGGGAAATGCACCACGTACGATGGCCTCTAAGCATTTGTATCTAAAGAAAGGGCGTACAAGGTGACCATTAAGGCTGACCGAGGCAGTAGGCAGGGTAGATGCGAGGTAGCTTACCGGTAACTCAAACCATCCACGCTACCGTAGAACCGGGTCTTCCGTGGAAGCGTGTAGGAGCATTCAAGGTTATGGTTCTGGCACATGACACATCCGTGTCCTGATGGAAGTGGAACACATTTGCAACGCCGCTATTAGTGCCATCGTAGTAGACACTTATTGTCAGCATACATCATTACACAGAGTAATACGACTATAGTAGCCGAGCCGTCCGTATCGGAAGTATAACCCAGTATGAGCAAGCTAACCTTTCGACAAAAGTCGCCTAGTGCATACTTTAGACCCAGGTTACTGATAGCCGTCCTAAAGCAACGCTTGCGGCGGACATGCGTAAATTGGACTTACAGCTATGTGCGGACCGCTTCCTGGATGCGTCTGGTACCCTCCTGGACCGGCCTTTCGGCGGTCCTCCTGCCGGTGCCTCGGCCATCGAGTACTTGACAACTGGGAGATGAATAGAGGTCTTCCGTCGTTTCGGAAATGCGTTCATTCGCAGTAGTCGAATCACCTCAGACTCCCTTTGCGCTTCGCGGCAGGAATTTTGCATCCAGCCTATGCGTCTACGCGGGGGTCAAAGATGCGTCGGAGCTGTAGACCGCGAGTGCGGAGATATAGGGGAATGGGACGGACGCATGCTTCCGGGAATGCTCCACCGTGCTAGTTTTCTCCCCGGACTTCTGGTGCGGAGTATGCGGAGGTATTTCCCCACATGACCAGACTGCTGATTGTGTCGTGAGTACTGTTGAAAGATCGTCCAGCACAGCAGCCCACAGGTCATGGAGGCTTTGCAGATTTGTTCTTCATCTTCTCATCTCAGCTTGTCACCCGAACTGAGCAAGCACATTTTCGGTCTACCGGCAAGATGATCGAGTCGTTCACCCTTCCAAGCGGGAGAGAGATGGCCTACACCCTGTCTCCCGGGGCCTCCTTAGATCGCATTATCCTCCTTTCTAATTCTTTAGCGGAGGACTTGACTTCCTGGGACCGCGTCGTGCCTGTACTGGAAGATCAAGGCTTCCGGGTCCTCCGCTACGACCAACCGGGCCATGGCCGCTCCAGCGCACCATCTGAATCTAAGTTGTCGTCCACATCCTTCGAGGTCCTGGCGGACGATGTGTATTACCTTTTGAAACATCTGGGAATTAGCAGACTGCATGCTTGGGTAGGGGTATCGATGGGAGGCATCAAGGCCGTGTACTTCGTTGCGCGTCATCCGGGCATGGTGAACAAGATCATTGTAGCCGACGCCATCGCCGCTTCACCAGCCGTGACCGGCGTCGCAGATAACTTCGCCGTGAGGATAAGCGCCGTCAAAGAAGCAGGATCAATCTCAGAGGACCTTTTCAATACGAGGAAGCGGTGGTTCGGCGAAGAATGGATGGCGGAGCATCCCGAAGAGGCGGCGAGAATGGAAAGGTCTATGGCGACGACTACAATTCAGGGGCTGGAGGCCTGTTGTGCTGCCCTTAGGAGCCCATCTTTTGATCTCAGGCCGCTGTATCCCCAGGTGGGACATGGCTGTGATGAGGCTCTCATTATCGCCGGGGAGAAGGATGCGGACCTGCCGTCCAAGATGCAGGAGATGCGGAAGGCTGTGGAAGAGAGCTTATGGAGCCGTGGGAAGAAGGGATCCGTAAGGATGGAGATTGTCAAGTCTGCCGGGCATGTACCCTACATTGACGGTTTTGAGGACTTCTGTGTGATTATCACCAAGTTTCTTTCTTAGACAAGGGCAGCGATGGCTCTGGTGAAATGGATCCGTAGTTTCTTTGTGTATCAAAAGCTACAGGGACATCTCCACTAGAAGCAATTTTACTATTCGCATTTCTAGAGTGTAGCTGGCATTCTGATTAACAAGTCCGAATGGATGGCTCCCGAGGGATGAACCGACGAAGTGTAGCGGGTCTGGCGGCAAGCTCTCCGTCGGTTGCAGTGTTCCGAAAATTAGTCTCAGTCTCGAACAGTAGATCCAGCCACACAGCAGACTGCATTCGGAGAACCCATCAGTGTCTTCGCGGGGATGAAGAAGAGATGGGGTTTTCATCAGTGAACTTTGCCATCATTCATATATAAACTCGTCATCTTGAGAAGAACGAGCATAGTTACTCCTTTTACTCAGTTGATCTGTGAGACAACTGTGAACTTCACTGAGTTATTCTGGCTGCACAGCACCATGCCTAACACTTCCAGATCGTTGAACGTCCTTGTCGTCGGCGCTGGCCTGGGCGGCCTAGCAGCGGGACTTGCGCTGCAGACCGACGGTCACACGGTCACAATTCTTGATGCAGCTCCCGAGTTCGCTGAAGTAAGGCCTCAATAGCAACCACGTTCCAGGACTTTGGCTCATATTGGCGACTTTCATAGGCTGGAGCGGGTATCAGGATCCCACCTAACTCGAGCCGCTTGCTCTTGCGATGGGGTGTTGACCTAGAGAGGATGAAGAAGTCGACTTCGCAGAAATATCACTTCATCCGTTGGAAGGATGGCAGCACAATCTTCGATTTGCCTTTCAACAACATCGTTGAGACACACGGAGCGCCTTACTGGCTTGTCCATCGAGCAGATCTGCACGCGGCGTTGCTCGACGCCACGCAGAAAGCCGGCGTCAATGTTTTGACTAAGAAGCGTGTCGTCTCGTACGACTTCGATGCTCCGATGGCGACTACAGTGGATGGGGAAGTCTTCAAAGCTGACCTTATCGTGGGTGCAGACGGTATCAAATCTGTCTGCCGACCCCTGCTTACCGGGCGGCCCGACGTACCGCGGGACACTGGAGACATAGCCTACCGAATCCTCATTCCCAGCGAAAAGTTGCTGGCCGACCCGGATCTGGCCCACCTTATCCTCGACCCCTGCACGACTTCCTGGTGCGGGCCGGACGCACACCTGGTTGGCTACCCTATCCGCAACGGGGAGATGTACAACATCGTCGTGTGTGCTACTTCCTACAATGAAACCACGGACGAGGTTTGGGTCGTTAAAGGCGACAACAGCGATCTGTGCAACCGATTTGCGAGCTGGGAACCCAAGGTGCGAAAGCTCTGTGCCCTGACGGGCGACTTCATGAAGTGGCGACTGTGTGATCTGCCCAATCTAACCCGCTGGACGCACCCGTCGGGCAAGGCCGTGCTGCTGGGAGACAGCTGTCACCCCATGCTCCCTTACCTGGCTCAGGGCGCCGCCCAGTCCTTTGAAGATGCCGCCGTTTTGCGCCAGGTACTCGCGCAAGATGTGGACTTGGCCACAGCCCTGAAGCAGTACGAAAAGATCCGTATGCCGCGGGCGGGCCTCGTGCAAGCCAAGACGCGTGAGCACCAGTACATCTTGCATATTGATGATGGGCAGGAGCAGCAGACGCGTGACAAGAAGCTAGCTCTCGATACGACGGAGAACCCAGTCTTCTGGGGCTTCGGAGACCGGAGGAAATGGCTCTTCAGTCACGATGCAGAGGTGATTAGGAAAGAAGGGGCTAACTGGAGGGATGGGCCCGTATTGAATGGTGTTCAGACGTAGTCCAGGACCGTGGTGGACATGGTTCTAAATTCATGTGGTTTTCTTCCATGTTCCTCTCTCTTGTTAGGGCCAATGCTTGTGCTTTTCGCCATGGAATGTAAGCCAGTCATCATTCAAACATTATTCTCTGTTCAGCTCGTATTGTATACCTTACAGATTGCTAACACTTATCCACCACAACATAGCCCTTGGACGGAACCATCCAAGCAGAGACCAAAGCTGCCGTATGTGCCAATTGCACAAATGGCGACAGAATAACCGATAAAGCAGCATGCCTCAACATCTTCAAATATGAAATATCAACTACACTCATATCTTGTGTAAAGGAAGCCACAAGTAAATTATGAATGTTTGTTGCATCATTCCACAACATCCAGTCATAGTACCACCAAGGCACATATATTTCAAACTGACAGATTAAGCCCAAAATAGGGCTGTAAATTCGTATAATTTCGGTTAGATCTCAATTGATTCGGACGTGAATGTGGGGAGAGAAAAGACTCACAACATCCAAAAGCCAAGTCCGCCTGCTACTGAAGCAACCATGGCGATCTTTACCAAAATACTGTCAATTGAAAGAATTCCGGTATACCAGCGTCGTCGTTGATTCCAAAAATCATCGAGACTGAAAGGAGGTTGCTCAAGGACAACTGCATGCAACCAGTCGAACTGGAATTTTTGCGATGCAGCCTATTGAGGTCAATGAATGTAACCAAATTTGACTATTCCATGTTACTTACCTGATAACCGAACCAAAAGTCTTCCGATATGCAGTCTGTGTCCCATGTGACTGTATTTTCAACTTCGCCGTTGATTAAGATCCAAGATCCGTGTATCCAACCTAAAAGTGGCCTATTTAAGTACCGCACGGGTAGTTGAAACTGCCCAAAATCCTCTGCAAGGCGACCGACTTCTGCTGCCGAAAGAAATGCGTTTCTCCAATGATTGGCCGAAGTATAGAAAATCGTTCCCTGAATAAGGTCAATATATCAGTTCCAAAGGAAAAAAGAAGTCTGAAGGGACTCACAATTCCGAAATCTGCGTGACCCCTCTCAATGAAGTCTAAACACGTCTTAATGACACTTTCGTCAATCTGAGATTCCTCATCCAGGTGCAATACCCAGTCATCCCTGGTCAACCTCTGCTTCTGGCGAAAATACTCAAGGGCTCGGGCCTTGTACATGGCTTTCTTTGTCTCCACAACCCTCGGGACTTGATCAACCTTGATATAAGGAGCAAGCTCTTCGCGAAATTCTGTTCCATTTAGACCATCCACAACAACATGGAACTGCAAAGCAGGATGTTTTAGACTATTCCAGCATTTTGTCGAATTCAACACCGTCTATAATATTTCCGTAAGTTGAAATATTCGAAAGACAGAGAGGTATGGATAGCTTGGACCTCATCTCACCTGGAAGTTTGTTCCCCTTGTCACTAGACATACTCTCAGTGTTCCCAGGCGCCTTGTTATTGGACCCTGCGCATATTTGTAAGGTCGCATCGGTAGACATAACCCCCATGTATTCCTGTAAGGTAGGACCTGAAACATAAGAAAACATGCATTCGCAAAGGCATGAAATGTAACCATTATATCCCAGCCATCCTCTGCCACACTTGCATAATAGCCTGTGAACTGAACAACTATTTTGAGGGCTATTTTCGAGAATTCAGTATACAGATTTGGAGATTGAAAAAGTCCACTCATTTGGAAAGGCCGTACCGGTGAAAACCAAAAGTAGAGTAAATGGAAAGATGATATAATTGTAATTGAGCGCCTTGTAGAGTCTGCGTAAATTTTTGGATCGCAAAGGATTGTCGTTCATTTCAACCGAAACCATTTTGAATATCGTAGAAAGGCGGAAGACAAACCAGGATTTGAGGATGTGAAATATAAGTTTGGAGTAGCAATTCAGCTTTATGTTGAATGTTTATTTTGAGACTGGATAACCCGATGCTGTGAGTTAACTTGGAATGTTACCATGCAAGATGCAAGGGACGGAATAGGAACCGGAAAATATACCCGCTGCTTACACTTGCGGATTGTTTCCCATACAGTATCTCGAATATTGCGGATCATGCCACTTGTGGTGGTATTTTGATACTGAGATTAGCCTACTGGCAATCATGATGTTTCCCGTAACGGAGACTTTCTTTAACCTATAGAGCTCTTATATATCCATTATCTCCTATTTGAGTAGAAGCTGACAATGTAATTACTATTGCCTAACCACACAAGAAGACTTGGCATTCTCAATTCCTTGAAGTGCTTATTACCTAGAGAGGCAGGGCACTGAAGGCTTGACTATCGGTGTATCTGGGCCCTACATCTCCAATAAACAATTGAAGAAGGTCCATTTACGTGACTAATTATTAACATCTACTGACATAAACATTGCAAATATGAATAGTTAGAAATAGCTGTGGTGTCCCTAGCAATTCCCAAGGATGCACCTGCGTCCAGTTAGGACAAAAAGCCTTCTTCCATCTGCAGGTAACAGAGGGAAATGGAGGCAGTTCAATCAGAGCCAAGCATTTCTGCGATCGGTATGTTGAAGAAACTTGGGATTAGTTTACTACAAAATACCAAGCCCGTTCGTCAAAGCATGGAATGTTTAATCAGCGTTCTTCTGCGTGGTTTGAGTGAAGGGATAAGTACCAATATTTAAAGTCGTATTTCCCGGAACTAGTCTCGTTCAATTCCATCTGCTACTCTTGATTCAGTATTGTTTTGCGAACCACACTATATTCAAACATGCAATACGCCCGTTTGATCGGATTGGCGCTTTTTGCCCTTTTTTATGGTGTGATAGCAATGCCAATCGAAAGTACGTACTTAATTGGTATTTTCACAGCGCCGTCGGTCACTAAGTCATCAAAACAGGAGAAGCACCTCGTCATGAGAAGCGGGGGGGTCTTGATGGCATCACTGCAGTGGTGAAACAACTGAACCATATCGTTGGGACATTGAACAGTCTATTGGGAACGGTGGAGGCACCAGTTGAAACTCTGGAGAACTAAATCACAAGAGTTCTGGAAATTTTTCTTCCCCAACATATGGGGTGTGGACCACTATACTGTATTCGGTACACTGGGGGCACGAGCAAGAGCTGGTGCAGCATCGGTACGATGGATAAGATCTCGCGAGCTCTGTTTCATATACATTGAGAGCTTTGTTTAATGTTAGTATAACGTGGATAATCAACACAAGTTCGAGCTCAACGTAACATCCGAAGATGCATTTACTAGACGGGCTTTTAATGGTTTTTTTTTTCTCAATGAGAAAGTACTTCAATGTGTTTCATTGTCTACAAGCATTACAGATAGTTGTAAGAACATGCGCAGGTGTTCGGGTGCTTTGGCGAGCGGCTGAGAGAGGCGGAAAGACATTCGCCCAGACACAAGGGTAAGCTCCACCAGAGTGCTCATCGAGGCCAGAGAAGTCGCCGTGGACCGTCATGGCCAGATCCTGGTCAAGATTTAGTATGTTTTTTTCGGGATGATCTGCTCACTTGTTTAATCGAGTCGCTTGTGGAGTACGTTACAACAACTTTTGGGTAGCCCACGGGTATCCTCCAAGAACCCATGGGCGGTCTCGCGATGTCCAAAACCCGACGGTCTGGTGAGGTCTAGATCATCAGATCGGGTGACGTCAGGTGACCCTCACGTTATTGACGCGGACTCAATTGTAAATTAACTATAACCAGTGGGATAACGCAGTCTGCGTGACCCCAGGATAGGGGAAAGGGCAGGGAGGCTAGTGGTCGCGAGGATAGTGAACAATAGTGATCCCGATTTTACGGTCCCAAACCTAAAGCTCGGACCTGATCGGAGTGGCCCCGTAAGCTTCTAAAGCAATTGTGGACTGCAGGATCGTAGTGCGCTATCGATACATACTCATCCTTGAAGATCAGCATTGGCGGTATCGATTCCAAATACGATGTAGGTGGATCATCTGCCTATCCTAGCTCAGAAGCTCTACTGGCCGTACTGTGCACAATATTTGGGTGAGGATTTGTATGCTTGTCCTGCGTCGGTCAGCAAGTTTTTAGGAATGCTCCCGTCAAGAGCATCCACACAAATATGTATGGGTGCGCTGACTAGGGTGAATCTAGTTAACTAACTAACATGTCTTTCTGATCTCTAGTCTGTAGGATGGCTCGTGTCTCAAGTTAGAGCAGCGGAGCATGTGGTGTCAACGAAAAGCTATCTTCGTTGAACAGAACCAGCTTAGCGTGGTATTTACTAGAAAACGAGGCTGGGCATTCATTACTGTCAACATCGTTCAGAGGCGGGCCACTCGCCTGTGACATCGAACCGATGTCTATGACATTCACAACCCAGTTGACCTTTCATCTTTGGACAAAGAAAGAAAGATCAGAACTGAAAGAGGTTGACTGGTTTGCAAAGCAACAGTGACGCTAAACAAACCTATTCCACAATTTCGTCGTTGAACATTAGTGAGGACAAAGATCTGCGAACGTGCTGCTAAATTCCAGTGCAGCTTGGGCCGATTCGGTCATGTTAGAGCCTAAATGATGACTATATTGGCTGGATATTACTCTCGACGATCATACTACCCAGCCGTATGCAGCCTGCAGGAATTCTATACACAGGAACGTTCAGCACCATATTGTATTTCATGTGACCCACTTGCAAATGACCCACATTGTACATAGTACTATAGTAGCGGGGTGCTAAAACACATACTACAGAGTAGTGGGTTCACAACACCTTCGGACGATCTCGGGCGTAATAGATCTACACTGTCCATAAGTATTTTCCCAAGGTCGGCTATGTCATAGCCCCCGTAAGGAGGAATGAGTACGGTCATTCCTTTATAATTTGCTGGTCCATGATAGTTTCCGGACATCGTCTCCTCCCCCTTGCTGGACTCACCCCGACGCCTAGAACCACATAGCATCAGAGATCAGCGGTTTATCCGACCACGGGTATGTTTTCCCTCTCCTGCTAAAAATCGGCATAATGAAACACTGTTCGTCATACGTGGGAATTTAGCTCCAGTCTGACGACGTCTGAGCTTGAATATAAAAGAGTCTCCCACGGACGAGTTGTCATATTCCGTCCTAGGACGCACGGCTCCATCTTACGGTCTGTCAATTGTCAGTTGCTAGTACTTCACTAGCCTTTCCTCCACGTCCAGATCGATGCGGTTCTCGTATTATATTGGGCTGCTGGCCCTAGTTGCAGGAGTCAATGGACAGTCCGGCAATGAGAAACAGCACTGTGTGGTCAATGTTGTGAGGTCGGCTGGTATGGCTGGCCATGTCTCCACCGGTTTTTGCCAGGACCCGTCGTCACTCGGTGACCTCCTCTCGACTGGGAACTATACCAAGGAGGAATGCGATGCCCAGCGTGACACGATTATCAAGAAACTCAATTCGATCTACAAAGATCCTGTCAAGACGTATCGCCCTCCTTATTTCTTGAATCCGCAGACATACGATGAGAAGTACCGCACCGGTAAGGGCGAGAAATTTCTTACCACGTCCAAAACATTCGGCGAAGACAAGGCTTGGCTGTCCACAATGCTTTTTCCCGACAAGGGGCCTGCGTTACTGGAGATAAACGATCATATCACAAAGGCATGTGAAGGGAAAACCGCTTTATCAAGTGTATCGACATGCATCCTCGAGCAGCACGCATGTCAGGCAGCTTGGCCAAACGAGTCGTTTCACCCCGCGAGCGAACAGCCAAGTTGGCTTTAATGGACCGTTTGAAATTTATAAGCCCCAGCATTCCATACGCGAACACATGGGCGAGTTTTTCGCGTGGGCGAGTTGGGTCTTGGGTGGTTTTTGGCGAGGTCTAGGCTGGTGAAATGGCGGCTTAAGACTTGGTTAGAGCGAAATGAAGATAAGGCGGGGTTTGAAACTACTTAACGACCGGTGAAATTGTTTTATCATGGTCATTGCTGAGATGATGAAATGGAAGAACGTCAAAAACAATATACAGAAAAAGTAGGATCTTAGTGTTGTGACACCCGCCTCCAAATGTCAGGCTCTGTTTGAGATCAAAGAACGCGAATCATACTGGGTTGCGCTTTTCTGTTTCATCAAAGTAGTTGAAGAACTTAACAATCATGTCCGACGGAGTCAGAGCGGTGCATTTGAACGCCAGAGACTTGCAAAATATTGGGACCAGGCTACTCGTCCTTAAACCCGAGGCTGCATTATTGGTAAGATGGGCGGCCTAGCCTAGCCAGTCATCGAAGATAACACGGTGGAAGACTGGTGGAAAAAAGACCATATGGCAATGGCAAGCTCTTCCCATTCGGATTTGGGGTCAAAGTAAGTCCCCGATACCCGCCATGCTCGGCCCTCACCGTCAGACGTTAGGAGGAGCCGCCTAGGGCTAGAGACCGAAGTTGTCGATGAAGGCAAGAACCGACACTTGTTCAACGGTCAAATCGCCAGATAACCAGCTCTCGATTGCAATTTTCGCCCACCAAGTAGAACTCGCCACCACAGAGCTTCGCTCTGCCCGCGAAGTCCAAATTCGGGTGAGTGAGGGGCGGGTAGTAAAGAGACTGAAATTGCAGGTATATGCTTGCCTCTTGTCTTCCCGGAGTTCGGCTCAGGAGAAGGACCCAGCAGAAGAATGTCGGTATGGAAGCATAATCGATGGGATGATAAACATAGTCGAGTATATTCTCCGGGTACTTCGATTCCCATAGGAGAGGGACAGGCTCAAGGGGGGTCGCTTGTAGGCTACAGTTCCCGCGATAGGGCACTAACGGGGCCTCAACACGATGCCGACGGTGCGGGCCATAGCCCGACAAGGGGATGCTGGTAACAATAGTAAATGATGACGGCCACCACTCATATTCTTCATCGGTGATATTTTCAGTAATTTCTAGAGCCCGGGCGTCGTTTGTGATTTCCAGCCGTTGGATGCTGGGACACCCACGTTGTCGGATACCGAAGAATTCCAGATCGCGGAAACCGAAGCGAACCTCAACCGTGGGTGCGCCTGGTTCTTGATCTATCAGGCTACCTGTAGGATCCAGGGACGGACGATAAGAGGACGGCTTCGAAATGTCCCAGACGAACAAGGATTCAATCGGCGCATCTTCGTCTGCAGTGTACAGACTGCGGTTCGGCTGCCACATATAGATCACGTAGTGCGTGTTGGTATGAGACGAGAAAAAGCGGTCTCGGTCACTGAGAGGATGGCCCAGGAACATGATTTTCCATTCGTTGCGCGGGACAATGCTCCAACCATCGTCGGAGTTGCGCGTCACGTCGAAGGACGAGGCAAAGTGACGATGGACGCCGTCGCTGTCATTGAGCCAGTGAAAGGCTTGGGGTTCTGCCCACTCGACAACAAGCAATTGCTTCTGCAGCCGCACGCGGCGCACGACTTTTCCGTGGACGATAAATGGCACCATGAAATTGCGCTCCGTCTTCAAATCCATCAGCACCAAACACTGGTGGTGAGCACTCGGATAGACCAGCAAATCGTCGTCGCACGTCCACATTGCCTCGCCGAACGGTCGGTCAACAAGGTCACTGAAGTGGCTGGCATGCGACTCCCACGGCGGGACGGGGAACCATTCGCGCTCGCCATTGCTGCCGAAGTCATCGCACAGCTGGTATTTCTGCAGCGTGCGAGGTTTCTGGATCGACATCCGATGCCATCGGGAAGCGACCTGGTCAAACAGACGGCGACACTCGTTATTGTCAATGTCGGAGCTTCTGGCTATGATCTCGTCTGCCTCTGGCGTCCCCAAAAACCATCTCTTCACCAGCGGCACGAGGATGGATGCGCTGCAAAAGGCCTCGTTCCATGAGCGCGAGACCTGGCGACAGTGCGCAATGTCATAGAAGGACAGCTGGCTAGAAATGACCCAGAAGAGGTCCAGGGGCAGCGTGGCCAGTTCGGGTGATGGTGTTGTCATTGGCAGAGTTGTGTTCCCCACACCACTTTGCGCCGACAACACCTGGCCTCTTTCTTCCTTCCTTCCTTCCTTCCTTCCTTGCCCTCCTTGTTCTCCCCATTCTGATCATTCCCATCGCCATACGGAATAATGATGCTGCCAAGCTCGATTCTGCTCGCCCTGCTGGCTGCGCTGCCAGCCAACGCTGACGGCCTGTACTCCAAGAAGTCGCCGGTGCTCAACCTGAACCAAAAGAGCTACAACGCTCTCATTGCCAACTCAAACTACACCTCCGTGAGTCAATCCCTTGCTTGACATGCTACTTCACAGCTAACTTCGCTGCTACAGATTGTCGAGTAAGCTTCTCTTCTCTCATTTTTGACCCACTCTTGGTTATCTCCGTCCTTCTCCGCTGACCCCGAGCTCTAGATTCTATGCCCCGTGGTGCGGCCACTGCCAGAACTTGAAACCCGCATACGAAAAAGCCGCGAAGAATCTGGACGGTCTGGCCAAGGTTGCGGCCGTCAACTGCGATGATGACGAGAACAAGTCCTTCTGTGGCCAGTTGGGCGTGCAGGGCTTCCCAACGCTTAAGATCGTGACGCCTGGCAAGAAACCGGGCAAGCCACGTGTGGAGGACTACAAGGGGGCGCGCACTGCCAAGGGCATTGTCGACGCGGTGGTGGACCAGATCCCCAACCACGTCAAGCGCGCTACGGACAAGGACCTGGACAAGTGGCTGGCCCAGAACGAGGACCGACCCAAGGCGATCCTGTTCACGGAGAAGGGCTCGACCAGCGCGCTGATTCGCGCGTTGGCGATCGACTTCCTGGGCTCGATTGATTTCGCCCAGGTGCGCGACAAGGAGAGCGAGTCGGTCGACAAGTATGACATCACCGAGTTCCCAACACTTGTCCTGGTTCCCGTCGACGGCGGCGAGAACAAGGTCTACAATGGCGAGATGAAGAAGCTTCCGATTACTGCCTTCCTCAGCCTAACGGCCAAGCCGAATCCGGACGCTTTGCCAGCGATGGCAGCGGAAGCTGCGGCGTCTGCTGCTGATTCCAAGGCCAAGGGCGCGAAACCGACACCAGCAGCTGACGACGACGGTTCCGATGAGGAGGCAGCTGCAACAAAACCCGCCCAGGTTCCTATCGCCGCGCCACCGATCCCCACTCTCGCAACTGCCGAATCCCTCGAGTCCAACTGCCTCGCACCCAAGTCCGGAACGTGTGTGCTTGCTCTTCTCCCGGAACCCAGCGAGGCAGATGCCGTGCTCCCCGCTATCGCAACAGATGCACTGGCCAGTCTGGCCGAAATCGTCCATAAGCACGCCCAGCGCGGAACGAAACTGTTCCCGCTGTATGCGGTGCCCGCCATCAACACAGGCTCCAAGACTGTACGTGACGGACTGGGCTTGGCCGATGACCAAACGATCCAAATCGTTGCTCTGAATGCCCGCCGCGGATGGTGGCGCCAGTATGGTGAAAGTGAGGACTTTGGTCTCCACGCCCTCGAGGCTTGGGTGGATGCGCTCCGGCTGGGTGAGGGTGCGAAGGAGAAGTTGCCTGAGGGGCTGGTGGTTGAATCTCAGGCTGAGGCGGAACATGATGAGCTGTAACGAAGGCAAAGCTAACCAGACAAACCTTCTTGCCTTGCTTACTTACTTGTACGGTTTCATTTCGGAATCCATTTAGCGAATTGCATGTTCTTCGTCTATATCTCAGAGAGATATTTATCCAATTTCTGACCTTGACGGTTTTCCTTCTTTTACCTAGGGCTCGGTGGAAGTATGGATGTCCGCCCCACACATCAATCAGTGAAAAGGAAGCTTGGTTTTATTCTATCTTCGAACTCTTACTGTATTTACAGTTCCTCATATGGCTTTGAAGCTGAAAACAGTAACTAGACCCGTGATGTTCGTCTCATATCTGAGTCGTTCGACACTAGTCGGCCAGGGGCATTTAAGGCATAAACAATCTGCGGGGTCCAGGTTCTCACAAACAAGCCACTGAATGCCGTTAATTGAAAACATTGCCTACTCAGGTATACTCTACGAACTTCCCCCAAAATCCAAGGCTGAAGTTTGGATGTACCTGTCCCCCAGTCGCCCCACATCTGCCTCGCAATTGTGGGACGCGCGATTAAGGGTCCGACTTGGAACGTGCATACTGTACTTCCTGAGAAGGATTTATCAACTAATCCAAGGAACTACTTGAGATTCAGGAGTAAGTGCATTAGGTAAATTCTTCCCAACCCATGGTTGCATTCCTACCTCGAGAAACTTGTAAAATGTGTGGCCTGAGTACATACGTGGCTGTTACTACATACCCGCCCCCAAATTTCGACTTTGCAACTAGTAGTTAGGCAACAACTAATTATGAAAATTGACTGTGGTTGCTAGTCCGGAATATAACACAAGCTGGTCTAACAAAGGATTCCCTTTGAAACCTTGTAGCCTTGCACAGCCCCTCAATGGCACGAAGGACCATCATGTTGATCACAATGTGCAAAAAGCCAGGGTCTTATTTTTCGTATATAGCACCCGCTGTATTACTTATGTAGCTATAGGCAATCTTTGAGTTGCTATCGCTATATGTGCCAAGATGCGAACACTCGGGACCTTGGCAGGTCTGTGGACAACGCTATTCCTTGTTCTTGTGACGCACGCTATCGAGTTGGACATCGACGATGAACGTAAGTGGATTTTGTTCTTCTTGACATTTTGTTGATTGAGACTTGGGGATAATAATAGATTATTTATTTCTGCTGACTATTACTGTCCCCCAAACTAGAATCTATCAAAGAGGCCGCGTCCAAAGCGACTTGGGGAGCAATGACATATTATCACGGCAATGAATCCGGTAGTATCCCAGGAAACATTCCACAGAAATGGTACGAGGGCGGTGCTTTGTTCTTGACAACAATCAATTACTGGTATTTCACAAACGACTCACAGTATAACGACGTAACAAAAGTTGGACTCGAGTTTCAGGGTGAGCCTGGGGACTTTTACCCAACCAACTGGACTACGTGGATTGTAAGGCATCATTCTAACAGCTTGACCAACTTCCTCTGCTTACTATTTCCAAGGGGAATGATGATCAGCTGTTCTGGAGTTTCGCCGCTATGACTGCTGCTGAGATGAACTTCCCCGAAACCGGACAATACTCATGGCTTAGCCTCGCCCAGGGCGTTTTCAACGCCCAGACCGCTGCTCCCACCCCCCAAAACACCGGGTGGGATCCGAATACCTGCGGTGGTGGCGTGCACTGGCAAAAATATATAGAAAAACCTGGATATGACTTGAAGAACGCCATCTCCAATGGAGGGCTATTCCAGCTGTCTGCGCGCCTTTACCGGTACACGAACAGAAGCGTCTATGCCGAATGGGCTGAGAAGATCTGGGACTGGTCTGTGGCTCATGACTTGGTAAATAACGTCACTTGGGAGGTGAACGATGGGGTATCTACAAACGACGACTGCCAAACTCCGGACCCACCCCAGTGGACATACAATTATGGCACCTTCCTTATGGGAGCGGCTTATATGTATAACAATGTATGTATAAGCTCCATTTTCCGACTCGTACCATCGCTGATCGACTATAGACCTCAGGAGCTGACCAAGAGCGCTGGCTTAATAACGTCTACGGGCTTGCAAATGCCACCCTTGATAAATTTTTTCTAAAGAAAAACGGGTATATCTTAGAGGAGCTGGGTTGCGATCCTTTCCCAGTATGCACGGACAGCAACGAGCTTTTGTTCAAAGGCCCTACCTCTTTGTGGCTAGGATGGACTGCCATTTTGGTTCCTCAAATATACGAGCAAATTATGCCAAAGCTGCAATATTCGGCCCAAGGGGCTGCAGCATCCTGTATAGGAGGCAGAGGGGATGAATGTGGTGGTAGCTGGTATATGAAGAAGTTCGATAACAAGGCAGGGTTAGAGCCCCAGATGACTGCGAGTAATATCTTCTCTATCAACTTGATTCCTTTCAGTCACGCCAAGAAAAGCAAAGGACCATTGACAGCGTCGACTGGTGGCACGAGTAAGGGCAACTTCAATGCAGGCAAAAACGATCCTAACAAGGGACATGCTCTACCACCGATCACGACAGGAGATCGAGTAGGTGCGGGGATCCTGACCGCAGTTATGATTGCTACTTTGATTGGTACTTTAGCCTGGATGCTTGTCGGAGAAGATCATCCAGGCAAGGTGTATGCATAGGGACCGCCGAGTGACTACGCTCTTGAGGGTTTTCGGCCCTGCAACTCTGGGTGACTAATATTCCGTTGATGGACGAGGGATTCAATTGAGTTAATTCTCGGCAGATTCCTGTTAGAACCAGCACAGATCCCCTGTTCCGTTTTGTTGCCGGATAATCGGCAGAGAACCGATTTGATTGGGTACAAATGTGTATTGTAAAGCACCTTTTTGGCATCGCAGTGGACTCAACGTTTTCTAGGAAACTCACCCAACTGTTCGAACATGTAGGGATTCATTATTGATTCAATATTCAATTAGCTGCTAGAGGGGCTCGAATAGAACAAAATGAGAAGAGACGGCAGCCTATCCATTGTTCTTTGGACAAAGGCTATTCTTACACCGGAAAACGATGTGGCTATTCCGTTTTTATAACCATTTCTCATATTGACGTTTTCTTATATACAAAACGGGTATCCAACTCATGATATGTCCAAACAGTGAACCAATTCTATCTCATCCGATGAGGATGAATTTGACAGTCAATTAAGAATACAACTCTCAAAGCATCTAGAGCAGATTCCCCAAGATATCCAAGCCCTGGTCTGTGAGCGAAGTTTGCCCAAATTGCTCGAGGATAATATCAGCAGCCTTCTCACCAACCATATAAGTCGAAACCGCGGTGAATGTTCCCGGGATACGAGGGTAGACGGAGGCATCAACCACACGCAGACCCTTCACACCACGGACCTGGAACTTCGAGTCTAGAACGGCCATCGGGTCATCGTCAGCACCAATCGGACATGTGCACGAGGCGTGGTGTCCCCAAGCCGTATTCTTGGCGTAGTCCTTAATATCCTCTGCGGACTTGACACCCGCACCAGGCAGGATCTCTTCAACCTGAAGCGGCTGGCGTGCGATGGCGTCCCGGGCGAGTTCGACTGTCTCATACAGAGCCTGTAGATCAGCGGCATAGTCACCGCTGCCGGTATCGAAGTAATTGAAAACGATATGAGGGAGATCAAGGGGATCCGCCGAGCGCAAGGAAACCTTTCCGGCCGTATTGCGCGGGTGAGACTTCAGGATAGCCCAGCTCCAGACATCGTGGCGTGCGGTGATATTGATGCTGTAGCCAGGGAAGTATCCACGGAAACCAACAGGTCCGCCGAAGACAAAGACATCCCAGTTCTCATCTGCCGTAGCTGAGCTCTTAAAGAACATGGTAGATGCAAAGCCATCCGAAGCGTACGTGCCTCTATTTCCGAGAACGGGGTTCTCCCAGCGCTTTAGGCACGGGTCTGTACTCTCCTTGCTCGTAAATGTACAGCCATCAAGCAGGGTGAAGTTTTCTGGGACAGTGCCTTGCACGGAGATTTCGTAGTGGTCCTGCAGGTTTGAGCCAACTCCGGGCAGGTCTGCCACGACGGGGATGCCAAATTTCTCGAGTTCGTCTCTAGGGCCGATGCCACTGTGCTTTAGGAGCATTGGAGAGTTGTATACGCCGCCGGAAACAATCACTTCACGGGATGCAGTCACGCTTCCCGGAGTACCACGCGTCTCTCCAGATCGAGGACTAGCCTTGAACAGGTACTTTCCGTCAAGAAATTCGACGCCCGTTGCCCGCGGCGGGCTCACAGACTCGTCAAAGAGAACCTTGGTCGCGAAACAGTCGGTGCGCACGTCAAGCGGATACTTCTTGCTTCCATCTGCATTCTTCGCATCACGCACGTCAACGACAAAGTCCCTCGACCCGACACGCACACTGTCCTTGGACGAGATAGGGATCTGATAGTAGCCCGGGTTCTGGTCACGCGCCAGCGAGTCGGCGTTAGCATCGCCCGCTCCCAGTGTAGCGAGGTTGAAGATTCCGCTGGTCCAATTACCCAGGGCCCAGAGGCCGCCGGTGATCATGCTGAGCAGCTGCGTGTCCTCGAGCACGAGGGTGAGCGGCGCTTCTTCGGTCTGCAGCCAGCCGTTGTAGCCGTGTCCTGGGCTCAGAGAAAGATAGTTGTTCCGCTCCGCGTTGATGAAGTATTTGCGCATGTTATTCGGGGCCCAGGATCCATCACCCGTCAGGGTGGCGACGTATTCGAAATCTGATTCAAACGGGTAGATGGCAACGAGGGCATTGTGCGCAGTGCAACCACCCAGCGCACCAGTCCGTGGATAGAGCGTTCCCTTGAGCGTCGAACCCGGTGGCGGATTGAGACCTGTATACTCGGTCCCATCGGGGGTTTCATAGGTCGTCTTGTAATCGAGAGCTTGGCGCTCGTCGTCCGCATAGTGGTGGACGAAAAAGTTCCATGACAACGCCGGGTCCTCGGAGGCTTTGGCCGAGTACGCGGGGACGCTGTAGTTCACGTTTTGGCCTTGATCATCGCCGGCTTCAATCAGGAGTGTCTTGTGGCCCGCCATGGCCAGACGAGCGGCCACAGGACCGCCACCGGCCCCTGAGCCGACGACGACATACTCGTAGCCCGTGAGTTCAACAGCATTGGCAAGCGACGCTGAGGCTGCTAGGAGCCCAATGGTGAGAGAAGGAAGAAACATGGCCAATTAAGACTTTACAATGAGCGGACGAACCATTGGCGAACGGGCCTGGCGAGTGCAGTTATATAACCCCTGTACATAGCAGGCTGCGCACATGTTCAGCGAGAGCATAATCCCCGGAGACAGTCACCGATGACCGGCGAACATGGTGGGTGGATCGAGAATGCCGATCGTCAAGAGTCGTCCTTTTCCTCTCCGCATTTGCGTCGCTGGAGTACCTATCGGAAGCCGAAGAAACCGAGACTAGCGGGGCTAGTGTACTGGCGCCTGTCTGAGCGGGCGCGGGATTCTTAGTTAGGACAAGTCGGAGCGAAAAGTCATTATTGGCTGGGGCTATATGCCCTAGACCGGACTAGGGTGGTGACACGCTCAGGCTAAATTCTTCTTCCCCCTGTGGCGTAAATCATAATTGCGTTTATCCCGAGGCAGGTTTGCTCAATCGCATGTTCCACATGAAAAAGGGGCAAGCGTAGGTGTTCGGAATACAGTACATAGTACTCGCACCTACTTCGGGCTCCTCCACAGAACCCCGACAATTGTGATCGGCGGTGGGTTTTTAGTTTCGACAAAAATCGTCACAAAACCCGAGGCGATGGATGGAAGGAATGGGAGAGTAACCGGAAAGGTCCACTTATTCCTTCAACAAGAATAATGTGGATTGTATACACAGTAGACACAATAGGTACACAAAAGAAAAATCCCAGCAGAAACCAAAGGAACACCTTGTCAAATGCAAAAGAAGACAGATTATCGATCTATTTCTTGCGGCCTTCCGTGCCCTTCTTGATAATCTTCTGCCGCTTGGAATCCACCTCCTTGTCAAAGATCTCGCGCGCAGTCTCACCCTTCTTCCGTTTCGACGTCTTGCTTTTGACGCTCACGGTGGAGCCACCGCCAGAACGGATCTGTTTCTCTGCGTCGTCCCAGGCCGCGGAGCCATGATCAATTTCGTATCTGGATACTGGAAATCAGTTATTGTTCATTCCTGGCTGTGAACGAGGATCGATTGATCTTACCGGTCCAGTGGGAGAGCGTCAATCAGTGCGCGCTGTTTCTCGCGCATCTCTTCGTCGATCTGTTGGCCGCCTTGGCGCAGTTCCTCGTCGAGACCGGTCTCTAGTGGTTTAAACCGGTCTTCAGAGACATGGTTATCGTCGTGAGCTCCGGATGCAGAGATGGTCGAGGGGACTTGATCGGCGGGCATGGTGTCGGCAACAGCACCTTCGACCAAGCCCCGGAACTGGGTAGACACCTTGCGAATAATCTTCAGGAACATGGCGAGGAGTTGCGCCGAAGGAAGATTCAGCTCCTTCTCCAGAGCGTCTAGGCTCTTGCGTTGCAGGCCGATGGCGAGGAGAATGGACTGTTGCACACCCGAGAGACTGACCTTGCCGGCGAGGCGGTTGGCAAAATAGTACTCGGAGATAGCGGGCACCATATCGAGGATGACGTGGTAGTCCAAGAGATTGTTGGCGTAGCTGTCGAGACGCTTCAAGTCAAAGGGAGAGAAGGCGGCGTCAAGGTCGGCCTTGGTCAGCGGGCGCCCAACAATAGAAGGGTCGAGCTTTGCGCCGGCATTGGCTGATTCACAGATGCTGAGAGAGAGAACAGAGGGGAACTCGCGGAACTGATAGGACAACAAAGCCAAGAACCGACGGTGAAAGTCTCGTGCAAAGGCGCCCAGCCAGGCGGCATCATTGGTGCCAGCTGTCAAAGTACGCAGCATCACACACGAGTGCTCACCCGTCAGCTCGTTGGGGGTCTGCCGCAGGTACACTGGACTGAAGGCGGAGCGCTTCCAGAACTTGTGAAGGTTGGGAGTGAGGCCGTAGCTGACGCCGACGTAATCGAGCATGTCGGGACGGCGCTCCGTTAGCTTGCCGAACAGCGGCGGCATGGAGCGAATGTCTCGGACGTGAACGTTGTCGTCTAGAAGATTAGAATTGGCAAGCTCGTCGTCTGTGACACGAACCATTTCCTCTTGGGGCGCAGCCGTGTCTTCGGACAAGCTCGTGAACTTGCCCTCGTAGAAATCCACCAGAAGCTCGAGAGCCCGCGAGCCATAACCCATACCCACATACTCCGGGTTGGTCGCGATCCGGACAATGCGAGCACCTGACAGACTGGCGAAATCCTCATCCTGAAATTGCTGGCTCACCAACCAGGGAATCAAATCCCCACCGGCTCGTTGACCACGGCTCAGGCTGTTGAGAACACTTTGCCGGCTGATGCGACCCTCAAGAGCAACTTGGATGACGCAGAGCGGTTCCGGTAGTTTTGTGGCCTCTTCATCGATAGGCGGGACGAGCACATACAGCTGGTGTGCAGGGGCATCGCTCATAAGCTGAAGGTCGTTTGGCGTGTTCTTGTAGTGGCTGGCCACATACAATGCCATCATCTGTTGCAAGAACTTCTCGGAAACAGGATGGAAGGAGAACAGAGTGTCACGGTTGACCTGGAGCAGCTGACATTGCGACGGGTGTGGGCAGCCTTGGGTATTCATTCGGGACTTGGGCAGAGTCGCATCGAGACACAGGACCTTGTTCAACCACTTCTCCACGGAGTCTCCCGGTGCATACCGGATCGGCTCAGCCAGAGTAATCTCCCTCAATGATCGACCACCAAGGTTCTTGTCTGCGTTCTTAGCAGACTTGCCTGTGCTACGGTCCGCAACGTCGGTGTCGTCGATCTTCATACCTCCACGGGACTGTTCCCGTAGTTGTTGGATCAGTTTCAGCGACAATGATCGGCCGGTACCCTCGTAGCCGTTGATGGTGGAGGCCATGAAGACCAGGTAGGGGCCCAGTAGCTTCCGCACCATCGGCAGCGGAATGGCCGCAGCTTCATCAATAACCAGAAGCTCTGCTTGTCCCAGAACGTGAGCGTCCTGCGGCTGAATATATTGGATGGTTTGACGGTGGTTGCGGTGGACATTAACACGCACAATGGCTTTGTTGAAATCCGGGTTTGTCGATTGCAGGATGGTATAGTCGACATGATCCAGGTAGCCCAAAGCGTCAAAGCCCTTGAATACAAACTCAAAGAGCGTCTTCAAGTTCTCTGGGCTTGGGGAAGTGATGAAGATATTGCTATAGCCATGGGCAATGGCCGCTGCAATCGAAACACCAAGAGCAGCCGATTTTCCGCGTCCTCGGCCTGCTGTGAGCGCAACGGTGCTCTTCAATGTCTTCTCTGCAATTGCATCGACAAAGGTGAGGAGCGCCTTGGCCTGGTCGACGGTGCGAGCCAGATTCACCAGAGGGCCCACAGGCTGCGAATCCGCTAGACTTTCCTTGATCTCCTCTAGCTCCTTTTGAGAGCCGGACTTGGTGGCATCGATTGACTCGGGAGGAGGAAGCGGCTTGACATTCTTGCCGCCGGAGATGGGCAGCACGTTCAGTTCGTCGTCGACCACCAAGCACGAATCGCAGCTACCCAGTGACAGGATGAACCGCTCATTAAAGCGGGCGACCACGTCGTCGTGTGCTTCCGTCCGGTATCTCGAGTGTATGTCCATGGACAAAGTGTAAAGCTGCTTCAGACTGTTCATGCTCTTGAGCAGCAGCAACACCATACCACCTCCCTCGACCGTTTCGATCGTACGCGCCAGCAGATTGGGCGTCATCGCCTCAAAGTCCTGCAGGATGCACATACCATATGTGTTACCCAAAATCTTCTCGGTTTCCTTGTAGTAGACATAGCGGATCTGGTTGAGGGTGATGAACAGCTCGAAGGGATCTTCCTGGTTGGGCTCGCGGATGCCTTGTTTGACCTGCTTCTTGATCTTGGCCTCGCGCTTCTTGCGGTGACTGGTGAAGCCCAGCAGATCCTTCTTGTAGGCCCAGAGCACGGATTTGTTCTGCTTAACGTCGACGCTGGACATGATGTAGTGCAGATGCACAATCACATCCTTGGCGCGGTCGCCCACCACGACGAAGAAGCTGCGCTTCTTCTCCTGCACGCCATTGCGAATGAGCGCGGGAATGCGCGAGTCGATGGCCTTGCGAGGCATGATGGTTGTGGGAGGGCGCGGGAGCTGGCCGCGGGAGAGAGCCGAAGAGGGTCACTGGCGAGATTGGTGATGTAGAATAATCCGGGACACCACTGGCTCAGAACCCTCGGTGGTTAATTCGAGTCCGTCGGAAGCACAAAACCATAAAAAAAAGTTGCTCCGGCGATCGACCCAACGAAAAACCATACTGCCATCTGTCACCGCCTGCTGGATCCGATACCGCCTCGTCTGGTCACATGACCTTTGTCAGGGTCTGGTCCAGCACGTGACCGTCTACTGAATTCCGTTTAGCGCCGGCTACTAGTGGTTACTTTATTGGCCTTTGGATGACGCGTCCTGTAGTTGCAGGGCCTGCGCGTGCAACTTGGAAAAGCAAAATGGCTGACAGCACAAGTGGGGCCCCAAAGCCAAGGGAAGCTATAGGGAAGCCAAGTTTTCCCTAAACCGAAAACCCTTCATACTTCTGGACTGTCGATCTCACTGGCTCACCGCAGGGATGAACGAGGGACCGATCGGGGTAGCTGCAACTGGGTGATTTCATTCTAGGTGCCACATGCAGCTACAAAATACTTCAATAATCGTAGTAATAATACATGCACCACAATCAATAATCATCATCATCTGTTCCGTTGACGCAATGCCGCTCAGACCGTTGTTCCCTGCTTTGGCGAACATTTCCATGTTTCCTCCTTCGTTGCACTCTCCCTTGGCTCCACCACCTTCTCTTCTTCCTCTTCCTCTTCCTCTTCGTCTGGACTGCTGTTCATTGCGCTTCTTCTCCATTCATCCTCCTCTCCCAGCAGCATCATTCCCAAACACCATGGCCCATGACGCCTTCATGCGGGACTAAATCAACATGCCCCAAATCTCCGCGGACACTGGCCTCAAGGTCTGTGTGGGGTGAGTTCGATCTCTCTGGCCTGGACCAAGCCACCGTCGCTGACGCTTTTCCGTAGGATATTCTTGCTGAGCTCTCTATTTCTTACCACGTCCTACAATGCCACCTTCGCCTTTGGTAGGTCGACATCCCTACATTCATTCTAGACGGAGGGAAATGGACTGACCATGTATAGACCGCCCGGTCGACACGGCCATCCTGGTGTGTGTTCTTCTGGGCCTGGCTTTGATGATATGGGCTCGTTTGGTTCCATCAGTACATCGACCGCCAACGCCAACGCGCAAACCGTCTGGCAGTCTCTTCTCCGACCAGTTGGAACTGCCTTCGCGGAGTCCATCAGAGACCCAATCGCCGGTATCCACCCCATTCTCGGTCTCTTCCCCCTTCTCGGTATCCTCGCCGGCTTCCGTCTTCAGTGGCTTTAGCAATCCAGACACTCCTCTGTCCTGGAGATCACGATGGCAAACCACCCAGTGGACCAAGGTCGCTCTTCTGGCCGGACTATGCGGTCTACGCATTGAGACGTTCCGCCGGATCACGCTCCATACCGAATGCACGCCCGCTACGTATGAAGTAAGTTGTCCGAAAAGCTCACCTGCAACGCTCGAGGTCTAATAGTCCATGCGCCATCAGTATGCCGTCCCTTTTGCCGTCTCTCTGTACGACTACTGCCGCAATCAGCGGTCCCGGAAACCGAGCGACTACATGCCTTTAACGCAATCGCCGCAACCACAGTCGCCCTCTCTGTCCCTTCCCAGCCGGGGGGTTCTGTCCTACCTATTCCACGGCCGTTTGCGAGGCGTGATAGCTGCCTCCTTGCTCTTGGTTGGTGGCTTCTTGGCCTCCTCGCTTCCGGCTGGACAACAGTCGACCTACATCTGTCCCGAGGTGATCGGCGAGGCATTGCGCCTACGGACATACAAGATTTCGAACATCCTCCTCGACTCATGTCTTCTGATTGGTATCGCCGAATTATGGCGCGAAATCAGCAGGATGCAAGAGGTGCAGCGACGACGCACAGTGGTGTCTCTGGGAATCGGTCTATTTGTAAGTGAGAGACGATCGTTTGTCTGTGTTGGTAGTCTAACTTGCAGCTTTAGGGCGTGGCCTTGGTTTGGACGATCATCGGGATTTTTGTGCAGCGTCACCTCCCTGAGCACAACGGTCAGCTATTTCTGGATGCAAAATATTCACGCAGTGCTCTGAGCCAGGCACTGCTGGCGGTCATTTTGGTGTTGTCAGCCTGGCATATTGTAAGTATTGCGCTGCATGCTTCGTGGGAGATGGTACTAAGTGGTTCAGCTGCCGCACTATGGCATCGTTGGGGTGTCAATTCTTGCAGGGTTTGTCTTCATTTACACATTTGCCGTGTCGACACTATACGCAGAACCAGCGCCTTTCCCGTTTATTTCCCCCTTCTACGCCGTCATTGCCTTAGGAACATCTTTGATGGGGACTCTGCTGTTCCTTGGTGCACAAGTTGCCTCCGAAAAGGAGACGAGGCCCTTTCGCCGAACCAACATTGCTCTCCAAGTTGTATTTGTTTCGCTCTTTGGAATAGGTCTGTGGTTCGTCGTCAAAAAGGAGGGACTAGTTCATTCACACCCGATCGACGTGCTCATTCAAAATGGAAGAGCCAATCACCAGAACTTCCTGATGCAAGCTAAGAGCAGTAACAACATTGAAGAGGCCGTCATGGAATATCGGCGGCGATATAATCAGCATCCACCACCGGGTTTTGACAAATGGTATGAGTATGCGACCAATCGATCCTCAGTCGTCATAGACGATTTCGATCAGATCTATGATAATCTGCTTCCATTCCGGGGCCTGCGTCCCGATCAATTACGAAAGATGACGCACAAGCTCGCGACAAATCCGTTCAATGATCTCGGGGCCATCAGTATCCGCAATGGGAAAGCTAGAGTGCAAGAAGGGATCAAGCCGACCCATGCTTGGATGGTATTCGGGGCTGCAAATATGATTGAGAAGTTCTCTGAACACCTCCCGGACATGGATCTGGTCTTCAACCTGAATGATGAGCCTCGAATCGCCGTGCCGTATAGGAAGGTGAGAGCACTGAAGCGGATCGTACATCACCAAACTCCCGTCCCCAAAGAGGAAATTCTCAACAGCTGGTCAATGGACCGAGATCAAGGCTGGGGCCCGATTGAGCCTGCTCACCAAACCAACGAGACGGTATTTACGGACAGTTCATGGAGAGGAATATTCGACCCGTATGTGAGCGTAACCTGTCCACCGTCGTCCAAAGCGCGCACTCAGAGGATTTGGGACCGCCACGATATATGTATCAGCTGTGCAGCACCACACTCGATGGGCCAGTTCCCCTTGGACTTTAATCTCGCCTCCGACATCTGCCATCAACCAGACCTGGCTTTTCTTCACGGACTGTTGTTATCTCCGGCGTCATTCAAGGTCTCCCAGGAACTTGTGCCCGTGTTCAGCCAGAGTGCGCTATCCAGCTTCAGTGACATCCTGTTCCCAAGCCCGTGGAACTACATGGACAAAGTCGAATACAAGCCCTCCCAGGAACATCCAGATCTCGCGTGGCCCAACAAAGAAAACGATCTCTTCTGGATTGGCAGTACATCCGAGGGAGTCAGTCGCTTCGGCGAGTGGAAAGGTATGCCGCGACAACGGACTGCACACCTGATCAACAACAACACACGTGGCCGCGTCTCCGTTCTACTCCCAACAGGTGAACCAGACTCTTACCGCTACGAGGTTCTTTCGGGAACCGCGCCAACCTTCCAACTCGATTTACAAACAAATGTCCACCTCGCCGACCCCATCGTCCGCTGCGACGACTGCGAGCTCCAGCGCGCCGAAATGGGCACCGTGTCCTGGGTCGACTTCCAAAAGCACTGGACCCACAAGTTTCTCTTCGACCTCGACGGCGCCGGTTTCAGCGGGCGCTTCCTCCCCTTCCTCCAGAGCCGCAGTCTTCCCTTGAAGACGGGGTTGTTCCGACAATGGTTTGACTCGCGGATTACGTCATGGGTCCATTTCGTACCTGTCGATATTCGCCTCCACGGTCTCTGGAGTACCCTGGCTTATTTCACAGGTGTCTCATCCGATCATGCACCGAATCGCATGATGGAGCACCAGAAGCAGGGCCGCATAATTGCTGAGGAGGGTCGTCAGTGGGTTGGGAACGCTCTACGCAAGGAAGATATGGAAATTTACTTCTTCCGCCTACTTCTGGAATGGGGCCGTTTGACAGATGACCGGCGCGATGTGTTGGGTTACAAAAGTTGAAATCTTTTGTCATGATTTATCATGTTGTACATAATGTGTCTAATGAGTTGCATGGCTGACATGGAGTCTGTTTGGGCGGGCTTGGGGACTATATCTGATTTTTTTTTTTTTTTTTGGACTCTTATCTTCTTTGGGATTGAGTCTACTTCATTGTGGAGACGAATCTACAATAGACACTAATAATAGAATATGCAATACGAAGTAAAGGACCTTAAATTGGATTCAAAAATCCTTCCGATTTCAAATGCAAAAGGCAGCGAGTGCGGGTATCCACAGAAATGATAGCATGGAGAGACATCACATGGAACAATCGTTACCCATATATGTCAACTCAATGCAACACAACCAAAAACAAAGATGAGAAACATGACAACGCTGGAAAACAAACTCCGCCAAAGAACTTTCCAAGAAAAGAAGAAACAAGATGGAGATCCCATCTCTCTACGCGAAGTAGTTCATACGGTCACGGCGGTACTTGCCCCGCATGGGCGTGGGCGGAGAGCGGACGCGCTTAGGGGCACTCATGCGACGGCCATTAGCCATGTTGGCGTCGCGCTTGCTGGCGGCAGTATCCTGATAGACCTGGAGACCGTTGATGCTCCAGTAGGTCTGCTCGAATGCAGTGGGGTTGTTGCCGACGTAGTCGTTGCAGCTGCTGCCGAGGGCGGAGCAGACAGCGTCTGAGCTCCAGACTTCACCGGCCCATTGGCCGCAGAAGGTGATATCGAAGATCTGGCCCGGTTGTCAGTGATTGGAAGTAGGTAGGTAGGGCGAAGGGGAGAACTTACGATCGACATGTCCGAGAAGTGCTCGCCAAAGTCGCAGTCGCCGGCAAACGCAGCGGCGGGCTCGCCCCATAGCGAAGGATCGGGAGCACCGGTCGTGATGTCGGAGGGGATACCCGTGTCACGGCCGAAGAACCAGATGTTGATGCCCGAGTCGGTCCACTCCGTGGCGTAGACGCCGCCGCCGATATCGTTAAATCCCGTGCCGTAGGACTGGGTGTCCGGGTTGGAGATACCGCAGCCGGCGTTGTTGCCCTGACCGGCGGCGTCGATGTAGCAGTTGCTAGTGCTCATACTACCTGTAAAGCCAGAGTTGTTGATCGTACAGTTGTCCGTCGTGTGCAGGGTCATGGAGTCGGTAGACTGGTCGTTGACGCCTTCGATGATATCGATCTCACCGTTGTCGGGCCAGGTGCCAGAGCCGAGAAGCCAGCTACACCGTATAATTAGTATCTCGGTTGCTTTAGCTACTGATTGCAACTCAAACTTACAAGGCTGGCCACGAGCCACAGGTGCTAGCGGGCATATGTCCGAGGTCGAGGATGAATAGGCCTTGGGTGTAGGTGTTCATGCTCGAGATGCGCACGCTGTTGCGCCCCGTCGTGGTCACGGACGAATTGTCAACGCCGATGTAGACAGCGCCACCATTGGCAGAGATGAGGCCGTCAGACTCCGCGGTGCCCTGGTCCACATAGCTGACGAAGCCGGAAGTTGGGTCGGTCCCCGTGAAAAAGTCGAATTGATCAAAGAATGAGTCTGTATTGCCATAGTCGTCCAGCAACGTATAGGCAGCAGAGCTGAGGTGGGCAAAGAGGCCCAGGGTGGGAAGGAGAGTATGCATATACATGTTGTTGAGTATATGTTCAAGAAAGTAAAAGGGTATCTGTCAAAGAACCCGCGCGGCAGACAGAGTCTGTATATAAAATCAAATAGATCCAACTAGGGACCACAAGAAGGAATGATACACCGGGCCGGTGAAAGGATTGTATAGACCAAGACGATCACAAAGGAAGGACGCGTGGGAAAGAATCCATTCGGGTTGCGGCCGGCTGGACTTATTATAGCTAATTCAGTTGTACTGGGCCGGACCCCTGCCGAAGCTGACAGGGGACCACATGGGGCCACATGGTGGCGCGTTGCAGAAGAGCATCAGGTCCCGGTCCACTTGATAGAGTAGCGGAGCTTGGTCCCTTTCAGGGGCATGGGACGGGACGAGGTGTCGGATCCCCCTGGTTGATGATAGTGCGGAAATATTTATCCATCGGGACCCACCTCCAGAAGAAGAGAACCAGATGGCCAGTATACCTAACAATAATAACAATGATGCCAGACAAAGACGTGTTAGTCGCCTGGCGCATCTGGCCACGCTCGCTACCTGACGACATCCAGTAGTTTTCTTTGAGAACTCTAATCTCATACTCTTGATCTCTGAAACGAAATTCTCAAACAAATCCGAAACCACGGCGCTTCAGAACCAGAGGTGATCGCGAACGCTGACTCGCTGTCGCCCCTGACCGGAAAAGGGAATGGTGGTGGCGAACTAGCCAGGTCAGCGCGCTGACTGGCTCGACCACCATGCATGATGACGGCCAATGGCCGAATTCTCCGCGGGCCAGGGGCGGGCTGATGGGTGGCCGTGGCAAGGGGATCGGCAAAAGGGGAGCAGCAGAAGCCGTTCGTTTCGGTGCCCGGCAGATCTAGTCGACGGATTTGCGAGATTGCTCGTCAGGTTCCGGCTGTGGCTTGGTTGCTGCCCCCAGAATGGTGTAATGTTCGCCATCTTCAGGGCTAAAGTGGCGAGAAAGACGACAGAATTCTCGCTTCTATAGAGATCGCAAACCCAAAATTCAAAATTGGCTGAGTACAAACAGTCAGATCGCACGACGATCGCAATAACCAAAAAAATGCAGATACTACTAGTTTGCTCTGGAGGGGGAGCAGAGCGCATACCGTGCACTCCCCACTGAAAACTTCCCCAAAACGGAACTCAGCACCGACACCAGCGCGCAGTCTAAATACTGGCAATGTCCTCTTCGGGAAAAGTGGTTGGCCCGAAATTGTTCTAGCATCCTTCAATGCGACCCTCACGGACCATGATCACCCTCGCACTAGTCACAGGTAGATAGAGATGAGCCGACGGGTTGCATTGAGAAAGAGGGTCCGCTTGGTTTAGTTGTTTCTTGAGGCATAAGTGTCGGAACAGGGAAATATCGGCATGGGTCAGGCTTCTCGGTACGCGGTCTAGATGCATGAAAACTATACTAAAAGATGCTACCATCGAGATGATCTTCCAACCAGAACCCGCCTTGTGCAGGGACACTAAATTAAAAAAAAAAAAAAAAGAAAACAAGACTATGTACATGCAGGGCAAAACAACTCGACTCCCGACCAGTCGGACGAGGTATGCTCACGACGAAACGCATGTGGCTGCCGGTCCCGCCCCGCGGACAAACTACGGACGGCCTCCAGCACACAATGGCGATGGTAGAGGTGCCGACAAGAGAATACGACGGCGGGCTGCAGAACTACCCCGGACCCCGCGCTCTCTTTGTCCAAAGTGCCGTGCTCCGTGCCGTCAACGGCCGACGGTGAGTTTGCATCCTCGATCGAATGCAACGGCTGCTCAGAAGCTACGACAGAGGCGGCCGCTTTTCCTTTCCCCCGCTCCAAGGCAGGATCGTATCCGTCCTCGAGTCGCTTAGCGATGCGACGTTTCCTCTCGTCGGCCTGTTTCTTTTCCCACGCCGACCAGTGTGCAGACCCGACGCTGGGCCCCCAGATGCGCTGATGGCAGACTTCGCAGACCTGGCCGCGAGGTCGCCAGCCTTGCTGCCGCAGACGGGTGACCTCGTCCACATGCACGAAGAGGTCCCGGTCCAGCATGCCGTTGGCTAGAGTCAGCAGGGACGACTCGTAGGAGTACGCAGAGAAGATGGAGGCCAGCACGGCGCGCAGCTCCAGTAGCGACGGCGACCAGCTCGCAGCCTGAGTGAGAAACGCACGCAAGATCCGAAGAAAGGACAGATCGGTCCGCTCGGGCGTCGAGGGACCACCGCCTTTGACGGTGCTGGAGAGCAGGGCTGTGAAGACCTGCTGTACCAGCATGCGGAAGGAGGTTGTCAACCGGCCGGTGTCCCCTCCGAGAGACTCGGTAACGTGGGCAGTGTGATCCCGCAAGAGTCCGAATACATTGCTGGCGATGCGAACCACTGCTCCGATGAGATCAAGCCAAAGGCTCTCGTCGAACGCCAGACCCTGATCTGCCACCCCGCGTTTTCCGTTCGTCCCACCTGCCCGCGAATTTTTGGTGGTCTTTGTCTGGCCCTGGCAGAGCCAGGTTCCGACTCCAGCATACTTGTTGAGAGACTCAATGAGGTCATCAATCGCCTCGGCGGTACTGGTAGAGTCGGGGCTGTCACCGAGGCTCTGGAGAATTCCCACCAACCCGGATTCAAGTGTGCCCAAATGGGCAATGAGACGGTCCAACGCCACTCGGACTTGACCCTGTCGTGCAAGAAGGATAACCGCGGCGTCAATAGCCCCGCTCTCCTCGATAGCCGGTAGCAGTTCTTCAAGGTGGATGTCGCCGACCCGCAGGCCATCGACGAAGTCCGCGACGTGGGCCGGGTTGTACTTGCATAGCAGCTGCACATAGCGTTCGACCATCCAGTTTTCGACTGGGGACGAGGTCCGACCTTCCACGTTGGTTTGGGCCTGCGGCTCGACAAGGACCAGTAGATACTGATATTGCTGGTAGGTGTCTTCTTCCAGTACGTGGAGGAATGTCTCGTGTGTGTCGGGAGCCAGATCTTGCATGGTCTGAGCGGTTCGCTTGACGTCGATGGCAGCCACTTCCTTGGCATGGCTCTTCACCGTGTCCACCACATCCCGTCTCTGTTTTTTACCCAGTCCCGAACCCGCGCGAAGACAATCTTGTAAACTTGTAAAGATAGCCTCCCGGTCATGCGGGTCTTCAAGGTATGTCAAGATCCACTGAGGGTACTGCTTTTCGGAACGGTAGGTCGACTTCAAGATTCGGAAGAAACGTGCCTCTTTAAAAAGCGGGATCATGCTCTGAATGTCTGGCGGGTGGTAGAATGACAACAAGTATTCTGCGCTCAATTCACAGTCATCGACCATGTCCGGATCTGGATAGTGGCATAGTCGCTCAAGCACTTGATGAAGGGTTGTGCCCGAAAGAAGAATATACTGGGGGTATTTGGGAAGATTGCGCGCAACAAACATGTCCAAGTAGATGGTATCAGAAGAAGTGAAGAACTCCGTATTCATAACTTGAAGCAAAATGCTGATGAGGTATTGTCGGTTGATCGACACACCTGAAGAAGGAACGTCCTCGGAGTCGGACTCGTTCAGGAAGCTGTCCTCAAAGGCTTCGTTGAGCATACTCATGAAACTGGACGGATCGTACTTGAGCATCGTCCGAAGTTGAGAAAACGACTCTGCGCCCTCGGGGGCATGACCAGCGCCAGACAGGCGACCTGAGAATAGGTACTGGTACGATGCCGTTTTGGCCCGGGATGCCTCGGCGTCATCCATCGCATCTCCTGTTGGATAAACGCGACCTGTAAGGATGAAGGATAGGTAAGGGAACATCTTCATCGCGTTCGTGTGCCTTTTCACTTCGGCGGTATAATCCCCATTGATGAGAGGTTCGGTTGGAGGCGGGATAAACTGGATCAACTCCTCCAGAGGCCCAACATAGTCCATCAGACAGCGGTTCCAGACGTATATATAGGCATCGTATAGATTATACTGTTTGCAGAGCGTGGTGACCTGGTCGATGTCCATGGTTGTCGTGTCGAGGAGGCATATAATCTCCTCTAAACGGCCAGCTGAATGTGTCGTGATGAAGTGGTTGATCAGGGCCTTGACGGCAGTCGGAGGCAGCGATCGAATGGTTCCATCGGTAATTCGGGGCTCGAGGGCATCCAAGAAGATCCCCGGGGATCCTTGTTCCTCATACCAGTTAAAAACTTCCTCCCAAAGAAAGTCAATGTCGTCCATGTGGATACAAGCGGCGATCGATACTTCCGCAAGTTCCTCGAGTTCCTGATTTTCAAGTCGTCCATTGTCTGCTTCAGTATTTCGACCAAAGGCGTACTTGAGGGACGCCGAGATCATCTCCAGGAGCTTCTCCTGGACAAGTGGCTGTCGCAAACCATCCTCCTCGGGGAGACCCACAGTGAGCTTCTCGCCCTCGCCTGTGTAATAGAGAGTCGCCAATCGAATCGCTTCAATGAAATCGCCCGCTTCCATGAGCGCAAGCAGCCGGTCAGCCCAGTTTGACAGACTGCCGACAAGTGCTTCGTTGTAACCGAGCAGGAACAGGCGCCCTTTATAGGCACGAAAGCTCATATAAAATGCGTCCGCAACCACGCCATGCATCGATGTGTCTTCCTCATCGAGCTGCTCGACCAGGTTGTGCAGCTGCGATGAAAAGAAGTCGGTGTGATACACATGTCGGTAGGCTAGGTCAATCGAGTCTGTGACATGCATAGAATAATCCTCAAGAATCAAGAGTCGCTGCGTGATAGTGAAGATCGCGAGGACGGAACGGCTTAACCATTGGACGGCCACGATGGCTTCATCCGCCTTCCATCTGCTCCGCGCTCTGAAGGCCAGGCTCGGAGGGCGATCTTTGTCCACGGGTTCATCCGTTTCGGCTTCAGTCACTTCCAAAACGGTCAACACGTTTGACCAGCAGTAGACAAGCTTCGTATTTGATGTTTGGCTATCTTTGCCCTTCAGTCGTATTGCCGGGAACCATGCCAGGGCCCCGGTCATGGCACTATGGGCGGCAACCTCCTTTGGGCGCGACGCTTTGTGCTGCGTTTGAGCGACCGGGGTGGTGGACACGATGACCAGGAGATACGGCGTCAGCAGAGCAACAAGACCCAATGAATCGGTGTGCTGTTCCACATTGCCGAGAGGGAGAGGCGAAAAAGCAAGAACCGAGCTGGGTTTCCGCCGGCGGCTTTCCTCAGGGCCAATCGAGGGATATCGGCCCAGAATCCGAGTCGTCTTCACCGTCCGTGCTACTGCTCCCATGCCCCGCGTAGCCAGGTGTGAAAATGCCATTCCCCGTTTGTCGGCCGACACAATTGCAGTGCGCCTCGTTCCGAGAAACCCAACATGAATGACCGATACGTTCGACAGATGGCCGTCGGAAGTGCGGTTCTCGACCTGGTCCGCCGGGATTGGAGGGATGTGAAGGAAGGGACGCGCGGGCCGCGAGATCTCCCACGTAAAGATATCTCCCGTGTCATGTCCTCCGGCGACAGTCGAATGGTCCGCAGAAAGAGCCAAGGAAGTAATTGCGCCGCATTCAACAGCTAGAGTGACGTTGTTAGAGCTTGACATTCATTCATAGTCGTGTTTGGGGCCAACCTTTTGTGCCGTTCCCAATGATCGCCTTCAAACTCTGCTGATAGTCAAAGACAAGGATAATGCCTTTAGACGTTCCTATCACTATGGTTGTAGAGATCGCTAAGCAGGTGGGTCGTCCAAAATTGCGCTTTCCGATTTCCGAGAATGCCTGTCCGGTGATTTTCCGTAGCTTTGTCCATCGCACGACATCCCAAGGCCCCTGGACTGGTTCGTTGTCGGTTTCGGGGGTCTGAGAGATCTGGCTTGCGATGGAGGAGTGTCGGGAGTGGAGGTGGGCGAGGAACGGTGATCCCGGCGCACTCAATGGCAATGAGGATAAGCGGGACTGAAAGCGAAGGTCGAAGGGACGATGGGCCGGGCTTGGGCTGACTCGTGGAGAGCCTCGGAGTGCCAGAGCACTGCTGCTTTGGGAGGATGGAAGAGAGTCCTAAAATCAATCAGACCAACGATCAAGCTGTCCGCGGAGAGTGTCTGACATGTAAGGACGGGGTGTCGTCGGGGGTGGAAGCCGTCTCATCCACACTGCCCACCGCCGCGTTCAGTTCACCATACTGTGTTTTCCGCGGTCCTCTCTGATGAGCATCTGGTTCCACCGTCTTCTCCGAAGCTTGGTCGAGCGCGTCGTCGTCTAGCGTGTCCCGTTCGGCGTCGGCAGCCTCGGCGGAGGGCTTGGGATGGTCGAGAGCATCATGATCGGGTTGCGGAAGGTTCTCTGTTTGGTTCTCTGCGCCCAGATCAAGCTCATCCTCTCGTGTCCAGCCCTCACTGCTCTCCATCATCGAGCCCATGAGCAAGATCTCCGACTGACCATTGCTCCTGGTGCTCGTCAGGGGAAGGGAAGGGGGTTATTATGTTCAAGACGGGGCGGAGACACAGGGGGAGGATGCCACCGGAAGGCCAGCGCAGGTGGACAGAGACAACGATGGACACGAAGGGATGGGGGGGGAAGATGAGGCTCTGAAGTGATGATGGGGAAGTCGAGCTCGTAGGGGGCCCCACAGCCCAGGTACTCGTGTTTACTCACCAAGGACTTGTCTGAACAAGCGCATCACATTCGATTAATGGGTGGTATATTCAACGGATATAGGGATTAGAACTGCCTATGTACAGCAGTGAAATTATCCAAATAATGAGTTACATACAAACTATACTCTATGCCTGATATTTCAGGTGTTCGTTTCTGCCTAATACAACAGACATCCATCGCAGCTTGCCGTTGCGGACGGGGAAAGATGGGTAGAGGAACAGAACAGTTGAACAAGAACAAGAGGTGAACAGAAAACACAGAATCACTTCCTTCCTTGTTTGATAGAAAAGTTGACCCCCTCAATGCATCAAATCTTCCATGTGGGACAAGATAGTTAGTTATATAGTGAATGCCTGGTGTTTCAGGTGTTTATTTATGCCTAATCCAGCAGGCATCCACAGCAGCTTGCCCTACTTGGAGGGTCGATTCTTGACTATAGTGCTGCTGTATTCAGGCCAAGTCTCTGCCAGATACCCTGCTAGAAGGTCCAGGGCAGACACGCCCTGCACTTCCCACGCCCAGCCTCGACGGACACGTCCCCGCGTATCAGATTCTGCTCGCCCCTCTCCCTTCTGGGTCCAAATCCTGCACATCCCGGAGCCGAATGCGACTCCGGGGCTGCCGATAATATTATCGATGTACCTGCGGGAGAAAAGCTCGGACTACGCCGTGCGACTAACTCCACCAAGCTTCCAGGATCTCTGATGATCTGCAGTTACATCCCATCCTCACAGTCAGGCACCCCGGTCACCGGGCGAGGCGCATGTGCGACACCATGCCCTATCACCATGAGCCGCGCGGGCATGGGGCGTCGTTCGGATTAGTCGACCTACATTCCTTTTTCTTCCTTCTCCCACGCTGCTTGTCCTGGATCGGTCATCGATCGACACCATGCGGAATGCGACCCTGCTTGGCAAGGGCGTGAGCTTATCATTCTGTGAAACGCATGGTTGTGGTCTGAGCATGTCATGCCGTGACTCGCTGCTTATATAGGGAACATGCTCTCTCCGACAGAGGTCTGTGTCTGATGTGCCAAGTGAAAACCCAACCCTGCCTCTCTCATCCACCATGTCTCCGAACTATACCCGACTGACGGGAGCCCTGCTCAGCGGGTTTCTGCTCCTGCAACCCGCCTCAGCAGTGCCAGGCCGGATGTACCCCAGAGCATCGTCCACGTCGTCAGCATCACCTTCCCCGTCCGCAACTGGGGTCTGCAACGGCAACGCCGACTTCTGTAACCGGCCCTACTCAAATATGACCTTCGTGGGCTCGCACGACTCGCCCTTCGTTGGATCCCTGCCGCAGCAGAACCAGAATATCAACATTACCGCGCAGCTAGACATGGGCATCCGGTACCTGCAAGCCCAAACCCACCACTCCATCACTGATGATAGCGTCCTGGAGCTGTGCCACACCTCCTGCTGGCTCGAGGATGCAGGCACGCTGCAGTCGTACCTGGAGACCCTCAAGAGCTGGCTCGATGCGAACCCGAACGATGTCCTGACCCTCCTCTTGACGAATGGTGATAATGTCGACATCTCCGAGTTTGGGGATACCTTCTCCGCCGCCGGGTTGGACAGCTACGCTTTTGTGCCCGCGGCCGCTGGTGATACGCTTGGTATCAGTGATTGGCCAACTCTAGGAAGTATTATCTCGGGAGGAAAGCGACTAGTTGTGTTCCTGGGTAAGTCCTTCTAGATCCTCGCCGCTCCGTCTAAACTAACCTATTCATCTTGTAGACTACGGCGCCGACACAAACACGGTAAATTACATCAACGATGAGTTCGCCTACTACTTCGAGACGCCCTACGACGTGACCGACTCTTCCTTCTCGAACTGCAGCATCGACCGACCACCCGGTGCATCTTCTGAAGGTCGCATGTATATTATAAATCACTTCTTAGATGTCGACATCGCCGGCGCTGATATCCCGGACCGCGGCGCTGCTGCCCACACCAACGCCGCGTCAGGCGATGGTAGTATCGGAGCTAATGCTGCTGAGTGCGAGGGGTTGTATGGCCGTGCGCCGAATGTTGTGCTGTGTGACTTTGTGGATAAGGGGCAGCTGATGCAGGCCCAGTCAAATATGGATAGCCTTTGAGCCTGTTGGGAATCCGTGATATGCATGCGCTGCATAGATGATTGTACATGATCTTTTTTATCTACCCTGAATGATATGCTTTTCCATGATCTTACATCGGAATTTTCGAAAACAATCTATGTATATCAACGCTATCTAATGCAAGTACCAAGTAGACACCCAGAGATAGCATAGTCGAGACAATATATCGTATCAACGCTCACTATTCACGCCTCCAGCTCGACCTGCATCTCCCGTTCTATATATAGACGTCAGTGTGTGATCCAGCGAATTCCCAAGTGACCTACCCCAGATCTTGGTGGCCGATGCAACAATCGTCTCAGCTTTAGCCAGCAGTTTCGCAGAATATCTCTCCGCTTCGGTCGGGTAGAGCTGGCTTTCTCGTGTTTTGCGAGGGTTGACCTAGACATCCCATCCGTCAGTCCCAGACGCGTCTTACTCAGAACAAAAGAGCAAAGAGCAAAACTAACCATCATCAAAATAGGAACCAAATCCTGAGGTTTGGCCTCAGCTAGCGCGCGCAGATTCGGGAACCCGTTATCGCGCAGCAACCGAGCCGTCCAACTCTTCACAAAAGTAACCTGTGCCATCTCCAACAAGTCCGCGCGCGCACCCGCCTCAAGTCGATCGCGCATATGGTCTAGCACGGCGGCGAGCATACCCCAGTTCATACGCTGGCAGAACTTGACGATCCCCGCCGCGAAGCCATGGCATTGCTGCGCCAGCGTCTGAACGCTGCCGCGTGGGATGCGGTAGCGCTGTGCAATGGTGGAGAGGGGCACTTCATTGCTTATGTCGCGGAGCTGGAAAGCAGTGTAGGCGCGGCGGTAGATGCGGGCTTGGTTGAGTTGTTCGGGGGTAGTCTCTTTGAGCGAGGCGCCGGATTGAACCCTATCGGGGATTAGGATTCGGTTCATGTAAAAAAGGACACGGAGATGAAGACTTACATGGTGTTCACAAAGCCGGGCTGGACGCCTATAAATTGTAGCGCGCGAAGGCCGCTCTCGTCGAGGCCGTCCAGCTGGTCTCGAAAGATTTGCCAGTCGATGGGCATGCCTGTGGTTGCTTGCAATGGGGTAAACATGTAGAAGACGTGCAGGTCCCCGTCCATCACGAAGGCCCGGAGAGCGCGCTGGAGTTCCTCGTGTACGAAAAGGCCATCTTCGGGGGAGAAGGCCGAGGCCACGACTGCCTGGCCCAGTTGTGTTGCCTCGTAAGCCTCGTCCTCTTTGAGAAGCAGAAGCTGTTCATCGATTAGTTCCTGCAGCGCAGATTTCATGATACTGTAAGCAAGCTTTTTGTCCAGCGTGCGGCAGAGAAGCGTGCATCGGACGTATTCCTTGATCGCCTCGCATCCGGACACCAACCCCGTCGCGATGGCTTCCAACAATGCTCTCTTCAGTCCTCTCTTTTCAGGAGCCAGACAGCTCTCGATAGCGGGCATATCGGCATCCAACAAGTCACACACGGCTTCCAGGTCAGTCTTTACGCATATCAGATACGTTTCGCCGACATCGTCCTTCCCTTTGCGTCCTGCACGTCCGCACATTTGTCGCAGCATTGCGGGGCCAACCAATTCCCTGCCCATTCGTGCACCGTTGATAATTACTCGTCTGGCTGGGAGATTCACACCCGCCGCGAGACTGCATGTGGCTACGAGGACTCGTAGCACGCCTTGGTCGTACGCGTGCGCGATAAGCTCCCGTTCTTCGGTTGTCATGCCAGCATCTACAACACCAGTCAATAACGGCAAGCGTTGGAGAAAGGCAATACCTACGATGAAAGCCCGTCCCCTTGATGATGGTGGTCTGCAGAACCGGGTCTAATCCACACGAGAGACTGCGCAGCTCAGCCAGAAGATCCAGTCGTTTGCCCAATTCATCTGTCTCGGCTGGATATGGCATTGCTTCACTTATCGTTGCTGCGTGAATCTGGCAGCCTTGGCGATTGCCGCAGAATACCAGTGCCCCGTAGCCACCGGCGGCAGTTTCCACCGCCAGGGCGACCATGGCGTTCGTGGCGGCATTGCTGAGTTCCTTGAATGAGGATGAGTCAATGAGTCTCTGCGGGGGTATAGTGTTATGCAACGATGTCGAAGTCGCTGTAGTCAATTTCGAGGCTGTTTGGAATAGCTGTCTAGATGTCGCAGCTGGATAAATGGCATTTTCATAGACCAGATATTCGTCGATTGGAACCGGCCGATAGGTCGAGATGTAAAACTTGGCATTGATCCATTGTGCCAACATTTCAGTATTCTAGAAAAGTAGGTTAGCATGAACACGCGCAGACAACCAAGAGCCTCACGGAAAGGGTGGCACTCATGCCCACGATCTGGATATTCTGCTGAAGGAGCAGGAGTTTCGTCACCATCAATTCCAGGAGGTATCCGCGGTGCTCATCGTCGAGCATATGGAGCTCATCCAAAACAACTACACCCAGATCCCCAATGCTACACTCCTCGATGGCGGAGTTAATCAATGAATTGGCTTTCTCGATCGTACAAACGGCAATATCGGTATCCGCCCAAGTGGCTGTGGTCCGACTGCCCCCAAAGAATCCAGTGACGCGAATGGATTTCTGCGGTTTTTCCCACCGCTTTCGAGGAGGGAACGAGTGATCATCCTCGTCCTCGGAGGGGAGGTGCTTCTCGACATCCCCAACAATGTGGCGCAGCCATTTGAGCTTCTCTTGCACGAGCGCGACATAGGGCAAGACCAGGATGGCTTTGCGCGTGGGATTCTCAATCACCCGCTTGAGGAGCAGCACGTCGGCCACGAGCGACTTGCCTCCACCGGTAGGGGCCGTATAGACCAAGTGCCGCTCCCCCGAGAGCAAGCCGCGCGCCAGCAAGCACGACGCCTGCCAGGGATAGATGCGGTCGATACCCAAGGCCGCGAAATTGGCCGTCAGCGCTGGCGGCAGGCCGTATCGCGGATTTGATAGCGACAACAGCGGGTTCTGACTGGACCCGGGCGCTGCTGCTGCGACTGGCTTGGCTCGCTGTTGGTCCTCCCGTTGTTCGCCGGGGCCCGGTTGGATCCTGCTGGCGATAAAGCGACCTGAGGGGGCCGACGAGGCTCCAGCAGCCTCCAACGCCGTCGACTCCAATAATACGTCGTCTCCATTATTTGGCGCGTAGGTCGCTGCTGGCCGCTTGTGGCCGGCCAGCGGCGCTACCTGATAGGTTTTTTGTCGGCGGGCAATCTCCAGCGAGGTCTCAAACCCGCTAAACTGGAGACCGGCGGACATGCTGGAATTCAATCCATTTTGGGCTTCAAAACAAGCACGGCGTTTGTTTGTTTGTTCGGCCCGGTGCATATGCCTGCCTCAGGCAGCAATGGAGCTTATGTCAGGGGATGGGGTAATGCATTTTCTTTACGTCAGTGTAGTACCTAGGTAAGTATACGGATAGTGTCCTCTCGAATAATAATGATGAGTGATGAATGTCTACCAAAAGGGTTGATAATGACCTGATCGTTGGGGGCGATCCTGGGGACCCCCTTGCACGACCCCAATTAAACGATCGCCTTGACGCTACATAACAGGTCGTGCTGATTGGCTGGGATCTAGAGTCTGTGCGCTGACGCGGTTATTTTCTGCGTTGTTCTGGAGGGCATCAAATAGCCCCAACCCTCCCCGGTGTCACGCCTCGGGCCTGAGCTGGTCTAATTATATGAATATCGTATTTTTGTACACGGAGGACGAGAAATTCCATGGAATAGGCCTATAATCCTTTTTCTTTGGAACAACTCAATAACTACTTGGATGTTCTGGCTGGAACAATACACACCATCGTACACGCAATATATATCTGAGGCCAAAGTGTGCGGTAGCGAGATGAAGAGGGGATTTGCATATACCTTTTCAATAAAAATCAAGTCAACTGCCTCCAGGACATCAGCTTGTCCGTCCCAGTTCCAAGCTGGTCATTCTGAGCCGGCCGGCCGGCCGAACCCTGCCAAGTGTCCCCGCCCGGTCCTCGGAAGCTGAAATTTTCGGATGCCTTTCAAGCACAGGATTGGGTAGGCAGCAAAAACCTCCATTGCGACCGAGAGCAGCCATCTACCATGGTCATATTCTCGGTCGAGGCGCTATCCAACAGAACAGGGGTGGTGGTACAACGACATAGGCAACTATAGCCATAGCGCATGACCGTTCTGCTCCCGTCTCCATCGATGAACCTGTTTACTTTGTTTTATGAAATGTAGCAAGCCAATAACGGTGTTGAGACTCAATCGATATATCCCGCACTAACGAACGTCCCAGCAAAGACACACCCGGCCGCCTAAATCATCAGGCATTCAACGGTTGGACGTGAGCACTGAAAGGCGTCGTGTGGTCATATGAAACCCACCTGCAAATAATAATAATAATCAGCAAAATGTAAAGCCTAAAAGGTTTCCCGGAGGTCTGACCGCAATAATCCGTCCGGCCAGACCGAACCAAGTCCAGGAACGGTCGCCTACAGAAGGAAGTGCAGAACGGGGCTCCATATGTCATATAATAATCGTGCCGAACTCCAGTGGGTTTCCGGCTGTAAAAGCCAGGGTTCATTCCAAAGCGCGCAGTCCAGGCCAGTGGCGAACAACGCACCCCCGGGGGATGAAGGGTCATTATTGGTCCGGGAGAAGGCTAAATTACTGCGATGATGAGAAGAAGTTCGTTACACCTAGGAAAATGCCGAGCTCGATGGGGTACGGTCCTGTATGTATGGATGGTGGTATGTATTTTATCCCGGGTCGCAGGGATCGTGGGTGGAGCCTAGTGTGGGTTTTCAGTGCTTCAGTCCAATATCATCTACTCTTCAACTGGTGATTCTGATTACTTTTCAAGTAGGAGTAGTGCGGGAGGGAATTATTCTGATTCACTGCTTCATCCCACTCCGAGAGCCTGACCCGATCACATCCCCCGTAGCCGATCTAGACACGGCATGCCCCAGCATTCCTGTCGTTGAGGAAGCGCAAGGGCTGGCTGGTTTGGGTTCCTCTAGGCGGATGGGGAAAAAAAGAAAGCACCGTTTTTTCCCTCTCCCTTTGGTTCCAATGCCATCCGTCATATTAACTAACATATCGGGACTAGGGGCCAGGGTTGGTCGGGATCCTCGTCTCTGCTTCCACCTCACCACCGGTCTCTTCTTCCTTTCTCTCTCTCTCTCTCTCTTTCTCTCTCTCCCCCTCTCTCTCTCTCACTCTCTCACACACGCACACACACCCTCTCTCTTTCTTCACGCCCCTTCGTTCTTCTCTCTCCATTCTCTCTCCCGCCATTAACCCGTACACCCCATTCCTATTCTCCTCGGCCCGTACGCGTCTGCATTTCGCAGATCGCTCTCTTCCCATCCGCTTTATCGCTCGCATCCAGATCCACCTTCCGCATCTGCGTGTACCTTTTGTGGTAGGTAACTATTCATCATTATCACCATCATCATCATCATTATTATCATCATCGCCCCCTTCACCTCCCATTCACTACGGCTTCCCTTCCCTTCTGGCCGCCACGCGATATCAGGCTTGGTATCGGTCACTCGCTGGCCCCCGTGGTCGCTTGTTCTTGATATCACTTCTGCCCCGTACGCCCTTTCTTCCTTTCCCCCCCCTGCAGAGAATCCGATCAGCCACGGGTGTTTGACCCAGGCCCACTCTTGGTGTTCATTCGTTTTTATCTTCCTTCCCTTCTCTTTTTCTTTTTCCCCTGCTCTACCCTACCCTATCTTCCCCTTCCCGCCACTTCATCTTGATGTTCGTGTTCGGCACATCCCACCTTATTCTTCTTTTCCCGTCAATGCATCTCTTCGCATCCACCCGTTTTTGAGATTTTCGCCCCCCGCGTCTGCGCTGTCCACATACACTCCCTTCCACCCGCATCCGAGGGTGTCATGTTAGTCTCGGCTTAACCACCGCCACAGTTATCGTACTGCACCACCACACGTGTGTCTCCATCACGGCTCTGGTCATCCACCTTTTGGTTCCCTGGTCCATTCCCTTGCAACCAGACTGCCTTGGATGACTGAGAGTCGTTCTCGATGACCACGCCCAACTCCCCGGAGGCAGAGGCCGATACGGCTAGCTCCTCCGCCGCGACCCCTTACGGCACGCGATCGAGAGGCCGTAACGCGCCACGGCCCAACTACGCTGAGGACCATGACGTCGACATGGAGATGGAGATGAATGCTCCTGCATCCAAATTGGCCAAACGAAATAGTGGCGTCGCCCTGAATAGCATTGTCAATGGCTCTAAATCCGAAAGTGAAAAACCCTCACCGGTGTACCCCCGGAAGAGTCTGACCAACGGCACTAACGGAAAAGAAGCCATCCCTGGCACCTCATCATTTTCAGCCAAACCAGATGATGTCAATGGGACCAGTTCACTACGAAAACGCAAACATGCTGCTACCACATCGAATTCACCGCTGAACCCTGGCAGCGCTTCTTCCAAGAGGATGTTAACCTCTGCCCCCGGAGATGCTGATGGGCGCTATTTCACCAACATGGTCAGCTTTGAAGGCCACGGGCCTTATTTGATCGACGAAAAATTACAAGCGGATGATGGAACGACCTTCGCTATTAATGGTAAGGTTTTTTGTTCTTTGGTATTGTTTCCTCCCACTGACACCAGTGTCCAGATCACGTCTACCTGGTTTGTGAGCCGCCAGGTGAGGCATATTACCTGGCCCGAATCATGGAGTTTGTGCCCTCAAAAACCAAGCCCGATGGGTTCATCGAGGCCATCCGGGTCAATTGGTACTATCGCCCTCGAGACATCCAACGACATAGTGCCGACCCTCGCATTGTGTACGCTTCCATGCACTCAGATACGTGCCCTCTTGCCTCATTGCGAGGGAAATGTGAAATCCGCCATGTCTCTCAAATCAGTGACCCTGTGGAGTTCAAGAGGAGTCGGGATTCTTTCTGGTACGAAAAGATGTTCGACCGGTACATCCACCGTTTCTACGATGTCATTCCCACCAAGGATGTAATCAATGTTCCCTCCAAGGTGAAACGGGTTCTTGATGATCGGTGGAAATACATCTTGGTCGAGACAGGGAGAGCCAAAGAATTCACAGGTGCGGTCAAAACTTGCACGAAATGCAACCTGTTCGCTGCCAACTCGGAGTCGGTGGATTGCGCCGTTTGCCGTTCAACATATCACATGCAATGCGTTCGCCCTGTCCTCACCAAGAAGCCTGCCCGTGGATTTGCCTGGGCCTGTGCGCCTTGTAGCCGCGCCCAGGAACGCAAGCTCGAGGCGCGTAACACCCCGATCATCGGCGAAAAGCGACACGAGGGTGAAGATGAGATCATGGAGGATGAGGAAGAGGAAGCGCATCTCATTAGCGCGGTGAACGGTACCGGTGTCAGCACCCCAGCTGCCGAAGACGATTTGATGCCTCTTCCTGCGACCGCAGAGCAAATCGCTCAGGCCAAAATGTGGCCCTATCGCTACCTGGGTGTACATTGCCGAGTGGAGGACGCTCTTGACTACGACGACCGAATTTACCCCCGTGCGAGTTCTCGCTTGGGACCACGGCACCAGGCGATCGTTCCTGCCTGGCCAGGGCGTCCGGTGGAATATGTCAAGGCCATCGACCTTAAGAGAAAGTACGCCAAGGTGAACGCCGGGAAAAAGGACAACAAACCCTCCAAGGAGACACAATCCGCGATGGAGAGCGCAAAGCAGGAGAAGGCTACGCGACCCAAGTGGGTTCAGGATGAACCGCCTGGGTACATTCCTCGCGGCGAGGATGAGCCGGTCACGGTCAATGGGAAGCAAGTGCGTACTGCAGAGCTACTGTTCAAGATGCCAACTGCGGACCAAATTCCCCAAAGAGAAGGCGATGGTCCAGCCGCCTTTGAGACCCAAGAAGCCCGCGAAAAATTCATTGACGACTACATGACCCAAGCCAAGAAATTGGCCTCCGACATTGGAGTGCCCGAGTATTTGACCAACTTCCTCGACAAGGCTCTCGAACTGCTTTACTCCAACAGCTTTGATTCACAAGCAGCTCTTGCCAAGTTGAAGAAAGCCAACAAATACAAAGATTTCAAGGAGCCTCATCTGCGACCGGAAGAGGTCAAGCTGTTCGAACAGGGTGTTACCAAGTATGGATCGGAATGGCGGAACATCACCAAGCACGTCGGAACCGTGCCTCATCGGCAGATTGTTCGATTCTACTACATGTGGAAGAAAACTCCTCGTGGCAAGCAAATCTGGGGCAGTTACGAAGGCCGTCGCGGCAAGAAAGATATCCG